TCAACCCTGGTAATCCTACTATATATAAAAAAATAGTGTCTGTGTGTGTGTGTATATTTGCATGCAACTTCCGTAAGTATGTACCGCACCTACAGCCTCAGGGGAAGGTTTTTAAGGTACGTATGATACGTCATTAGGTGCGTAATGGTCCCGAGATGGGTGCACACATATAAAATTTAAGAAAATCGGCTGTTTTCGCTATTAAAATTAAGTTTTTGTAAATATATCGAAAAACCGCTTTGTTAGGAGGCAATTAGCATTGACCGGAAGTGGCCGTAGCCTATGAATAGGGAGGGAGGGTGCGCTTTTCATTTTTTGGTGATCGGCATTCGGTAAGCCCTATGTAAAGTCAAATTTTCAGATGTCCTAGACGGGTCCAGGGTTGAAAAGCCGCGAAGCGGTTTTTCAACCCTGGTTCATGAAATATATCATCAACTATAATAAAAAGGTAGGGGTGTCTGTCCGTCTGTCATGTCCCGGATTCAACTCGAAGGGGAAAGGAGCTAGAGCTTAGCTCTCTTCGGATTCGGATAGAGCGCCATCAGAAACCTCCAAACTGATAAAAAAATTACGAAAATTTTTTGTAAAATTATTAAAATTAACTTTGAAAGTTTTTTCCTTAGTAAAAGGGGTGGGGGACGGAGGTTGGCATGATTTTCGCATAGTGAGCCAGGTCGCGCGCGTTTCGTGGATGAAAATTTTCACGGAGGATTTCATTTCTTTTTTTCTCTCAATCCATCCGGTCGGTCATTATTTTCGTTTTTGAAGGGGATTTCGGCTATGGGGGGTATCTGAAGCCATCAGGGAGGTATCTAAGTAGTTTTTTAAGGGGATTTCGTCTATGGGGGGTATCTAAAACCATCAGGGAGGTATCTAAGTAGTTTTTGAAGGGGATTTCGGCTATGGGGGGTATCTGAAGCCATCAGGGAGGTATCTAAGTAGTTTTTTAAGGGGATTTCGTCTATGGGGGGTATCTAAAACCATCAGGGAGGTATCTAAGTAGTTTTTGAAGGGGATTTCGGCTATGGGGGGTATCTGAAGCCATCAGGGAGGTATCTAAGTAGTTTTTGAAGGGGATTTCGGCTATCGGGGGGTATCTGAAGCCATCACGGAGGTATTTAAGTGGTTTTAAGTAGTTTTTCAAGGAGTAGCTAATTTTGTGCAGGGGTGGCTATAGGGGTGTCTGAAGCGATTGGTGTGGGTATTGGTGAAGATAGAGATGTAATGTGGTGGCGTAGAGCATGGAGGGTAGCCCGAAGGCCAGCCGATTACAGTCGCGAAGCGGCTGTAATCGGCTGGTATAAATATATTTTTTTAATATACGCTAAATTAAAATATCTGAACTCACCGTACTGCCCGCTATCAACACACGCTGGTCCCCAAGTAGTGCCGCGATCACGGAGACGACAATCTCGGGCGACATTTTCTGAAAGCAATTTTTTATGCTTTTCTGATCTCAAAAACCTGCATAACGTCCGAGATTCCGCGCTTTCCCATCGACGAGCCCGTATTCCGGAGCTCGATGCGACGCTTCATCCCGTTTTGCGCTTGTTCGACGACGACGAGGCAGGTTCCTGAAAATTTCTAATACATATGTACTGGAGATTAGTATCTTTTTGACGTTGAAAAACAAGGCTATCACACCAACCTCGATCTTTTGGGAACGTTAGGCCGAATACGGATTTGAGAAAACCCTCCAGCGAGGTCAGGCTGCTCGTTCTCAAATAATCGACGGCCTTTTCCGCCAGCTCCAAGTAGAAATTGGCGCATTTGATGGGCGACACGATGACGAAGACGAGTGGCGTGACGGCTTCTGCAAAAAGAGCTATCGTTTGAAAAATCTACAAAACATCTTGATAAAAACGCCGGAATATTTCACGCACCTTCCCGTCCTTCCGGCAAAAATTTGACGCAGTAGGCGTGTTTTCTAAAATTCAAATAAATTCGAACTCGACAATTTCATACCTCGCTCCTTGGCCATCCGTTAGCGCGACGACAAACTGCTGGTCGCCACCCCAAATCTCCGTGGGTTCGATGACGGGGTTGTGCGAGAAATCGGGGAAGAAGAGTTCCGGGGGAGGCGTTTGCGTCGCTAAAACGGCCATAAAATCAAAAAAATCATTAAACTACCTCCTTCCGGAAATCGATACGTCACCTCAGGCCGGAAACTCGGGCGCGACGAGTTGCTCGCATTCTCACTAAAAAAGAGTAAGCGATATACGTAAGAAAATTACTCGTCCGATCGTAATTCGATGAGAAATGCGGTCTCGAAGAGTTGCGGGGCTTTGCGGTTGACGAACGCTTTTACCTGAAACGAAAAATTATTAAAAACTATACTTAAAACGTTGAAAACTACAGGTTTTATGAAAAATCTATCTCGAAAAAGCTTTAAAAAAATGTTAAAACTGGTTTGGTTCTCAGAATGGTTTGAAAAACTCACTTGACTATCGTACGGAGCCAGCGTCTTCCGCCGCACCAGACGGGCCCTGGTCAGCCTGCGCTCGAGTGAAGCCGTGAAATTCTGGCCCTGAAAAAATATGTATAAACTGAAACAACAAAACAAAAACCGAAGCCTCCAAAAGCTGAATCACCCCCGCTATGTGGAACGCGCATTGGAGACGATTTGGCACGCGAAAAAAGACTGGTTGAGGGCCGGCGAAACGACCAATATAATACGATGAAAAGGGCCAACCCTGCACCGGCGGCCCACAACCAGTCAGGATCGATCTGGCAAGGAAAATGCGCGGAACTGGTTTTTGTCGTTGAACTTGCGGTTTCGGGGGTAAGTGCCGGGTGCTTTGAGAGCGGCAAAGGGCAGGAAGAGGCCGAAAGAACGCCGAAAACTCAGAAACAACGATAGATAAAAAACTAAACAAATATTAACAAGAAAATACTTGAGAAATAGTTTTTATCGTTAAACTTGAAGTTTTGATGTAAGTACCCTGTTTTGAGAACTTCAAAGGGCAGGAAAAAGAGCAAGGGAAGCGCAAAAGTTAGAAAAATTTATAGAAAACGAAAAACGAAATAACGAAATCTACAAAAGAGCTGGTTTCCTAGGTAATTCAAGTACTGCAAACGCGTAAGTGCCCCGTATTGAGCGCGGCAACCTACAAGCAAAGTAAAAGCAAGTAGAAAAATTGGAAACGCTAAAAAAACCCAAAAATAAACTCTAATCTACAAGCGCATGCAGAAGCCTATTAATAAACAACAATTAATTATAGCATTAGAGGAAGAGAATGAAAAACTACCTCAACAGCGTCCGAGTCCTGCTTGACGAGCGGCGAGGGCAGCCCACCGGCGGACGAGTCACGAATTGATTTCCTGGAAAGTCGAAGGTTGTCCTGTCCATCCCCTCAATGGCCAATAAACGTCACACTGACACGGCGCAACCCTAGTTTCGCCGCCCAAAATTGGGTGCCGATCCGCGGGGAATGGGGTTAACGTGACCGTGAAAGCCCGCGCTTAGCTGGTGTGAAATCTTGGAACCCAAAACGGTTTTCAGGAGGTGTTAGAAAAGGACCTGGAACGCTTTTTCGCGTTATCAGGGCTGGATTGCGTAAAAAACACATGGAAAACGCCCTATCACGCCCTGTGGCCAGGATGAGTAAGCGCTGTCCCGGGTCATAAGGTTCAAAGGGCTTGTTTAAGAGAAGCTATAAAACCATTAAAAACACGAAAAAGTACCTAAACTCTATCCAACACTCATTTCGACGCTCGACTCTCATTTTCGTTGTGGGGAACCATGAAATCGGGCGAAAAATGCAAGGAAAATCGGCCCCGGGCCGTCTACACTACGCGCCTATTTACAGGGAACTGTTCAGTGGAGTGTTACGTAAGCAGTCGAAAGCCGAAAATCGAGTTTTCACTTCTTTTCGTGTTTTGTATCCTACTTGCGTAATTCAGAATTACAGAAAAATATTTAGAAGTTCTTTTTGCCGGTTTTTCCAAAAATAAAACTTTTACCCGCATAAAATCTCCTCCTCAAGACATTTCGAAGTCCCCGGTCTGTCACAGGGCCCAATATCAATTGCCCGCTCCTCGAATTGCATCAAAGTTTCAAGAATAGCTTATTCAAGCCAGCTCTGTCAGAAATATCCTCCTTTAGCGACAACTAGACAGTGAATCTAGTCCAAAACGGGTCAGCCGCAAAAACGGTTTCGATTCAGAGCCCCGGCTGGCTGCCGGTTGGCACAGTGTGGGGTGTATGTGCGTGAGAGTGTATTTGTTCAGTGCATAAACAAGCATCGGCAAAAAGCGGGGGGAGCAGTGGCCGGGAGGGCGAGCGGGAAATGGAACGCATGAAAATAGGCGACGGTCACCCGGGATCGGGTGTATGGAAATTCATTGAAGCGCCGGCTTCAGAGCCCCCGCCGGGGACCGTAAACACGCGCGGGGGCTTTATTTTTGCCAATTCACATATTACTCAGCGATTGTCACGGGAGGGTTTGATGAAACACCGCGTGCAAAAACTATTTTTAAATGGAGGTTCTTTGGCATTATCGGGGGAGGGGTGAGGAAATTTTTTGCTTATGAACCAAATTTTGCACCACAAATAATGGAGCGTTTCTAAACTGTTTGTTTTACGATCCGTAAACGTAACACCTTTAAAAAATTGTATTAAAATAAGACACAAAAAATATCGATTTTTTAACAAAAAAAAATGGCGGATTTATGAACGAAATCTCGGCTTTCGAAAATTTTTCCAAAGTCTTTAGTTAGTTTTTTTAGTTAGGGTATAGTTTTATTTTAGTAAAAACATTCTGAAAATATTCTATAAAATTATTAGCATTTCTTGATTAAGACAAAAAATCCCCCCCCCTCCGGATAATACGAAAGAGCCGGAATTGACGAATAATGCGGAATTTGGCAAGGTGGGCCAGAAATCAACTGGCGAGAGGGCCAACAGATAAATGTGGAGGGACGAGATGTGTTTGCACAAGCTCGATAAAGTTGGGATGCGCCGCGGTGGATTACCGATCCGAAAAAGTTTACGGAACTTACTTGAATGCAAACTTCCTCGTAACGGCACGCTTTCCGTTTTTCTCGTAGGCGAGTTCTTTCGGGGTTTTTGGGAGCTCCCTGAAAAAAAGCATGGTTTAAAGAACGTGCGCGTTGAACCACGCTATAGCAACTTATTGAGGGGGTGAAAATAACTTACTTTTCATAACTTTCGATCAGACATAGGCCTTCTGCGTACGGAGATACGAGTGGCGACTCACGACCTCGATGTTTTGGAGGAGTGATCAGCTCCGATGAAGCGTAGTACAGCGAGCCTTCATTCGAGTTTTCACGCTACAAATTTGTCTATAAGAAAAATACGGAAATGGCTACATTAGAAGGCAACGACAAGGTTTCACAACCTACCGAACTATCCGATAAAATTATAGGTTCGGCATAAACACGATCGTCATCCTCATTGGCGCCGTTATATCGGCTCCGGTCCCAGCCAGTATGCGGCCAATTTGGGCAATTTTCGTAGTCATGGGACAACTAAAAAATAATATTTTAAACAAGCCAAACGTCTTATTTTCATTCAGTCGACAATAATTTGCCGAAGTTTCGCAATTTGAAATTTCAGTGCATTTGATTTCAGTGCACAAAACGTCTTCTGATTTAGACAAAATGAAGCTTCGAGAAAATGAAATTTCGACAAAAGGTTTTCGATAAACTGATAGCAAAGCAACAAAAAACAATACCTGAAAATACTTTGGGCGGCCCTCAAGTTTGATCGGGGCCTTGGTCTTTTTCAGCGATTTTATGATGGTCGAATAGTTGTTGGGGAAGCGTTCCTGGAAATGTAAATTTAATCAGGGTTTTCGTATTGTTTTGCCATTTTTTACACGGTAATGTTATTTTACGTTTTTTTATCATCCATTATTTTCCGGCTGTGCCAAGGATATCGCCGGAACTCGATCACTCGAAGTTCTCCATCAAAAATAGGTAAGGCTGCCATCCCCCCTATTACAATGATGCCACCCGCCCACGCATCCCCCCAAAAGAGAAGCTCTCCCCCTGAAATGAAAATGAGGCAAAAACATGCACTCATTTGGCCAATTGGACCTCAAAAATGGACTCATCCTCCACGCTGAGTCAGCCGTCCCTTTCTCGTCCCCGCAACACCTCCAATTTTGTGCGTCAACGCGCGGCGCTAGAGAGCGCGGGGAACGCGCTGAGACGCGAGATACGATAGGATTGACGAGATCTTATCGGTTACAGAAATTTGGGTAGTTCCTGTGGGTTGTGGGGGTGGAATGATCGCCCAACGACTCGCGATCCCCCCTTTGGAGCCCCTATAAAAGTGTCGGGTTCGGTGTCTGGAAAGCAGAGAAGTCTCACAAGAACTCCTCAAACCACCACACCACAAGAGAAGATGCGCGTTTTCATCATCGTCGCCTTCGTCGGAGTCGCATTGTAAGTTCGTTTTCGTTTTATTGAAGTTTTAGATTTTGTTAACGCCTTGAAGGTTCCATAGCATAACGGGGGGATCTTTTGTATTATTCTAGAAATGCCTAGGAATTTAGTAGAAAATATTTTCATGCTTTTAGTAAGATCAAAGTATATTTTAACTAGAAAAACTATCTAAAAACTTAAAAAAGTTTTCATAAAGTCAGGATTTTGCTCAAAAAAAAAATCATTTTTTTAGTCGAAAAATCGAAATTTTTTGTAGTTTTTAATCAAACTTTGTAAAAAACTTTACGCTTAGAAATAGTAAAAAGCAGGGTAGAAACACTTCCGATATATACATTTTTAAAAATTTTTCCTAATAAATCCCCACCGACAATGCTCAAGAACCGGCCTAAATTATCGACTAAAGATTTAAATCGTATTTGATGATTTACAAAGCTTTTCCAAAAGACCATATTTTCCAAGAAACAATGCTTCAAATTTTCTACAACTTTGAATTCAGGGCCGGAGATGACCCGGACCGTGTCGCCGCCGACATGCCCGGCCCGATCGGCTTCACCCCGTCCCTGAACGGCGGTGCTGATGTTGGAGCTGGAGCAGGAGCCGGAGGTTTTAACGGTGGCGCTGACATCGGAGCCGGAGCCAACACCGGAGGCTTCAACGGACCCCAGAATGACCCTGGCTTCGGAGGCCAAGGCCCGATCGGATCTGGAGTTGGTCAGGGACCCATTGGAACCGGAATCGGACCCGGCGTCCCTGTTGGACCTACTGGAGGCTTCGGAGGAAACGGAAACTTCGGTGGACCCATTGGACCCAACGGAAACAACTACCCGGGCGGAAACGGCTACCAGGGAGGAAATAACTACAACGGTGAGTCAATCAAAAATTTCTGGTTCTGGACTGTTTGCGGTGGGGAACCAAATTTTTCCTGTAATTCTACGGCCCTATAACGCAATATGAACCATTTTATAGCATTTTACATAGTCTTTAGATATAAAAACAACATACATTTTACATAGTCTTTAGATATAAAAACAACATAAAACTTTCTAAAATATTGACTTTTTGGTCAAGAATGTATCAAAAATTATCAATCCATAAAGATACTTTAGAGCTGGAAACTTCTTTGTAACTGAACTTTTTTCAGGTGGCAACAAGTACGGAGGCGGAAACTCGTACGGAAACAAGTACGGAGGCAGCTCGTATGGCCAGGGAGGACTCGGTGGCGGCAACTATGGCATCGGCGGAGGCTTGAACAATTACGGGCCCCAGCCCAACGCCTACGGCAACAACGGCTACAACAAGCCCCGCGGAGGATACGGAGGAAAATAAGCTGCTTGCAATATGCAATACGATGTGTATCCCTTGATCTCTATCGCGAGTTGGCCCCGCTGGGCTTGAATAAACCCTTGACACTACTCTTCCTAGTACACTACACGGCGCTACGCCACAGACTACACGCAAAACGATACCCAAATAATCGAACCCCTCTAGCTCGCCCAGAAGTGTCCGGTTTTGACGATTTAGGTAGCTACCAGGTTGAAAAGCCGCTACGCGGCTTTTCACCCCTGGCCTTTGCGCGAGGATCTTAAGACGTTGGGCACTTTGCATAATTCTAGCGAATTAGTCCCAACCTCTCAACCTTAACAATCACAAAGCGACCGACTGAGAGCGTGACAAAATCCAAAATCAGCCTCCTAGGGCCTCGTATGCAAATGAGGGCATTTCCATATGTTTTTAAAACACTAAAATAAAGTGTAAATCGTCATTTTCTTAAAAATCTGATAAGCGTGCAGTAATCTACGCCCTCGAATACCCCTAAATACCTTTCGACTGGGCCCGAAAAACCTTCCCCCTTCGCGATATCTTGGTAACCCGGTTTTTTCGAGTCATTTATGCAAAGTGTCCACAGACACACACACAGACACTACTTTTTTATATATAGTAGGATTGAAAGCTCTCGGTAAGACGAGAAAACAAGCACTGTTCGTTGTTCTTTCCAAGCATTTTAATTCACGAATTTTCGCGTCTAAAATCCATGCAAATCGCAGATTTTATACAGAATCTGCATGTAAATTGCTTGCTCAAGCTAACAGGACGACGCTGATTTTACGCTTTTTTAAGATGTTTGAATAAATAAGTACTTGCCACTACATTGCCTACTACGCCACAAACTGCACCCAAAAACGTTACCTTTCAGCCCTTTGAACTAGATAGAAAGATCTGGCCTTGTACGCTACACAATCTCACACGAATTTCCCTACCTTGCATGCAAAATTTTCAATTTTTTTTGGAACAGCCCTTCCCGATTTCGCCGCAAGATAGTATCTGCTTGATATGATCCCTCTGGAACTTCCGCGTCCCCCTCCTTTTCAGGGCGTTCTGTGAGCGCGGTGCCCAAAAATGGCGATTTCTAGACCGAGCCCGCGATCCTGAGACCCCGGGCTCTCATCTCTCAACGGCCGCGCCCGTCGCAAAGAAATTGGAATGCCGGGTGCGCCCGGGCAAGTCAAGGCCATTTTTCATCAAAATCTATCTCGGGATCCCATCCATGGATCTGTTCGAGGATAGGGCAACCCTTACGGAAAACGGTATCAACTGCGCATGGAGGGCCGAAAATCATTGGCGATCTCGTTTGGAGCGTCGTGAACTGGAGGAGTGGCCTGCGCAAGAGGCTTCGTGGAGGCAAAAATTGAAAAAAACTTTGTAGTTTGTTCAAATAAGGATACGGGTATCAAAAAACTGGAAGAGAGGCATCAGAAGATCCTTTTCGCGAGAGAACAAACGCTTTTCGTTTTACAATCGGGCACTTCTGCGGACCGCTAGAGCTAGATCAATTTTTTTTGGGACACCTTTGGGATATGTTTTCTGTTGAACCTTTGTGATCCCCGAAAACGGCTTGAGCATCAGGCATCCCATCTGGGTGAACGTCATTACTTCGAAAATCATTACTTCGAAAGTCATTACTTCGAAAGTCATTACTTCGAAAAGTCATTACTTCGAAAAGTCATTTCTTCGAAAAGTCATTTCTTCGAAAAGCCATTTCTTCGAAAAGTCATTACTTCGAATAGTCATTTCTTCGAAAAGCCATTACTTCGAAACGCCATTACTTCGAAACGTCATTACTTCGAAAAATATGCTAATTTGGAATGTTCATATCACGAAATTCATGACAATGACGTTAAAACCATTGCGTAGGTACCATATGCCTATTCTATTAAGGTTATTACTGTGTAGAGTTTCGGTCTGTATTAGGAGTGTTAGTTACCCCATCTCTACGAATTATGATTTTGTTCTAATGATCCTTGCATTCAATTACTGAAGCATCACGATGTTTACCTAAAAATGTCCGTGTATGTTTTGATGCTCTCTGAAGTGACATCAGAAAATGTTCGTACTAACTAACTAAAACATCGAAAAATCTGGGGGTAAAGTAAAAATTTGCCGATTTTTTTCATGCGACGTGTAAAAAACTCGATCGAATAAACGGACCAATAGAGGCAGAAAGGTGTCAATTAGCGTACGTGCTATGCATGTTTTTCGAAGTAATGACGTTTCGAAGTAATGACTTTTCGAAGAAATGACTTTTCGAAGAAATGACTTTTCGAAGTAATGACTTTTCGAAGTAATGACTTTCGAAGTAATGATTTTCGAAGTAATGATTTTCGAAGTAATGACTGGCAGCCATCCCATCTTAACGCTTAGCGTCTTCCTTCATAATTCCCTTAATCAGGTCAACCTTGCTAGATGGATTGTTCGTGATTGGTTGATTGACAGGATCTTCCGGCGCTTGGTGCAAAAACTACTTCCTCCTCTAGAGCCAGAGAGGACCCCCAGGGTGATCGCTCAAGTGTGGGAATGATCAGCACCAACTCCCGAAACATGCGAAATTCAGAATTTTTAGGTGAAATTTTAGAAGTACTTTCGGGCATTCTGGTCATCCCGGTGATCAACTGGAACCGCTCCATCCTTTGGCAACCCTTTAAATCTCCGGAAAACAGTCAATGTGCACTGTTTTCGAGCCGTGCCTTGTTTCGTTGGTCGGGCTCCTCGGCCGAGTTCGGAGCTTGCCCTCTTCGCTTTCTTCGGCAGGAATCAGTATAAAAGGCGCGGCTTGGCGCTGATCAACAAAACAACAGAATGAAATTGTTGATTGTCGTCTTGCTATTGGCTCTAGTGGCGGTCGTCTGGTAATTTGATGCTGGCTACGGTGTTATTTTTATTTAGCGCCCGGCCCTTCGAGGAGATTATCGAAAAGGAGATTATTCGCGGAGGGCCCCGAGGTGGTGGTGGTTTCGGAGGGCGAGGATTCAATGGAGGTGGCTTCAATAACGGTTTCGGCGGAGGCATGTAGAATTTTGACAAGCACCTCATCTTATGCTTTCTAGGCCCCGGCTTCAACAACGGATTCGGACGCAAATAGACTTAATGAATAAACGGTTTGGAACTTTTCCATAGTCTTACTTACAGAAAAAAACGGTAAAATTCGTCGTAGAGTTTATGGGTTCTTGAAAGCGCTTGAGGCTCTGGTTGGCTAGCGGGGGGAGGTTTAATGTCGTAGATTTTGAAAAATTTTTAGATTTTCAGTTTTTTTTTGGGTACTACATCATTGCGCCCCGGTAGAACATCAGAAAATATACTAAGAATTTTAATTCTAGATCACAAGACAACCTATAACCAACCATAGCAAAAAAAACCCTGAAATGCGGTTGGTAAGTTATTTTTCGGGATTTTCGATGTTTTTCGACATTTTTTTAACTAGTTTTATATACAGCTCAAAATAATGTAATTTAAGATAAGAGGGTATTGGCAAAAGATGTTGTTGCTCCCACCGATAAGCTCCCCCCACCCGTTAACAAACCAGAACCCAAAAACCCGCTATTCGTTCTACGATAGGTTGAAACGGTAGAAACACCGCTAATTTCACTTGCTTTCTCTAGTTTTTGCTCTAATTTGCTAACACTTCGCTTGATCATTGTTAGCATTTGCCTGGGCTGATTTCCAACTTGGCGGCCTTTTTGCCCAAATCTCCAAAAAGTATTTTAAAAGTCTCCTACCATATCCTACGGTTTTTTACTCCATTTCTCCTTATCAATCACAGTTTGAGCCGCTCCCCTTTTCTCTCAAGTACATTCCGCGCGCAGTCAAACGACAACACAGATCAACCGGGGGCGGCCTTTAAAATTCGCCAAAAATCTGCGAAATACACTTGGACCGGGGAGGAAATGACGCCCACGACTCGACCCTTCCTTTCTTTAAGCGATATAGGCCAAACGGCGGTGCGAAGGAAAGAAGTCGGCGAATCGCACAAAAAGAGAAAAAGATCCCGCGGTCCGTTCGCTAATTTTAGCGGTCTGGCAAGTTGCTGCTGATCTTTCGCACTGTAGGTGGTGGTATATAAGGGTGAGTATCGTGGGATAAGGCAGACCTTGTCTCAAAACTAAAAACACAATGAAGTTCTTCGTCTTGCTGCTCGTCGCATTGGTGGCTATTGCTAGGTGAGCTACGGTTTTTGCTATGGTAGGCTTCAACTTGCAGCCCTGATTTATTTGTAGATCAGTTCGATGATTAGGGCATGACAGTTGAAGTGATTCTTAGGCATGATCGGTTCTTATGTATTATCGGGGGCAAATATTTTTTGTGTTAGATCCGGAAATTGAAAAATTAACTCAATAGCAAACACCTTAAAATGTTCTTAGTAAAATGAAACGATATTTAGCTAAAAAAATAACTAAACACTTGAAAACTCCTTTAAAAAAGTGTATTTTTTAGTGAAATTTTTGTAAATTTTTATATTTAGAAATCGTAAAAATAGTTAAGCTATTCACATTTCAAATATTTGTTGCTAAGAAAATATCACTTCATTGCCCTCCCCCCCGATAAAGCAAAAGAACCGCTTGACATCTCGGATGGATACCTTTTTCGCGTTTGACTTTTTAGAGCTCGGCTTATTTAATTTTCTTTAGTGCCGTCCCCTTCGGTCGTGTCGTTGAGAAGACGACGATCATCCGACCAGGCTTCGGCGGTGGCTTCAACCGAGGACCTCCCCCTCCCCCTCCCCGCTTCGGACCCGGCGGCTTCGGCGGACCCCAGCGCGGACCCACCATCATCAAGACGACCGTCATCAAGGGCTAAGCTCGCGAATAGCTGATGCTTTATATTTAATAAAACGTAAAAAATATCTATTGCCATAAGATATTTTTTAAGCTTCATGATCTCTCTCATTCTTTCTCTCCCTCTCTCTCTCTCGCTCTCTTGCTCTCTCTCGCCATCTCTCTCTTTCTCACTCCATCTCTCTCTCTCTCTCTCTATCTTTCCCACGGCATGTCACTGTGCGGGGCTAATGCGGAAAACCCTGTGATATCATCGATGAGAGCTCGTGCTAGAGTTTAGCTCGTGCTACGCAACGTGCTGGTAGTGGAATCCGACAATTTGGCCTTGGCAAGCAGCCCAAGTACGCGTATTTCCGTTTGGATTGGGTGCATCTCACGCTGCTCGATCCGTCTTCCTGGATCTGTATATAAGCCGTGGGTGCAGAGCGTAGGCTTAGACGTAGGCGTAGGCTTAGGCTTAGGCTTAGGCTTAGACTTGGGCTTAGGCTTAGGCTTAGGCTTAGGCTTAGGCTTAGGCTAGGCTTAGGCTTAGGTTTGGCTTAGGCGTAGGCTTAGGCTTCGCTTAGAGAACATTTTTCTTCCGGCTGTATCTCCCTATAGTGGGTTAGATCTGAGGCGAGTGGGTAGTCAGACTTTATAAAGTTCAAAATATACGCAAAAACCATGGCGATTCTTAGGCATGATGCTGATGCGCCCGACCGAGTACTAACTCGGGCCCCAGCCGATACAGCCAGACCCCTGCCAGGCCCAGCCACCGCTCCGAGGGCATGAACGGATGAACAGACGAACGTCATGATTTTGGGCGATGATAAAAAGTTCCTCTCACCCAGTTGAAATTACTTGAGAGCGATACACAGACACCCGAAATTGCACTTTCTTTTCGTACAGGTCGGTTGTACCAATGGCACGCGTGAGGGATAACGGCGGGCGAGTGAAAAAGCGATAGGGATATAGCCGATTGAATTTCAAATTTGAGATTGGATTCTTGGGAATAACAGTGAAAAGTGCGAACCTCTGAGATTGACGAGGTCTAGAGCTCTTTGAAAACGACCATTCCGTATATTTCGGGTAGTTATTACATTTGATTTTCTTTTTTCGCTTAATAGAATTACCAAAACGCTTTTTCAAAGGGTCAAAAAGGGATCTACGCTCTCGTTAAACTAACCTCACATAGAGCCCAGTAAACGACAATGAACGAACAGGTGAAGGCGACCAGATGGGTATAACTTCCGGGGTCGTCAAAGTCATTCTCCGCTTGCGTTTTTTGTTCTCCTATCAAGTTTTCGCGTCTCTTCGTACCTCGCGGTCTTTTGCTCCACTGTCGGGGCCCACAGGTTTTTCGAGCCGTTCCGCCAACACGATGCTGTACATGCCGGGGTGCTCGGCTAGCTGGGCACCGATATCACTTTCCGGATCTCACAGTGGAGTCAGGGGCACGAGAGAGCGAGAGAGAGAGAGAGAGAGAGTGAGAGAGAGAGAGGGGGAACGAGATCGCAAGGAGAAATGAGCAAGAGATGTGTAGACCCGTGAGAAAAAGAGCACGTCAAGATACTGGCATTTGGCGGACAGATCCTGGGGTCTATCCGTCTATCCGTTTCATCCCTTGTTGTTCGACCGACCTCTCCCCGGTGGATTCATATAAAAGGATGCGGCCCAACGTATTTACCAGAGCAATCTCAACCCAGCCATGAAATTCCTCGCCGTCCTCCTCCTCTGCGTGCTCGCCTTCGCTTCGGCCGCACCGTGAGTTTTTGGGACTTCATCTGGGTACCATCAGCTCAGTTTTCCTTTTTGATCGATTTTGCCCTCCATTAGCTTTGAAAATACGTCTTCTGAGCTCAAAATTTGAAGCCAGGAAGTTAGAATTTAGACGGAAACATGTATGTGGTAAGACTTTACTTCACCTCTAACCACAATTCCAAAAATTGTCGACATTTCCGCTATTTTGTCGAAATTTTGGCTAGGCCATTCGATAGAGCATCAAAAAATGTACTAATAGTTTTAATCACGGCCCAAGGTAATGCAAAATAAAAAAGTTATAGCGAAAAATATTTTGGAACTTCCGGCCGGGGGGAGGGGGGATTGTAAAGTCAAGTTTTGCCCCTTATCCTTAAGCTAAGGTATCTTATTAACTACGATATTCCAGTCAATTCGGCTTCCACCCCGGCTTCGGCGGCGGTTTCGGCAGGCCCGGATTTGGCGGAGGCTTCAACCGAGGGTTTGGCGGTGGCTTCAACCGTGGACGCCCCACCGTCATCCAGAGGACCACCATCATCCGCCCCGGAAAATAAGCGCCTAGTCAACCACAACAACAGCATCAACATCTATGCGCTTCTCCAATGACCGAATCCCACTCAGGACTATGCTTTACAAAATATCATTTGCCGATTACTATCGTGTATCGAATAAAGGTTCAAAACCGTCAATATTGGCCTAGGCGATTTGCAAGAGGGAGCAAGAAAGAGAACGAGAGAGAAAGACAGAGAGAGAGAGAGAGAGAGAGAGAGAGAGAGTGAGGGAGAGTGAGAGAGAGAGGAAGGGAGAGAGAGAGGGAGAGAGCACGAGAGAGCGGGTTTGAGGAAGCAACGATAGAAAAAACTAGTGAGGACCACAAGAAGAGGTATCAAGAGCCTTACATAGAGAGAGAATAAGAGTGAGAAAGACAGGGGAGAGTGAGTGAGATAAAACGAGAGAGAGAGAGAGGGAGAGAGAGAGAGAGAGAGAGAGAGAGAGAGAGAGAAAGAGAGAGCGAGAGCGAGAACCAGACACACAGAGAGCAAAAGCGAACAAGGGACCAAGAAATTCTAATGTCTCCCCACCTTTTCAATGATGAACGCCGTTTCCGGTGATGACGTGGAGTCCCTCGTAGATCCAGGAGCCGAGAAATTTACTAGCAAAAGTTATAAGAATGTCTAAGATGCTTACATTGCTTTGTTTCCATGTAAATATCATGCTCAAAGGTGCGACGCGGTTTTGGCGGCGTTACTTTCGGCCTGCAAATGGCTAGTAATGTCTAGAACCGCTTTTAAAACCCACGTTTTCGACTCGATGGCGACTAGCGGCTCACTTTTGACATGTTTTAGGGGTTGGCGGGGGATCGGTTTCTGAACTATTGGGCTTAAGCCGGTTTTTTAAAAAGCTCTACCTTGTCCTCATCGACGGAGAGCTGCTCGAAAAACTGCTTCCGTTGCTGCACGGAAAAGGGGACTTTTGTAGAAACGGGCATCTTCATACCATCTAAATTCGTGCTATGCCATGGTTGAAACGTTATAGAGAGAACATTGAGAAGCCACTTTGAAAGATACCCAGATCGAAAAAATTTGAAATAGAGAAACGTTTTGAGGTTCTCAAGGGCATCTTTACCGTTGATATAGAGGTGAGTGGATAGACAGGAAGATTTAAAGAGCATCAAAAAGTAGCTTGCAAAAATTTGCAGCTAGAAAAAATCAACGAAATCAGAAAACTTCAAAACAACCTCTCCAGAACCTTCCAGAACTCAAGGCTATGGGAAACAAAAATTGACCCTTCACCTGTTTGCCTCCTCGTCGGTTTATGGTGGGTTCAAATGGGCCCCGCGCGACTTCGAGCAATTTTCAAGAGCAGGGGGATCGAAAAACAGTTTTTGTGTGTAGGAGCAATTCGGAGAGGATGAGCAGAGGAGGAGGACAACACGGTTTTTCAATTTTCAGAACATCATGTCAAGGTAAACAAAAATGCACGCTCGATTCTCCTGCAAAAAACTTTGGGGTTTTTTTTTGCGACATTTTTTTTGCATTGTCTGGGAAACAAGGTGGCGTTCAAAAGAGCAGGAAGAGTCATATTTAATGGTGAAATATGGAAATGTAAGAATGAAAATGCAGGCACTTTTTAGATTTTAAAGATCTGACTGGGGGTAAAGCAAAATCTAGTTGAAAGGAAAGCGACATTATCTTTTGCATGATAGAGGCAAGACAACATTGAATTCAAGCAAGCGAAAACAAAAATTTGATATAGAGCTCGGGTAGCATAATCACCGTTTGGAATGTTAGATCTTGCCGGAGAGTCACGTGTGACAAAGAAAACACGTTTTTCACAAGTTTTTGAGGTATCGATAGTACACAGGAGCAAGAAAAAGTACTGCCCTTCAAAGGGCCAGCTGGCAGTAACACCTCAGGATCGAAAAACACGACTGTTTGAACCCATTGAAAACCCTCGCTTCGAAAACGGGACAACTCCGCCTCCGGACCGCTGTACTGCCCAAAAGGGCTAATGGTGTGCAAGAGAGTGTATTGACAATTGTCCGGCGATCCCAGTAGCTACGAAGGGGAAGTATGAATACTAGGCACCAATACTATGTCGATGCAAGGTCATCCCCGCCAGCAGTTTCCCGAGGGGGCTCAAATTGCGGTTAGCCGCTGGCGGGTAGCTGGCTCCATTCGGCTAGGACCACTTTTTTCAAGGAGGGCAAGGCGGATTATGTGGAAAGGAGGCTGGGGATTGGCTGGGAAAGGCAGGTGGATGTAGGCTTAAAGGTGTTGTGAAGTTTTAAAGAAAGGTGGCGTTTTTGAGTTTACAAAACATAGAAAACAAAAAAAAACAAAGAAAGCTATTGGTTTTCTTGTCATTAACGCTAACTTCGTATCTAAACGTTAAATTTTGGCGTATTTTGCATACAGGTTTTAACTCCTTGTCTACTAACGTATAGGTAAAAATACCAACTGGTAGTGGCCAAAACCAATTAGTGCGCTGATTAAAAATTGCCCTAAAATTTAATTTTTGCCTTAAAACAAGCATTCTTGAAGAAAAATCAAGACTTACTTCAAAAAGTATCATCCACGCTCGGAAAGACATGCTAAAAACAAAAAGCTTATAGCTTTGGGACCAGGAAGATCGCCGCTATTGACTTTACGGGACACTCCTCCTCTTCGCCATTACTCAGCCGGCCCGCTGCCCGCGTCGAATATGTCGGCTAGGATGAGTCAGGCGGCAAGGTGAGGCGAGGAGAGGCGAGGAGGAAGATGAGCAGACGCTCATTATTTGGGGCCGCTGGTTTTTATCAGGTGTTCAGAGGAAATATTGGAATTGGGAAACAGTAGTCTTTCAAACGGGTTTTTAACGCTTTCTGGGATAAATGCCGTCAAATCTTCATCTGAAAATTAGCATCTAAAAGTAGCTTTGAAAAACTAGAATATCTGTGCAAACAAAAACCAGTGAAATTCGAGCGATACCTACAAACTACGACAATTCAAATGTTTCTGTTCATGCCAAAACAACGTTGCGCTCGATTTTTGGACCTTAATTTTAGACTTCAACTTAACTTATTGACTTAGGATGGTAAACCTGATTAAAATCGGCCTAGAAATTTAATTAGTTTTTTCGGTTCTTGTTCCAATCACTTGGCAAAGAGTTAAATCGTGAATTTGACTTACCGGCGCCTCTAAACCTTAAAAAGAGGCCAAATTCAGTTTTCCGAGTGAATCGCGCTCCAACCCCTGAAAAGGTCAGCCTAAAACGCACCCAATTAACCCATTTCAACAACAGCATCGGCAATTCCTCAAATTCAGAGATGGCCGTGAGGCGATAGATGCATATATTAGGTCGGGCTAATAGCTGTGAGCTGTTGGATTTGGGGGGAGGAAACGTGCTCCGATAGACATCGACCAGCCGATGGGGGCAATGCGACGGATATAGGCGCAAATTTCCATATGTGAGGCGCGGCGGCCAAACAAAGGCTGGCGGATCGGGACGGTGACCTTAAAAAGGGCATGGAAACATATTGGTTGAACTTGATGGTATTCTGTTTGTTTCTTACAAAATCAGAGGCCTTCACGATTACCAAAAAAGCAGAATAAATTTTGCATTCCTTATACATGCGTATAAACCGAAAGAAATGGTATTAACTGGCAAAATCTTCATTAAGGCGCATAAAAGCGTACAAGGTCGTACTTTTGACATTCAATGACATAGGATCACAAAAAAATTGTATGAAAGTAGCCGTATCTGATTTCCTGAATATTCTATTCAATCGTATAAAAAACCTATAAAAAGCGTAAGATTAGTTACTGTAAGATCCTATTCATCGTACAAAAATAGTACTCGCAACTACCGATCCACCAAAATCGATGCTAGCGCCCGGAATGCCCCCGGAGGCGCCTAATAATAAGAGTTCCGGCGGGGGCGCACTGTCGATAGGCCTCGGGCGGAACTCTTTCACCCGCACCCAGCCACTCATAGATTCCCCCTACCCTGGCTGGAGGGTCAGGTCAGTAAACAATCTGAATATGGTGATTTTTGGGGGCTGACTAAGAGGGCGATTGAGCGCAAAAAAGGTTAATGGAAGGATTTCGTAGAAATTTTCTCTCCATCTCACTCTCTCGCTCTCTCTCTCTCTCTCGCTCTCTCTCTATCGGTAGCCTACAAAATACGTTTGGTTTTAAAGGGCTGGCGGCAGACGTGAGGCAAGCTGGCAAAGGTCCTCTGAGGAATTGGAGCGGGGGATAGCCCGCTCCGAGATGAACCTGGGAAATACAGGCATGTAGAGATTTTTAGGGCTCTGAGGGTAGGTAGATGGTAGGCTAGCAGGGATTCTTTGACAGACTACAGAAACTCGCTATTATAAAGACCCGATCAACGAGAACATCATAAGAATGCACTGATCACCCTGCCGATAGTATAAACAGGCCGCCCACCACATTCACCACGGCACAAACGATTGCCCACAATCACGCCAATTGCGAAAAAGAGAGCAATGAACGCTCTGGCTGGTTTTCATTGCTTCTGACAGAGCGAATAATCCTTCAGGAATTCGAATGGGGGGCATCGCATCAAAAAACAGGCTGCAAAACGCCAAGCAGCCTGAATTTTGAACTGTGAGAGCCGAACGGTGAAGAGCTGGCAAAAAAATTCGAGGGGCCTGGTGGCACTTGAGGATAGATTGCAAGTTGCAGCCTGGAATCGGGCAGAAAACATTTAACGCTTAGAAGCAAAGAAAATGCGTTTTTGCTTAAACATAAAACTACAGTATTTTTTACAAGTCTGAGGGGCCCTTCAGGAAAAACGAGGGACGAAATTTTTGCCGCGAGGACACAAAGAACATCAATTCCGCCCCACAGGTGTTCCCCAAGGTTAGGGGGTAAATAGGAAAAATTGGAATTTTGCGAGTGGAAGAATTGTGGTATCGAAGGTTCGTTTCGGCTTGACTTGGACTAAGGCTTAAGCTTAAGCTTAGGCTTCGGTTTTGGCTTAGGAGTAGGCTTAGGTTTAGGCTTACGGTTAGATGTACGCGTTGGCTTCGGCTTAGGCTTACAAGGAGACGTTTTTGAGTGTCGTCGGGACTTTGGCACGGGACCAAGCCTATCTTGTGCAGAATTTTACGCTGATTCTGAATATGTTAACCGTTTCTGCGGAATAGCCATTTCTCGAAAGTTATGAACGATTTAAACCTCAAAACAGCCCAAAATCGGCTACTTTCAATAGTCATAAAAGGCTTCGGAATAGGCTTTAGACAAAACTTGAGTGTGCATCTTGTTCAGAAAAAATCTCTATAAAATAAGCCATTTAACGCAAAAATGCTAGAATTTTGTAAATTTTTGTAAAATCCTTTTACAAAATTTGTAACCTCCCAATTTATCAAATTTTTCCAACTTTTCAATGATTTTGAAAAAGATGGTACATTTTATAGAGATTTTTTTCTGAACAAGATGTACTATCTGGTTTTGTCTAAAACCTATTTTGAAGCCTTTTATGACTATTGAAAGTAGTAGATTTTGGGCTGTTTTGAGGTTTAAATCGTTCATAACTTTCGAGAAATGGCTATTCCGCAAAAACGGTTAACATATTCGGAATCAGCGTAAAATTCTGCACAAGGGGAAGCTTGGTCCCGGGACCAAGCCTCCCTTTTGTGCAGAATTTTACGCTGTTCTGAATATGTTAACCGTTTCTGCGGAATAGCCATTTCTCGGAAAGTTATGAATTAACTCAAAACAGCCCAAAATCGGCTACATTAATAGTCATAAAGGCTTTTGGAACAGGCTTTAGACAAAACTTGAGTGTGAATCTTGTTCAGAAAAAATCTCTATAAAATAAGCCATTTAACGCAAAAATGCTAGAATTTTGTAAATTTTTGTAAAATCCTTTTACAAAATTTGTAACCTCCCAATTTATCAAATTTTTCCAACTTTTCAATGATTTTGAAAAAGATGGTACATTTTATAGAGATTTTTTTCTGAACAAGATGTACTATCTGGTTTTGTCTAAAACCTATTTTGAAGCCTTTTATGACTATTGAAAGTAGTAGATTTTGGGCTGTTTTGAGGTTTAAATCGTTCATAACTTTCGAGAAATGGCTATTCCGCAAAAACGGTTAACATATTCGGAATCAGCGTAAAATTCTGCACAAGGTAGGCTTGGTCCCGTGTCAAGGTCCCGACGACACTCAAAAACGTCTCCTTGTTAGGCTTCGTTTTCGCTTAGGTTTTGTATAGGCTGGCTTACGCTGACGTGAACCTTAACAAGGACTATGGATTAGATCCAGGCTTACGCTTAGACTTAGGCTTGACCTAGGCTTAGGCGAATGGCCAAATGTGTCCAAAGCTAAACGTCCAACATAGTGTGAAATGAAATCCCCGCTCTCCAACGATGGCGGTGACACTACAATCGAATAAGGTTTCGTTTTCCCGGGGGTGAAGAGGGGGTATAGAACCAGGGTCGTCCAGATGACAGATCCGGAGGACCGGTTCCGCCTTTGAGAGACCAACCGGGTGGGGTGAAGGATTGAGCCATCCCCATACGCCATCCGGCCCGATGCCAAAAGCCCCCAGCTCTCATCGCCACTGTCCGCTACACACCTGTGGACATCGGACTCGTCTTGCTAATGCTGTTAGTCGGGTCTTTTTAACAGAGCCGGCGGACGAGGGTTTTAGGGATTTTCGCGTGTGAGGTGAGGGGTTGAAAGGTTTGAATTTAGAGAGAGAGCGAGCTAGAGGCGGCGAAAGCGAGGAAGGAAGAGAGAGGAAAGAGAGAGAGAGCGAGAGAGAGAGTGAGAAAGAGAGAGAGAGAGAGAGAGAGAGAGAGAGTGAGTGACAGAAAGCAAAGTATTCATAAAAACTCCAAAACAAAACGTAATGTTTGCCGTTCTTTATCAAAACGGCTCGCACGGCTTTTCCGCTTTTCAGGGTCGTGCGGATGCGAGGCGGGGCTGATTGTTTGTAGGCGGCCACTTGTCACACGGCATGGCAAATATATGCGCCCCTTCTTCACACGCCGCTCTTCACAGAGGACTTCGACACATTCTTTTGATGTCGTCCGTTCGGATCATCGTGTAGTATCGCTAAAAGCTGCAAAACGTGACTAAATACAGATAAAAATGAAATATTTATGCATCGAAAGGGTGAATACATCTTAAAAATTGGGTCAGAGTTAATGAGGGGGATTTAGAAGTCCTCCTCGCTGGAGTCGATGTACTTCTTGTAGTGGGGGACAGTGCGGACAGGAGGGTCGATCTAAAGTTGACGTTTGAAAATCTGAATGGGTTAGGCCTAGGCTTAGCTTAGGCTTAGGCTTTGGAGTTCAAAAATTCTTACCGGTCTGCCGCTGCGGTCCTTGGCTTGAGCAAATCCGACGCGATCCTGGCCAAAGTCGAAGACGGAATAGTAGCTGAAAACAATTAGGGTAAGGTTTTAAGGCCAAACTCAGGTTTTGTTATACATTGGACGGTAAGTAGCTTTGTGGTTAAAAAACTCGCGTTTTTTAACCACAAAGCTACTTACCGTCCAATGAAGACGTCTCCCAAAATCCAGAGATCTCCAGCTTGGGGCGGCAGATCGATTCCCATAAATCCGGAGAGACAGATCGACTTTCCGCCGGCGGTGATCTAAAAACATCAAACGTAATTCGATGTATAAGTCGAGAGAGAGAGAGACATAGAGAAAAACATACATTAAGGACATAGTCAGTCCCATGGAGGGAGTACTCCTGGCCGCCAATCTGGAACGAGACATCGGGGAGCGAAGGGACCTTGTCGCACGGAATCATGTACTCTCCCTTCATCAGGGGCTCGGCGCCGATGAAGTTCTGGATTTCTTCGACCTGAAAATTGGGTATGAAGACGTCGCGTTTACGGTACACAAAATAGTAGTAATAATAATCCGCCCCAAAATCTCAGCAACGTTGCGAAGTACGACACTATATATCTTTAGACGTCGAAGGCTACAAACCTGCTTCTTCGGTCCCGCAATGAGCGAGGTACCGGTGTCTGCGATGGCTTGGCATCCGTTCGTGCAGGCGATGGCTCCAGACTTCCCGCTGACCTGAAGTTGGGTTTTTACTTGGTTTTGCTAGCACTCTCTCTATCTCACGCTCTTATTCTCTCTCTCTCTCTCTCTCCCTTTCTCCTACCTTGTCCATCTTGAACTGCCAGTAGCCCTTGCGGGTGACCGGCACGTAGGTAATCGGCTCGACATAGTGGTTGGGGTCGAGTCCACCCAGAGTGATCTCGCCTCCAATCTCGGCATCAGGATCCCTAACGTCAGTTTTTATTCGACGTTCCGTTTTTTTTTACTACCTGCTCAACCAGAAGGCGAACACGGGCTGCGCGACCTTCTTCTGGTCGATGAACGTGTTGAAGACGGGGGAGACGCCTGGACGAAAAATGATATGACACTAGAGGGCAATACATACCGAGAACGGCAATTTGGGGATAACCCATTCCGAGGATACCGTCGAACTTGGCGGCAATGAAGGTGAGGCCGGGTTCAGAGGTGGCTTCGGCGAAGGGTTGGTCCTCGGCGCAGAGTCCGGCGACCTGAAAAAGGGATTTTTAGGCTTAGGATTAGGCTTAGGATTAGGCTTATGCTTAAGGCTAGGTCTAGGCTTAGGCTTCGGATTAGCTTATGCTTAGAAATACTTACGCAAACAGAGTCCTTGCTGATGAATCCCTTCATGCTTCCGGTACCGTATTGGATCTGCATCTTGCGTCCGTCCGACTTGTAGGTGGAGGAAGCGCCCGAATCGTAGCGGTGGTGGAGCACTGGAATGATCGCGAATTTTCTCTCGACTCTCGATTTCTCGCGCCTGCTCTCTCTTTCTCTTTCTCGTTCTACTTACTGCAAGCAATGTCGTAGAACGGGCATTTTCGCGACGGGACCCACAAGTTGGACGATCCAGTATCGAAGATGACAGTGAAGTTCTGAGCGGGAGTTCCGATGGAGATCTCTCCATAGTATTGGGCCTAGGGATCGGAGGGTAGAGTACTCAAGAAAGTATCACTCACATCCATATAATTCCTTAGATGCTCATCCGGGGTGAACAGACGGTTGCTGTCCTTGTGGTGGCGGTGGGGGTGGTACTTGCGGATGCGCTTGGCCAAGGCGAGCTCACGCTGCTTGGCGAACTCTTTGTAGGAGCCGGCTTCGAAAAGCGTGTCGCGGATGGTGGTGAGTTTCTTGAGCGGGATTCTGGAAGTATCAGGTTATATAAGTTTCTCCTTAGGCTTGGCTTAGGCTTTAAGCTTACCTTCCAATCTGTGGATATCCCGTCACTCGCATGTGACGATGGTGCCGATCCGACTTGGCCCACGCCTCACTGACGGCGAATAGGGCCACCAGGGCCCAGAGAAAGTTCATGCTAAACACGGAGTTGAGTATGGTATTTTCGGGGCGATGCCCTTCTGATGAAACCGATTGCAGGCAAGAAATTTGTCAACAAGTGATAGGCAGCAAATGATAAAGAGTTGTGTGGAAAGCGGAAATTCGTGGGTTTCAAAATCGGGGAGAGAGCGAGAGAGAGAGAGCGAGAGAGAGAGAGCGAGATAGAGAACGAGAAAGCGCGAGAATGAAAATGAGATCCCAGAGTTGCTGAGACATCAAAAATCTGAGGTTGCTACAAAACTCATTATGGATTTTTTGTTGGGAAAGGACATAAAAAGCGTTTGGTTTCCAAGGTATCGGATTACGGTAACTAGGTAAAATCAGGATCTGACAAAAAGTTAGAAGTCTAGAATGAATGCGAATCCCGAAGAAATCCCCAACCCTCTGCAAAAGTGCTACATTTCAAAAGTGAAGTCCCGCCTCGCAAAGAAGAGGTCGGGGTCCCGAATGATAGCCATCTGCGGCTCCTCGCCCCAAGGGCTTCTCGGACAAGACCAATCGCAAAAGAAACAGAGAGGGCAAAGAAAACAGGGAATGGCCACACTGCCCCCCGCCGCCGGCTATTTGATAAGAGGTCAGCCAGTGGCTGAGTCGGGCAGCTGACACATAGGGGGTCCGTTTGAAAACAGAAAACGGGGAGGAGAGGAGGAGGAGGATGGCCGGCTCTTCTTGCTCTAAAAAAGTGACCAATTTGTTTCTCCAGTGGCTGAAACCCGTGAAAAATGGCTGGGCCGGGCTGCCGGAGGCCTACCCCAGATGTGCCCGAGATTTGTGGGGCGCTGGAAAAATGGCCTTCCTGTTGGCGGTTTTTTTTGGGGGGGATTGGACACTCCAGCTCTTTTTTAGGGGCTCCATCCGAGCGTTAATTGACTTTGTTAGTATTTTTGGGAGGGGGTGGAACGTTCCGCAACTTAGAAAAACCCTATTTGACAGGGGTCAAGTTTGTGGTGCACTTCCCGGTTTGCCAGCCCCTTTAAGAACGCTAATTCGATACCAAGAATTTACTGCATCTTTTGAAAAAGACACGGAAATATAGACCGTAAAACTGGAACTGTTGGTATATGAGAGTTACAATAAGACCGGTCATCGAATTGACCGGGCAAGCGTAAAAATTGACGGATTGGCTGAATTTGTGAAGCCATCCCTTTAAAAAATGCAGCACGGGGACAAAATTAAGCAAAAATTAATTTTAAAAGGTTGACCTGGCTCTTTAAAGGCATGTCGAAGTTCTGGTTTCAAAAAGTTTGTTTTACTTAAAGGGTCAGAGTTGAATCTTATTAGCTATGGCTTGGCCAAGGAGTTAACCGCTGTCGCGACACGCCGCGCACGCAGACTTCATCGCGTTGTGCGAGGTTACGCCAGATTTTAAAGTGATTGAGCGACTATCGCGTTGGATGTCGCTTGATCTGCTTAGACCCAAAGAAATCCATGGCACACAAAAAGGCCAGCTATGACTTGTACATCCCTTTAAAATGGCTACGGTACGTTGTAAAAACTCTACCGGATTTAACTGTCTATAAAAATATTTGAGCAAAAAATCTAGCCCTGAAAGAATGGCCAGACAATTCGACTAGCTTCTGAATCCCGTTTATCACAAATCGAAGAAATGAATAAACAACCTCCCGTTTGAGACTATCTATGCATTCACAGTGTCTGTCCCTACCCCTTCTCCACATGTTATTGTCAGAAGCGGGGGGTGTGTTGTTTGTCAGAATCAGCCCATCTTCGTTGCTCTTCGGGGTCTGCGGGGCGATGAATCAGAAAGACCCCCCGGGGAAGCAGGGAAGGCAGACATCACCCACGATAACATTCTTTTTGCAATTTTATATGCTCGGGGTACAGGGTAAATACAGGATAAGGGGGCTGGGAGGGGAAAACAAGGTTTTTCAAACTGTAGGAAAGTCTAGTGAAGTTTTAAGCGAATTTAGGGCTGAATTTCGTCAGCAAAAAAAGTTTCTGAAGTCGTAGCAACTCTTCAATTTTTTTAATTGTTTAGATATAGTATTGACCTAGGCTCTCAAACCTACCCAATCTCTTTAAAAATTTCTATCCTGATTTGAGCTAAAAAATTAGCACCCTAACTGCCAAAGACAGATTCCCCCTAAAACCCAGTTTTGCAATGATCGATCTCCCCACGGGCGCCCGGGGCCATTCGTCAAAATATGTTGACAAGTTGAGTTTCAACTCCTGCTCCTCATGTTCCACACGAGTGTGTAACAGATCACACAACCTGCTCGCCTTTTGTAAGGGGTTTCTTGGGTTTTTAGGCTTGCCCCAGCCTTATCAAAAATAATACTAGGAGAAATCTATCAAAGATTTATCCCAAAAATTAATGGAACTAAAAAATTTAGAAAAATTCACCAACATAAATCAAAGCTCCAAAAGCAGGAACATGGGAAAAATGAAGGGAATATTTGCCTTTATTCATAGTGTTGTTGACCAGAAGAAAAGTGCGAATTTGATTAACCTCAGATCAGCAAATACGGAAGAGCGGAAGCCGAGTCAGAGTTGACTTTAACTTTTAGACTCCAAATGCACTTTTTGGTACGACCTAGACTTAGGCTTGGGCTTAGGTTTAGGCTTAGGTTTAGGCTTAGGCTTAGGCTTAGGTTTAGGCTTAGGCTCAGGCTTAGGCGTAGGCTTAGACTTTAGCTTAGGATTACGCTTTGGCGCAAGCTTGCGTTAGGCTTCGGCTTAGGCTTAAACTTAAACCTAGGCGTCGGCTTTGACGCCTACGCAAAAACATACAAAAATTCACAAGGAAAAATTCAAAGCCACTCCGAAACCTCGCAACTAACCACAATCGGCCAAGATCGCACTCACCCGATAAAAAGAGCCCCTCCTGTTTTGCGAGTCTGCGCGAGTTTGGCCGCAGGGTTGACCTCGAAAATTGGCAAGGCCGCTCCTCCTCCCCCTCCCAGCTAACAACCATGTGGGTGTCTGTGTGTTTGCCAGAAGAGATAATGGGACCGTAGCAGCACATCGACCCAGAAGGGATAATTGGATTCACCCCGGTCTATTATAGGTTGGAAAAGTGGCCGTGTTTTGCCTTGGGTCCTGCCCCGCCTCACGGGGAGGTCATTTTTCAATTTTCCCATAAAGGGATGGCTTATTCAGGGAGAGGGGGATCGGCAGGAGGGGAAAGAAATTTGAGCCGTCGGCGTCCACTTTGATGCAGGAATTTTTTGTAGATGAACTTGAGTAGAGTTCAAATTTAGATGGAAAGTGAAGGAATACCACAAGGCTACAAACTTGCAAAAATTACAATTTTTTAGATGTTCTGCCTGACCAGGCCATTCGAAAAACTTGTCAGTGTTTCATAAAACTTTCTATCTGTCGCTTTCTCTCGCTCTCACTCCCTTTGTCTTTCTCCCTTTCCTTCTCTCTCACTCTCTCACTCGCTGACTCTCTTTCTCTCCCTTACTTTCTTTCTCTCAGTTTGTCTATCTCTCTCTCGCTTGAGGTATCTCACTTGGTTTTATTCTTTTGCTCCTTCTCGTTCTCTCATTTCCCCTCTTTTGTGGCGTCAAAGCGCCTCAAATCAGGAAATAACCTTGAAAAACATCAGTTTACACATTGCGAACATTAGACAAGTTGAGATTTAAATTCAGGCTGATTGCTGATCGAGTCCTGCTGATGTCATGCATCTCCAGAAAGGAGTGCAGTCGCTGGGAGTGGCCCGCCATCTGGTTCTGCTGTTCTTCGTAGAGGAGGCTGCAGAGTTCGGATGGGTTCACCTGAAAAGTTACGGTCTATACAGTTGAAAGTCATCAGGAGCTCGGAATCCAGCTGGCACGATCCCTTTAAAGGACTGCACAAGGCTCGGCTATGGATTTTGTCGCATCGCAATCCATTACGCGATGAAAGGCTAGAAAGCTAGGTTTGGAAAGCGCGTTACGTGTCACGTCGCTGGCAAAATCCATAGCTAATCTCGGCCACAAAATTTAGGAATCGTGCCTTGTCGGTACCTTCAATAATACCTTTTAGCTGTTTTGAATTGAAAAATGCCCTAATTTATCTCTCCTAGCCTGCCCCACCTGCGATCCCGCAACCGCATTCCTCGAAGGCCGAAGACTACCCGTCGTCTGTGTCGTGTGGAAATTTGTTATCTAAATTAAACTATTCCCCACCGTTTTTATGTATTTTTTTTTCAAGATATTGATCGCACAGGGAGCGTGGCAAAAGCAAGAAAAACGTATGCAAAATTGGGGGAAAAACTGTCGAGCTAGCAATGAAAGGAAAGACCTACTCATTGTTCTCCGGGTCGTCTGAATAGTGACAGGGCGTATTTTGGCGAGCCGAAAAAATATTGAATTACCTCCATCCTGCTCATCGACTTTGGCTCACTCGTACAGCACAGTCCACAGGACACCTTCTTGCAGAGGATGCTGAGGACTCGGACAAAGCCTGGAAATTTTATAAATTTTAGCCCACGTTGTCTTAGACTATTTCCAAAATCTTTTAAGTTTCAAAATCTTACAAACGTTTAAACAAATAAAAACCGATTTTTTTGAACCATAAAACTCCAAAATCTCGCGATTAGACGGATTTAAGCAATTTTCCAACATTTCATAACTTCTGGCGCCAAAAAGAAGGTTTTGTAGCCTATGGGTATAGGTAGCCTTTTGGAACGACGAAATTTTGCTTGAATGCCTTGTAAATTTTTTAATAGCTTTGAAAACAGATCTTTCGTCAATAAACGTTTTATAAACCAGAAATTTTTGTTACTTACCTTTCCTAAAGTTGTCTGACATTAAGGCGTAGAGTATCGGGTTCAGACAAGAATTTGTGTATGCCAGCACTTGACTGGCTATCTGCACGACCACCATGATTTTGCCACCTCGAAGTACCAAGGTGTCTGGGTAGGCCATTCCTGAAAAATTGCGAATTTTGACCTCTAATAATATATATTTATACATAATAATAAATAATAATAATAATAATATATATATATATATATATATATATATATATATATATATATATATATATATATATATATATATATATATATATATATATATATATATATATATATATATTTAATACAGTAAGTCACTTTTCTATTCGCTTAAATTAACGTATTATTAATTGTGACTATCCAAAAACCAGTGCGATACCTGAAAAGAAGAAGCACACATTAAGCGGTAACCAGCAAACTGCCCAAATGATCACCACGCACAATACTAATCGCGTCACTTTCCGCTTGGCTTTTACAGTTTCCGGTCGGCTCCGGATTGAGCTGTTGATCTGAAACAGAGGCTTTCTCTTTCTTTCTCACACTCTCTTGCGCGCTCTCTCTCACGTCTTCTCTCTCTCTCTCTCTTTCGTCAAAGCTCACACTATTACACGTCCCCGGCCTTGGTGTTCGCCATAACCTGCTCAGCATAAAATAGTAGAGAACGCAGGTAATCCCGAGTGGCAACATGTAGCCGAAGAGGTTGAAGGTTAGGAAATACCCTCGGGCCTTAAATAGAAACGTTGGAGTTTGTAGCGAAATGGAATGTTACCTGAGCGACAGTCGCCGAATTGTCAGCGATACTTACGATAGCGCAAGTGGATCGATTTTCGACTATAAACTCATAGTAGAAGATGCCATGCATCAGCCCGATTGGGATCTGAAAATGGAAATTGTGAAAGAGAGAGAGAGAGAGAGAGAGAGAGAGAGAGAGAGAGAGATAAAAGACGAGAAAACTTACTTGAGAAACAAATATTATAGCATATACGATCATCATGACAATCACAGTATTCCTCGTACTCCGCAAGGTCATAGAATCCACTGGAAAACACACAGCCAAGAACCGGTCGAGCGCCATTAAAGTCAGGGTCCAAACGGAAAAGTAGGCGGAGATATGCTAAAATTCTAAACGTTTTAAAAACTAGTGTCCTTGACTTGAAAATAATTGATCATTGAGCAGGTCCACTCGGGGAATACCCAGATTGGCATCGCGTAATCGATTGCTGTGAAGGGAATGCAGAGGAGCAGGAACATTAAGTCGGAGATCGCGAGCCCTAAAGCGGGTGTTGAACGTTCCTACATGGGCCTAAGCCTAAACCTACGCCCAAGGCTCCGCCTACGCCAGTCAAACTTACCAATAATCAGCGTATTAGTACTATTCCTCATCTGCCGATGCAACGCCACCACGACCACCAGCACATTGCCAACGACCCCGATTAGTATAATTAATGCAAAGATGGTAGGGATTATGATTCCAATCTAAAAAATTCTGTTAAAAGGGCATGACTGTTTTACCTTCTTTTCAAAATTAACAGTCTCATTATAAAAGGCCATCACCATGGCCATTTGCTCTTGGTCGGCGGCGCTCATGGCGGCAGCTGTTGTGGGGGTGGCCGGGGTTCGGGATTGGGCTGTTGATGCTTCTTCCATCGTTATCCGGAATTAGAATGTATCTTAATAGCGTAATATTTGTACAGAAAAGTTGATACGCATCTTGGCGAGGTAGAGGCACTCTCGAAAAATACGCAAAAATTGGCAAAAGCACCTTAATAAATGTTTTATAGTCTTTTATCCTCCCAAAGCGTCTAGTATACAAAGCTAACCCGGCAGAAAAGATAAAAACTACAAATATAAAGGAAAAACATGGCAATGTTCCGCGACCTTCGAAATTAAAATAGCTCTGTGAAAATCTATGAAAGCTCACATTGAAATACAGCTTACAAGGCGGCTTAATAAATTTTATATGGTTGCGTTTCCTTAAGGAAAATGGATGAAGAGGATAAAAAGTTGAATTAAAAGCAGGGAAGTAAAAAAATTTTTTCCGCGCTGGGGCTCACTGAAAGATGTCAGAGAAAAATCACAAAAATAGATTCCCAGCACAAAAATATAACGTTTTCCTCTAGCATCTTTCGGTTTTTCCAGGCCCGTGACATAGATACCAGGACCCAGACCAAATCCCGTTATTCAAAATGGAGAATCAAAAATTTGCCTCCCGAATTGGGGGAACGCCCTCCTTCAAAATCGACTTGCCCGTCGACCGGCGTCACTGACCAAAGATGGCAGCCAATTGTCTCGTGTCTTGGTCAGAATTCTGGGGGATTTCCCCATCGTGGAGAAGATTGAAAAAAATTGAGAATTCAACGGGAAGTATCTTCTACTCTGGTCTTTAAAAAATCTTTCCGATTTTGCTCTGATCTCAGCCAAAACAGACAAATCCCCCACCCCCTTCAGCCGTTCCAGAAACAACACTCTGCTCGGGAATTGGATTTTCTGCTTGCAAGAGCATCACCTCGGCGTGGTTGGATGTGGATAAGAGGATCAAACGTGACGTTGAATTGAGGTAAAAGAAACGGTTAGGCTTAGGCTTCGTCCCAGGCTTATGCTTAGGCTTACAAGGAGTCGCTTTTAGGTGCTTTTGGAGTTTCTGGACGGGACCTAGCTAGTTCGATAGAGAAAAAAATTCTGAGCAAGATACGGTTTTCAAAAAGTGCTGATCGATCAAGGAATTTTCGTTAGATCAGATCAAGGAATAAAGGATGTAGGACAACGCACTAGCCACTCGGCCCTGCCTAGGACGGGATCCAGGACGCGTGAAGTCCTCATGTGGCAGGGCGGTCGACCGACGCAAATCACCTCAAAGCATCACAAGGGTCCGGATAACGAGAACATTTTTAATTGAATTAAATTTTCTAAAACACCTTTATCGATCAGCACTTTTTGAAAACGGGATGTTGCTCAGAATTTTTTTCACTATCGAACTAGCTACGTCCCGTCCCGAAACTCCAAAAGTACCTAACAACGACTCCTTGTTAGGCCTAGGTTTAAGCTTCGGCTTGGGAGGCTCAAAAAACGAAGGCAAGCAAAAAACTATAATTACAGTCATCAAGACATCCATAGACCGTACCCGTAATCCGTGAGTACGTATCCAATCTGAGCATAATCTGTTGCAAGAAATTGCGGCGTTAATCCAGGGATTTTTCAAAATCCGAAATAAGAACATGTCAGAACGGTTGTTGATTTTTGAAGCTGATGCTCCAAAAAACACTAAAAAGTAAGCCGATGTTCAGTGGCCTGTTAGAAAGATCAATTTCCGGGTTTGATGAAAATGGAGGAAGAGAGATAGCGAGTGAAAGGCCGAGAGAGAGAGAGAGAGAGAGAGAGAGAGAAAGAGAAAGAGAGAGAGAGATCGAGAGCGATCGAACCAGAGGTAGCAATCGTAAAAAAAACGAGCCCGAAATTCCGCTTCCACTTCCAAAATCTTGCTTGACAAACCCCCTGGCTTCCCCCGTTCGCGCCCAAAAATATAGAAGTACGACGTTCGTTTGAAGGGGCGGAACGTCGGGGCTTTGAAGCGGCATCTGCATCTGGTAAGCTAGGTGAGCAGTGCGGCTGCGGGGAATTGTGGCGCCCCGGGCGTTCATGCTGCAGTGATATGGATAACGTGATTTGGCGTGGAGAAGGCCTGAGGGGATCCCTGCATTAGGCACCGGGGGAACAAGAAGGAGGAGAAGGAGAAGAAGCAGCAGAAGATGTCGCTTCTATGGCAGGAGAAGAAAACGTGTGGCTCCTCTCCAGGCGACGAACAGACGGAAAGGGAGGGGAGACAAAAACGGATGCTATCGGAAGGGCAAACCGGGGCAGCAAGGGCAGATGATGTTAGGGTGGTCGGGGAGAACACTGCGGAATTTAGGGACGTCGAATTTGTGGAAGTCTGAACCTGGGACTGGCAACAAGACGATTTTACGTTGTCAAGAGGGATATCTCGTTTTCTCTCGCGCGCTCTCTCTCTCTCTCTCTCTCTCTCTCGTTCTCTCGCTCGACTGATCATCGGCATCGAGTCAAGGAATTCCTATCCTTCCGACTAGCTTTGGCACGTCAGGCTTCCTTCTCCTCGGGATGCAAATTGCCCTGTTTTCCGGGGATGTAACATTTATGAGGGAGGTGCAGTTAGGCGCTAGGTAAGAACGCGTCGATACTTTTTACGTTGAAAGAGAAAGAGAGAAAGGGGAATAGAGAGAGACACACACACACAGAGAGAGACACTGAGAGAGAGGGAGTTGGGAGCGAGAGAGAAATAGAGAAAGCCAAGTTCCATAACCAAATTTTACAATCTCAAAGAATCACAGACCACCCACATACGCCCCGCCGCTGACCCAATAACCCATTCAGCCCCCTCACAACGACCTGACAAAATGGGATGACCCAAGATACCCTTTCGGCTTCTCCACCCTACATCTGCGTTTTGATTTCACCAAAATACACTCTAAATCAAAATATCCCCTGTTTGGCACGTATCAAAAATCGCTGAAAGAATGGTAGTTGTCGTGTCAGGACCCGGTAGGCAAGTTTCGGACGATTTTCTAGGGCGGAGACTGTCAGCCACTTCCCAGCGGGGGAGATTGTAAAAAAGGGCACAATTTTTGGGGGTTGTTGGACGAAAATAATTGCCGAAACTGATCGACTGCAAGGGGAAGTGGTTAAAAGGAATACGTGTTTAATGCTTTCCCATTCGCCACCAACCTGGCTCACTAGTGTGGATGAGGTTGCTCCAGAGTTGGGCTTGACTTGCCTTGAAAATTGCCGCCAGGCTTAGGCTTAGACTTAGGCTTAGACTTAGGCTTAGACTCAGGCTTAGGCTTCCTCACTTGCACGGAGCATCGAAACTCAAAGAAAGTTGAATAAAGTCCAGAAAGATCTTGGCTGGCCCCGAGGCGTGATCCATTTCCTGCGGCTAATTGCCGAGCGGCCACTTTCCATCAGATATCCTAGGCCACGCGCGGGCTGAGAGCCAGACGACGTGATGGCGACGACGACGAGCGGGGCAATTTTTCAACGGGTAGAGGGTGAATAATGTTTTTTACAATTCTTGGGAGGATTTTGTGACCGGAAATGGCTGATTCGATGTAATTTCCGTTGTGCGCCGCAAAATACTTACCTTCGGGTAAGACTTCATCCCATTTTAGCACAAACATTTCTCGAGCTAGAGATACCTCCGGAAATTGGCCTTTCTGGAATTTTTCACCTGACTATCAACTATAATAATCTTTTTAGACACAGAAAATTTCTATTTGATTATTGGCAGAAGTTTTAGATCGAAGAATTCCATTGGTTTTCAAATTTCAAATGAATTGAATGTGAACTGGAAATTAAAATCAACTCCCGTAATTTTCTTTCATTCTAGGAAGAAATGTCGTAACTTTTCCGGAAATTAGCTTTTTTTATGATGATTTCCCTAGCAGCTTTCTAAGTAAGGCTACCGCATTCTAGATATTAGTACAACTTTGGCCCAAATTTGCATAAACCTGGATTCATCTCGGCAGTTAGTTTTTACCACATCCAAACGTGAAACCATTTAGAAGCCAAAAAAATATTGTTTCCTTGTTCCCGGTTGCCAGCAAAGGTGTGCCCGACCGGGATGTGGAGCCCGGGGCGTCAAGGTAAATTGTTGTTATGCGGGGGAGTGGGGTGGAGGTTGTGGCTGATGCTGCCCGGCAAGGTGGAGTAGGAAAAAATGACCGGAAGTCGGGGTTGAAATGGGAGAGTGGTAAGAAACAAGCGATACGAGTTCCGGTAAATGACTGACAATCATTGCAATGTATCAGAAAAATAAATTTCTTTCCTTGAGCTTGTCTAAATACATTATTTTGCGTTTGATTTTTAGAATTTCAAAAATTGATTTGCAAAGGCTAGACCCTCAAACAAAACTTGCATTACGACGAGAAACCCTCTGCAAAAGGCAGACTCGCCTTCCGCATGAAGATATAAATCCTCGTGGCACTTAGAGTTCTTACCCTTGTTGGTAGATTTTCTAAACAAAAATAGATATAAAATTTTATGCTTCTAGTAATAGATGTTTTGCTTAACAGAAAAACGTCATGATAGCCGCATGCAAAGCAAAACAGATAGATTTGGGCGCAACTGAGCAGCCGATAGTTTCGATGAAGCCGAAGGAATAAATAGGAGAAAGAGAGAGACAGCGAGAGATAAAGATAGATTTAGAGAGACAGTGAAAGAGAGGTACAGAGTAATATGGCCATCGTCCCGAAATCAGCACACCACCACCTCCTGTGATGTGGAAGGCGGAGCAGAAGGGGGAGGAGGCCAGGAAAATTGGATTCCTCAATATATTCGCCCGGGAAGACAACCATCACCAGCCGGAGAGTCGGGGTATTTTCCGCACGCATCCTATTAACGGAGTATGGTGTCTGGCACGCGCAAGAGGAGCCAGAACTTTGAACGCTTACGAAGGGATTAGAAGGGTTCGGCCTGGACGGACCTAGTTAGGCTTAGGCTTAGGCTTAAGTTAGGGCTTGGGCTTAGGCTTGGGCATCGGATTAAGCCTAGGCTTAAGCATAGGCTTAGGAATAGGCTTTGGCGAAAGAGAGAGATATAGAGAGAGGGGGCGAGGGATAGGCGCAGCGGGATAGTTACAGCTTAGGTTAAATCAAAACGTAGATATAAAATGCAAAAATTCAACATTTCCGCTTTTCCCCAAAATCCGAAAGGACGGCAGGAAAATGACCACCCCGCAGCGCCTAGACCCTCCCGAGACAAATGTGGCTAGCTCTGCATATTGCATCTCTTTTTTTTGTTCGAACGTTCCTGCATTTCGGCCTTCTTTAAATGGGCATTTTGTGCATCCGTTCAATCGGTCTTCTTTTCATCTGAAGCCCCATCGTTTTTTGGCCCTATTGAGCGATGTATAGGCGGCCAGCCATAAATCGGGGTCTCATGTCAGCATGTCAGAATAATTACCGGCTCGCAGCGATTGCGGCGCTTTGAGATGGACGGCAGGGTATCTATTCGGAAGCGACAAGCGGGCGGATTGTCTTGGGAAAATGAGGCGTTCAAATGAGAGGGTCTGGTTCGGCAGGAGCTCGAGATTTTCCGATGACATTAGACGCGGGAGGTCGTCAATTTTGCGGTTTGGGATTGTTTTAAAAATTTGATTATCTCGCTAAGTCGTAGACAATGGTTCAGGCATTAAAGTCAAGCAGCGGAAACGTAACGTTAACGTGTTGCTTCGTACTTCCAAGATTGCGGGGAATAATGGGTTTTCGCATTGTAATACCCTAATTTTCGGCTCTAAAAAGCAAGTATCTGTTCTCGTATCTTCAAATACTCTTTCGCCAGGAGGCAAACCAGCAGAGTTTTGAGGAATTTAGCAAGAAATCGAACATTCAGTCAGCCGGACTTCGAGCTGGCGCTAAACGAACAAAGAACGCCACGAGAAATCCTCCATCACCTCCAGTCGTTGGCTCATAAATCTTCCAGTGTTTTTTTCGAATAACGCGACGTTTTGTGTGCCTGCCAGGTTTATGTAAATTTGATAAATTAGTGTTGATGGAGTGGCTTTTTCTTGTTAGGCTGTTCGTTTCGAGAAATTCCCCCCAGAAAACATACAAAAAGCTAGACAAAATATCACCGAAAGCGCTAAAAATACCACCAAAAGTGCTCGTTGTAGTATATAGCTTATACGGCATGAAATGATCGTAAAAATAACATGTAATAGTATATTTACATACTTTATTATGGCACTGTAACAAAGTATCAAATCTCGTTAAAAACACGACCCCGAGGCGAGGTATCACCCTCCCCTTCAGAGTCACTGGCCTCAAACAGCAGCTTTTCAAAGTCTTCAAGCTCGTTGGAGTCTGTTCGCCCAGTCCGGATATGGCTAAAAAAGAGATTACAATAATATCCATAGTAACCCACCCAAAATCGACCCCAAAATACTTCTTGTACTGGCTGTACGGCCAGAACAGGTGGACAAGGCTGGCGATGGCGGCAAAGTTGGCTAGAGTTCTGATACCTAAAGAATTCAGGTATGATATTTGTATAGCGGGTATGACTAACCTAATATAATCTTAAACCTCCATAACACTGATATGAAATGCGCGACAACGCCGACGCCGGGCAGATAGACGAACCACACCAGGAAGCCGGCCCCGAAATGTGCGAGGAAAACTGCTTTCTCGTGGCAGCGTTCACTGAACAAAAGATTTGATACATAGGTATCCAGATGTTTAAGGCATACGGTGCTTAAAGTATACGGCACTGAAGGTATACGGCACTTGAGTTATACGGTACTTAACGTATACGGTAGTTACGGTATACGGCACTCAGAATATGCAATACTTAAGTATACGGGGGCTTAAGGCATATGGTATTAAGGTATATGGTACTTAAGGCATATTCTAAGTAGTAGTGGTCTAAGTAGCTTACCGCTTAATTAGCCATCTGATTTCTAACAGGAACCACAGCGCAAAAATGATGCGTATGGCCAGCATACCGTAACCGGGCCAACTGATGAAAATGTCGACGTCGTGAACGATGTCGTAGACAAAGATCTGAAACAAAAATTGGGATTTAAAACAACTAAAAATTCACGATTTCCGTTTTTAAAAGTATTACCGTATCATCGCGTACTATCTTATACTACCGTACTCTACCAAAAATTCACAAAATTGCCTACTTTAGTGAAAGACTTGGCTTTTTGCTCAAAACAATGCTAGGTACGAGTCTGGCCACTAATTAATGGCTACAGTGATTTTCTATATCCGTATTCAGTGCGTAGCATAGCGGAATGCGTTAAAGACCGTAAGGACACTGTTTTCTTCCGTACGACCGTATTAAAACGTACTCGGCCGAACTTAAATAAAACTTACAAAATTACAGCAAAACAACACGAATTTGATGGCGCTCAAGAACATCCAGCTGAAGAAGAAGCACTTGGTGATCGTCTCCCCGTTGTTGAAGGCCCAGCCTCTCGCGAGGAGCAGGAGCAGCAGACATAGTAAGTCGATGCCCACCATTCTAAAGCGTAACCTTTGATGCAGTACGCTTAATCTGCATTACCTGAGAACCTCTCCAATCAGCCGAGCAAGAAACACCCCTTCACCGTCGGAGGCGAATACAAGCATATTGAGGGATTGGAGGGCAACTCCGGCCGTTTTTAGGTAAGCGATATAGGCGAGGAGGTTGAGGCGGCTAGGGGACTGAAGGTATCGATTTCGGAAGGATGGTTCGTGACTTACATAATGCTTCTTTTGAATGGCTTTTCCACGATAGATCAGCCCGCAGAGAATGGTGTACGCGACGAGCGTCAGGAGGTACATTTGGGTAGCGTCCTGGAAAGGAAGATTATTGCAGGATGCATGCCTAGGCGTAGGCTTAGGCTTACCCATAGGCTTGGACTTCGGGTTAGGCTTAGGCTCAAGCCTAGGCTTAGACTTACCTGCTCGTCAAAGCTAAACTGCAACCGGAACGGGTCCCGATCTTGAAAAGTCGGATTCCCATTCGTCAACCACAAATCGTAGCTGAGCTTCGACTCCGCTTTTGAAGCCACCCAAGTGCAATTCTCATCCAAGTGGCAAGATATGAGCACGAGGTACCTATATATTCCCGTTTTTAAACATTGAAATTTCACAAACCAATATTCGGGCGTCTCGGGCTCGATAATTTGCAAGGTTAGCTGCGAGTCGGGTAGTAACGTGGATGAATTTGTCACCGGTTCCTCCTCTAAATTTTTTTTGTATATTTTCGTATTTTTAATCACATACCTTCACATAATTTCCCGGCCGGGCAAGGGACCCATCGAAAAATGTCGGCCTGACCTTTTGTGTTGCATTTTGCGTCGTATCCGTTTGCTGCTATTTTCTGGAAGTTGGCATTTAAATTTTAATACCTCGAATTCGGAAATGCATAGTTTAATTTATGAAGAGTAAAATACTACCTCCATCATAACCCCGCAAGAATTTCCATATTCCGAATCCGAGTGCAGGGCCCCGATTTTTGCAGCCGGGACGACGATGAAGGTAAGGACATCTGGAATTACAATTTGTTACCGTTTTTTGTAAGTCATTTTTTAGCCGTAATATGGCATCTATTAATCCATTTATATTACTAAAAATTATGTGAAAACTATTAAAAAATTTATTACCCTTTGAAAATTCAAGAAAACGGAACAAGGAGCAAAATTCGCTTACCATCCTCCTTCGTCTGCTTCCCGGTAATATTCCCATACACAAATCCTCGTGATGCCTTTGGAAAATTTTGGTCGATTTGTTGGAAACCGAATTTTTTGATTATCTAAAAAGGTATTTTTCGGCTATTCCCCTAACTCACCTTGACATTAGCCTCCTTTGGATCCCAAACGCCCCGTACCCGTACGGTTGACCCGAATTGAACGAAATGGTGCAGGAACACAACTACAAACAACAAGTGCCAGGTTTTACATCGCCGAGTTGAGCCTTGCATCGCACATTCTGGAATGAAAAATGTTGAGTTCTGGATGTAAAATCGCACATTCTGGATGTAAAAAAAGTAGAAGAATAGATTTAGGCTTAGACTTTGGTTCCGGCTTCGGCTTAGCCTGAGGTTTAGGCTTCCGGTTCAGGCTTAAGGTCGGGCTCAGGCTTAGACTTAGGCTTAGGCTTAGGCTTAGACTTAGGCTTAGGTTTCGGCTTAGGCTTAGAATCGGGTTTAGGTTTGGGTTTAGGTTTAGGCTTAGGCTTAGGCTTGGTTAGACTTAGGGTTAGGCTTAAGCGTTGGTTTAGGGTATCTTTATCAATTTTGATGGAGAATACATAAAATATCCTCATAAAAAATGTTCGAAAATGTAAAATCCAGTAAATTCAGGCCCTTCACAAAATCTATTAAAAGCGAAAACCTTGATACTTGAGTTTCTACGTGATTTTTTGCAAAATACGCAAATCCCATGCCAAAAACTTCCATGTGAGTGACAGGATTAGCCCTCCTAATGCAGTGCGGCCCCGTCGACTCCATAAAGGTACCGTAAGCGGTTGGGGGCACCGAATAGTGGGCGCCAAATTGAAAACCCAGGGCAATGGGGAGATCGTGGGAATAGCAAGTGATAAGAATGCTAGAGGGGATTCCCATTCGTTTTCTAGCTTCTACTTTTTGGGGGAAATGGCATCCGGAATTGTCAACGGACCGATTCCGGAGTATTTTATGAAAGATGTGAGCAACCGGCTGAGCTCGTTGGAGTTTGAGAAGGTTGGTCGGGTTACAAATTGCTCAGATTTGGAGTTATATGTATAGTTATACGTCTAGAAAGTCATTAATAATGATGTTTGGAGGAAAAACGGTGAAAAGTATTGCTTCCGGATGTCAAATTGATATAATGACATACATTCTCTAAAATTTGGTTCCTGAACTGGACTATTAACGAATCAAATATTTTGTTAACTCCTAGAAATGCTATAAAAAATTATTTCAGGTAAATAATTATCAAAAGATCTATTTTTAATGTCAGATTTATAGAATTTGATTACTAATAAGCTACAAGGCCTTATTTTTAGGAAAAGGACCATTTCCTAATCCTGGATCAACTCTTGCTACCACTCGAAAAGAAATATGTAAAAATTTCGGGGGTTGATGACGCTTGTGCAGTGATTATTTCAATGCAGGTAGGTTCCAAACTTTATTTACAAAAATTCGTCTACCGAAATTATTAAACGCGGTATTCAGGTACGCGGAGCTCCACTTATCGCGATTGTTGGAGCCTTCGGACTACGAGTAGAGCTGCTCAAGACCCAGTTTTCCAATCCGGAGGAACTAAAGGAATTCTTGTCGGCAAAGGTAAGGGAGAGGCGATGCATTATGCTATCAAAACTGACTAGCTTAGCGGATTGCCAGGTCTTTTTGTTTTTATTATATTGTTAAAGCTAAATACACGAGAAAAAGCGAGAATTGTTCCCAAAATTCAGATGAAACTACTGATCCTGACCCGACCTACGGCAATCAACCTCGGTAACGCAATGCAGCAAATTTCGGATTCAGTTGAGGGCAAGGATACGGTAGAGGAGATACTGGATATGTATGATTCTCCTTTAAGAACCCAAAGCATTTTGATTTCAGTGTTCATCACAGGATTCTAAAAATTTATGAAGATGAACAGGAGGACAATCGACGGTTGGTCTGGAATGGGTACCAAGAGGTATGCTTAGAAGTGTCTAGCCTTTTTTAAATAGTAGCTTTCATTGTTTCAAAACTTGTAGGTCTTCTCACAATGTTCTGGAAAGGAAAAACTAAATCTGATGACAATTTGCAACACTGGTAGCTTGGCGACTTGTTCATGGGGAACAGCATTAGGTAGGTTACTTTTTTAAGGCTCTATCACATCGTCATTAGGAGTGATCGTAGCTCTACATCAAGCCGGAAAGGTCGAGATGGTGTACGCGCTGGAGACCAGGCCCTACAATCAGGTATGCACCTGAAGAGTCCGTCGCGCAAAAGTTCAGGAATGATGTTTCGTTGCGATCTACCAAACATATATCTACAAACCTAACGATTCCGTGCTTAGGCTTAGGTCCGACAAATCAAAAACCCGACAAAAAAGATCTACCAAACATATACCAAAATAAACATTGTAGAAAAATCGGAATCGAAATTAGGCTTTATTTTAGGGAGCAAGGCTGACCTCCATCGAGTTGAGCCACAGCCACGTCCCCTTCAAGCTGATCACCGATTCGATGGCTGCCTGGACGATGAAGACGAAGGGCATTGATGCGATACTTGTTGGTATGTCGTGTTCTCTCTCTCTATCCCTCTTTCTCTCTCGCTCTCTCTACCTGCAACTTCAGGTGCTGACCAAGTCGTCATGAACGGTAATACAGCTAATAAGATTGGAACCTACATGCTGGCAGTGCTGGCGAAACATCATAATGTGAGTTCCATGATATTTATGACCATTGAAATTTTTTTTATAGGTTCCATTCTATCCTGTAGTACCGTACACTACCGTAAACCCCAGGCGTAATGACGGCCGGGATATCACGATTGAAGAACGACCGGCTGATGAGATGCTGAAAGTCAAAGGTGAGTCTCAAGGAGCTCGAGGCCCCTATGTCTCTCTCGCTCTCTCTCTCTCTCTCTCTCTCTCTCTCTCTCTCGCTCGCTGCTCCGACCTTTCACACTTTATCTCGGCATATTTTAGGTCAATACGTTCTACCCGAAAACACCCCAGTATGGAATCCGGCATTTGATGTTACCCCGGCAGAATTAATTACCAAAGTAAGTTTCCATTAATTAGACATTTATTTCTTCTTAGATCATTACCGACTTTGGCAACTTCCGCCCGACAGAGCTTGAAGCTGCGTATCGATCCCTCTAAAAAATGAAAGGCCCCTACGACATTCCTATTTCTCGTTGTTGTGTTTTTCGATAAATCTTATTTCTTGGATGCTCCTGCATCCTCAACGCCAACTGGCAACGAGAAATTGGTTGCTGCGAGACGGCCACGGACGGCCTGGAAATTCGCGAGGAATTTCGGCATATGCCTAGTAATCGATTCTGACATGCTGTCACTGCTGATTTTCATAATTTGCTTGATCGGTGAGTTTGGATGGGCAGGTTTTGACGTCTGAAGGGTGCTGAGGTGTTTCCGAAGTCCATAGTGATGGCTTCAACGGAAGATTTAATGGGCCAAAAATGCAAAAACGTTTTTTTACATCTTCGTTTTGACAGCTACGCAGCGCGCCAAAATACTCATCAAAATTACTTATAACAACACAACAAACTTATGATGCCAATTATGATGACTTCAGCATGCGCTTCATCTCAAGCCACGATCAACTGCTATCAGTGCACAACATCCGCGTCTGGTGACGACTTTAGCGATGAGTGTTCAGATCGGAACACGACCTGCCAAGGATACTACTGTACGAAAGGACCGGATGCTAAATGTGAGATGATCTGTCAACCTCTATATTTCTCTCACTCTCTATCTCCCTCACTCTCTCTATCCCTGACTCTCTCTCACTCTCTCACTTTCACAGTCTCTCTCGCTCTCTCTCCCTCTCGCTCTATCTCTCGTCGTATATTTTTTTCAGCCAACGGCATGTACCGCGGCTGCTCAAACACCCCGCCGATCGACAACTCGGCTGTTTGTAAGTTTCCCATTCTCGTAGTAATCCTGTAGCTTCAGCCGACTGCCGGACTGTTACCAACCAAAACAACGCGATCCTCGGCAACTGTTACTGCAACAACATCGACTTTTGCAACGGAATCCCTGAAAAATTCGGACTTGTTGGAATCCTCCCCCTCTTGGCCCTCTTGCTGTCATAGTCAATAAAGTTATGTGGCGGTTGAGGAGTGGATCTGGACGCAAAATGCAGAAGCAGACCGGAGAATCATATGAAGACTATACTTTGTATATTTTTATGTTTGGGAATTGGCGAGGCTAAAATATTCTGCTTTCAATGTCTCGTGCCGATGCCGTATGACTCTAGCTTTACAAAGTCCTGCAACTACAATGATGGCTGTACGGGAAATTGGTGTTCGAGGGGATTGACGGCGCAGAGTACGTTAGCTGTTCTCACGCTATGTTCTTTCTCTCTCTCTCTCTCTCTCTCTCTCTCTCTCAGCCGATACCTACTATCTATCACCTACATCAGGCGATGCCACCTGGTTTGGCTGCGTGGACCAACCACCTTACCATCAGAATATCCCAAGTACGAACAATTTGATTGAGCTAAGAAAGTCCTCTAGAGTGTAATACGCACAAAAACCTAACAACCTGCTACTGCAACAACATCTCGGCCTGTCACGTTCCCACTAACGTGGAGCTAAACGTCCCGACCTCAGCACTGCAGAAATTGGCCATGGATGTAAACGGAAATACTGATATGTGAAGGAATAAAGTCGAATGTTGCCAGAAATTCAATGTATCGTTAACCCATCGTGACACTACTGGAGGACGTCTGAGAACAAAAAATCAGGCTCAAACTATGTAAGTCCGAGTTAGGCCATATTCAAGGTCGGAATCAGCCAAAGCCAAAAATCCTATCAACTACACCAGGACCTCCCAAGTTTTGTGCGGAACTTTTTCGGCGCTGTTTTTCATGCTCTTTCAGATGCAAATTGAGTGGCGTGTTGAAAAAGCCCGATTGCCCCCAAATAGGGCTTAAAAGGCAGCCCATCCTCGTCCCCCCTACAGCACAGCGGCCCGGCTCCTAATAAAACGTCCGGTAGCTTTGGAAAGGAGGGAAGACCGCAACGTGTGCGATAGACGCGTCGCGCAATTGCAAAAGCAGGCCTGCGTAGCTAAAAACCGGTTGATATTCCGCGCACCCGCAGGCAACGCGCGAAAAACTCGTACGGTACGCCCTTTCCCCTGAACCATCTGGACCGAACCCATGTGCGGCTGTGACAGTTGCTTTCAACGATCATAAGCGCAGCCTAGTCACTTTCAGGATTCTTGCGAAGTCGTTTTACATTTGCATTATTTGTGCACCTCCCGAAGGAAATGCGTTCCAAAATTTGTTCGAGACACTCGTGGAGATCTCGGGGTTAATGCTAACCTCAAACTTGGGTAATTAAACCGAAGCTGTGGATCGCACCCCGCCCTTACCATCTGCCCCGACTCCAGGTCTACCATGTTACTAAAAAGTTTGATTGTTTCTATCCTTATTAATAACAAGCTAGTTTTATAGTATTTTGTCTATTAAAGCTTGAAGAATATCTTAAAGCAAAATGCCAAGAGCCTGCCCACTATCACTCATTGGCACCAATCCAACACCCCCAGTCCCGACACCATTTTTCAGCGACACACGAAGCTTTTCTTCGGAAAGTGCATCCTGGTGCCGAAATACAGACGCCAGAAATGATAAGCTAGTGAAGAAGCTGTGGGGTTGCCCGGCGGCCCAAAGCCAGCCACCACTTTGGAAAGTCTGCCCCATTGTTTTCACGCCCTGACAGCTGATAGCCGCACGTGTCGCGACTTTATTTTGAGGCCGTTTTTCTCACTGTTTCAGGCCTTGCAACGCATAAAATTGATTGATTTTAGGCTCCTGGTAGCCGGACGATTACAGCGATGATCGACGACTTGATAGTGGTCAATGTTTCTATTGTGATCTTGCTGGTTGCACGGCATTTTGCCAAGATGATACCTTACGTGGAGTTGGTGAGTGCAGTTGTAAGCCATGAAACCCGAAGCTATACCCAGTCACTCAATAGTGCATCAATTTGACATTTTCGTTTTCCCGCACTTTCACCTGCCATGCCGCTGGGACCGCGCATTAATAGACACTAGAGCATTTTCAAAATAAGCGTACCTCGTGTTTTTTCCTTTTTTTAAATATTGGGAATCTATTTATATTTGGTCGTCGCGATTGAAGAGAAAAAATTTCAGGGTTTTAATTGCGATGAGACCGACATAGCATGGCCGTCTCGTGGAGATACTATACCCTCAAGATTAATGTTTACGATATATTTTGTAATTCTGGCCGTGATGGTAGGTAATTTGAATCTACCGACAACTGCAACTTGCCAATCAAGATCCCCATCACCGAGCTGTCCCTCGTGAAAACCGTTGGCGGCCGCATAAAATTTATTCGCTTTCGAAAATTCGAGATGCACCCCTATATCCCGAAAGTGTTGTTTTTCTATGGTAATACAAACCCTAACAAAATCTGCATATAGCTTTAACAATTTAGCGGCTTTTGGCTGCTCGGCTCTGGCCACTTCTGTAGCGGCAAATATATTCAAACGAACCTCGTCGAGGTTACGGCCAAACTTTTTGGACACTTGTCGACCTGCTAATTTAAGGTAGGAGCTATTAATTCTTTATGCTTAACTTTGTTAGTGAAATCTGCCCTCCCTGTTCTCGGAATTACATAGCGTCCGTGGTTTGCCTTGCCGAAACCTCGAAAGATGAGCATTTTTCATTTCCGAGCGGTCACGCCGCGCATTCGGCGAATTTTGCTATATTTTTGATCGTGGGTTTTGTATAACTTGTAACATTTATTGGTTTAGCTTTATCTACATAGACGAATGAAATTGTGGACAATCGTTAGGGCCTACGCTCAATATACCATTTTCTTGCTAACAACCTTTATTTGTCTAACGTGGGTTCCAGTCTTAATGATAGTGTGATCTATTTTGTTTACGATTTCCATTGTATTTAGTTTTTGGTATTTTAATTGTCTGATTTTTTATTTCATTTTTATTTACTATTTTTCTAGAAGAATCCGTGACTTCAAACATCGCTACACCGACGTTATCGGCGGATGGATATTTGGTGCTATTATTGCGTTTGGAATGGTAAGGTTTGATTCGAGTTTCAAGCGTTTAATTTAGATACATCTAATCCTACGTAATTTCCGGAAATATCGATATTATATCCATACCGAAGATGAGCTCGTCGAGTCTACTGAAGCAGTTACGAGGCCAAATACGCCGACCAACTATGGTGCACTGCATCATACGAGAAGTATAGCCTGTTTAGTGAAGTGAGGTAGTATTTTATAAAGTCTAATAATCAAGGTATGGCAAGTACGCTGTGAAACCTTTATTTACACTACAATTAATTAATTATAATTTCGGTATAGTTATCTCAGGTCTTCTCTGCTTTAACGTTGGTGTAGCCGCTGTAGTTCTGAAATGAAATTGTTAAAAATCATAATTTGAAAGAAAAAGCACGGCTTCTAAATCCTACGTCGCTGGTGGTGGGTAGTGCGTAGGCGGATTCAGACAAACAGATAAGAAAACGTCTGGAAGATTATCCAAAGTTGCAATATGGTCACCCATCGGTTCCATGCTTGCGTCTTAAAAATCACGATCGATTTCCAAAAATCTAAGACCTGTTAATGAAACTCCTATTGTAAACTGCTTCCTAATGAACGTTGAGCTGGCATTTCGGATTTGAGCGTCGTCGCTAAATATATAAATCCACTAACATTAAAATTACATACCTCCCTGTAAAAACGACCATCAACGGCCACGAATAGAGTCGTGGATCGTTTAGCCATTTGATGGCACTGAATCAAGGTATTTGCTAGTTAAGTGGTGTATTTTTCGGTGAGAGATCTTTAGTTACGCTTACTCGACGATAGAATCGCTTCCTCCAGTGAAATTCTGGGCCCACGTTAAGTTAACAAATCGGCCCTCTTCATAGATAATTCCGTATGATAATTCGCCGTCCTTCGACTTATTTGTATACATCCAAAGGTTCGTGTAGAAGTCGAGTTCGGCGAACATCTTCTTGCCGGCCGTCAGAACGGCTTGCCGTTGTTGTTCTGCGTATTTCTGAAAGCAATCGACTTTGAAAAACGCTGCAATAGGAAAAAACCCGCTCAGAAACCTTTAAAAAAATGCTTACAGTTCCGTAATCAGACCCGTCCAGGACAAAGTACACTTCACACTGTGGCAATGGTGGCAGTGTTGTCCAAGGCGTCTGCAAGGCATTTTTTTTAATTTTTCACGTCATCAAAACAATACCGTAGTAGGAGGAAGAGTAGTAGGGTGTCTAAAGAAACCTATAAGTTTTTCAAAACAACCCAACGTCGTCCATCCCTGTAGCTGCTGACACATTCCTAGGAGATCATTTCCGAGTACCGCTGGATCCATTGAAGACGCTTTTCCAATCATACTTAGATCCATTTTATCTATCAATATCTATAATTTTTAGATCCAAAATTCCTACCTCTCAACCCAACAGCCAATGTTCGCCACTGGCTCGTGTAGTTCTTGCCGGCATTGTTGATGTTCGGCTGTAAGCTGAAATTTTACAGTTTTTAAGTAGTTTCCGCTTGCCTGGCCGTGAAAATGACCACCACCACTTTTTCTAGCTTCCAGTCGTTAAGCCAAGCGATTGCCCTGAAAACAAATCAGGTTTAAAATTCGATGACCTCTACATTTCTATGGTTCCGGTTGTGAATCCGTCTGGGGATGTCATATCATGCACGGCATTACCGAAGGCAACATCATTTGCATAGAAAGTTAGGGGAACGTCTGAAATGGTAACGCAGGTCTGGGCTTTGGTTTAAGCTTAGGTGAGGGGTAGTCTTAGGCTTAGGCTTAATTTAGCTTGAGGATTCGGTTAAGCGGAGTATAAGGCTTAACTAACAAGGGAAGTGCACGACCGGCCCACGAGAAATCGACACGATACATAGTGGATCTGAAAGAATCGGCCACGGGGATTCCGAATCTGCAATCAAAATTTTCTAAATAAAACGTAGAAAAAAGTTATGAAGCTTCAAAGTTGGCCAAATCGCCAAAAACGGTATCTTTAAGGGCCCGTAAAAAACGGGGGGAACGGAATTGAGGAGAAAAGAATTAGTGCATCTTCTTCGGCAAAAAAAGCGCTTTCGAATGAGCTGTAATATGTAGCATTTGCAAACAATTCACTGGAAAAAGTTCTTTGGATTCACGGGCAAGGGCCTGTCAAGTTCATAGAAGAGATTTCCGCGAAATCATCGTAAACTTGAAGTAAGATAGCTCATTCGAAAGCGCTTTTTCTGCTGAACAAGATGCACTAATGGGTTGTGGCAAATTTCCATTCCCTGGGCCTTTACAAGCCCATAAAAGTCCGAATTTGGGCGATTTTACCAACTTTGAAGCTTCATAACTTTTTTCTCCGTTTTATTTAGCAAATTCTGATTACAGAATCGGAGTCCCCGTGTCCGATTCTATCAGATCCACTATGTTTCTTGTCGATTTTCTCGTGGGGCGGGCGTGCACTTCCCTTGTAAGCATACCTGCAGGCCGGAAGTTCCCTCCATAAACCCAGTAGTTACCACCAAACGCGTAGCTGTTCGAGTCGTATAGAATTTTCCCGGAGTCCCGAATCGTTGCCCTCTGTTTTTCAAAAACTAGCTAAAGACGGAAGTAAAGTTGCTGAAATTCCGTACTTTTCCATTCAAACTCCCGTCGACGACATAAAGCGTTCGACACGGCGGGCCAGGCCAGGCTATAAACTTAATTTATTACACTAGCATTAGCAACGATCAATTAATCTATCCCTTCGAAAACCGCTTTACTCGTTGGTTGGTAAAAACATAATCTAAAAGACTGTTCTGAAAAATTGCCGCACACTTCTGAAAATGATGTGACCGACGAATTTGTGCTGCCGTCCGCTGGATTTCCGAATGCAGTCGCACAGGTCATGCTCGGCAATCAGGACGTTTTGCAGAGAATAGTCAGCGTAAATCTTCTACTTACCGGTGCTCAGCATTGGGCGGGGAGTAGTTCGATCTATTTGACAAAGTTCAACCACGGCATCAAAGATCGCTAGGGATTGCATGTAGACTAGCGACCGCGCGGCAAAGGCACTTGTATCGGCACCAACTCAATATCCTACTATAAGTTTTTGAACTCCACGACCACCAGCCACTCGGCTACGGGTTACTTTACCCCCCCCCCCAGCCGGAAGTTTTTGGCTATAACTTTTTATTTTACATTATTGTAGGCTCAAATTAAAACTCTTAGTATATTTTTCGACGCTCTATCGAATGGCGTTGCGAAAATCCCGACAAAAAAAGCGAAAATACCGACAACTTTGAGACCCTTCGGCTGTGGGGGGGGGGGTAAAGTAAACTCTTACCAGCCACTCCAACTGTGCATGCTTTTCGCGTATAATGCCGCCCAGCTGGCTCGAACGCACTCGGATCACTATATTAATGCCGAATCAATTGGCTATTTTCGACACCGTTGCTTACGATACCCAGGCCCAAACCGTGTACCTTCAAAAACTTACCTTCCCGTGAAAAGAACAATCACAGCATCCTCCACTTCCCAGTTTGATAACATTTTTGTCGCGCTGAATAAGATACTCAACAAATTGTTCAGCATTACTCACTATTCAATGTCGAGATGCCCTCCTTGCAATCCAAAGTTGATCATGACATCTTGGAGATCATAAGCGAATGTGGTTGGCAGAGGACCATCAGATTCCTCGTCACCACGACTATACCGCCAAAAGGCAATTGAAACGTTTATTCTATTAGCACCCGCGCCTGTGAACAATGCGTTCATCGAGCCAACGATGGTTGGATTTTGTGAAGGCTAGATAGACTGGTTAACTTCTAATAACATGCCTACCGGTGCCCTCTCCGATAGATCAGCGACAAAGAGAACTTTGCATTGCGCAATATCGTCCAGTTGATTGGCATTCGCGTCAAGACTCCCAAAAAATAGCAGAATTTCGAAGAGCGTTAGGGCCAGAGACATGATGAAAAAGCGTTGAGCACGCATTTCTCAACAGCTCCTTTAGCAACTCTTATCGAAAATCGGGTAGGATCTGGCTGCACGAAGCGCAAAATAATATGGCTATCCCTGATAAGAAAAAACGCCTCATGTGCCGGGTGGTAGGAGGAATTTAAGGAAGAAAAGATCGGAGCAAATTGTCGGCAAGTGGTTTATCACTGTATGTACGTTTTGTCTGGCTTTCTTCAAAACAAATATTTGAATAGAATTTATTGTTTTTCTCCAATAACCTATAATTCGGGTATGACTAACTCTGATCTTCTCAGTTTGGCCCTGCGAGTAGCCGCCGTAGTTCTAAAATTTTATTTAAAAATAAGAATCGTTACTTTTTAAAAATTTTTTAGGATTTGATCGCCTACGTTGCTGGTGGCGGGTAGTGCGTAGGCGGATTCAGACAAACAGATAATAAAACATCTGCAAGATTCTCCAACGTTGCAATATGGTCAGCCATCGGTTCCATGCTTGCGTCTTAAAAATCACGATCGATTTCCAAAAATCTAAGACCTGTTAATGAAACTCCTATAGTAAACTCCTTCCTAATAAACGTTGAACTAGCATTCCGGATTTGAGCATCATCACTAAATATCGAATTCCACCAACATTAAAATTACATACCTCCCTGTAAAAACGACCATCAACGGCCATGAATAGAGTCGTGGATCGTTTAGCCATTTGATAGCACTGAATCAACGTATTTGCTAGTTAAGTGATGTATTTTTCGATTAAAGATTGTAGGCTAGCTTTAGTTACACTTACTCAACAATCGAATCGCTTCCTCCTGTGAAATTCTGTGCCCACGTCATATTCACAAATTGACCCTCGTCATAGATGATCGCGTATGATAATTCGCCATCCCTCGACTTATTTGTATACATCCACATGTTCGTGTAGAAGTCGAGGTCCGCGAACATCTTCTTACCCGCCGTGAAGACGGCTTGTCGCTGTTGTTCGGCGTATTTCTGAAATAATGGTCGTAAGGTCTTATTGCTGTTGGAAACTGTGTTGCTATTTCAGTCCTGAAAGGCTTACAATTCCGTAGTCCGATCCATCAAAAATAAAATACACTTCGCATTGCGGTAACGGTGGTTGGGTTGTCCAAGGCGTCTGAAAATATTCTAATCCTGCGAGCCAGGCCGCATACCGTGGTGGGAATCGGTGTAGTGGGATGCCTGAAACAAGCGCAAATTTACCAAAACCTAGCGGCCTACGTCGACCAGCTTTGGAACTGCTGACACATGTTCAATAGATCATTTCCGAGTATTTTGGGATCCTTCGACGACACTTTCCCAATATCACTGAGTTCGAGTTTATCTACATTTTAAATTTTCTGTGGGTTGCTAACGCTACCCAACAGGCCTATAGCCAATGTACGCCACTGGCTTGTATAATTCTTGGCGGCTTTATTGATGTTGAACTGGAGGCTAAATTGGACAGTAATGAAACGAATTAAACATGCCTGGCTGTGAAGATGACAATGACCGATTTTTCGATCTTCCAATCGTTGATCCAGGAGATGGCGCTGAAAAGTGACCAATTTCAGAATTAAAACTTACTTCTCAATATTTCCGACCCCGACGCCGTCAGCCGGTTTCATGGCCTCGATTGCTTTGTTGAACGTGTCGTCATCCTCGTAAAACGTCATGGGCACCTCTGTAAAAGACGTTCTTCCTCTAACATAGCCTTGGTGCTCGATTTTTTTTCAATCAGCCCCAGGGGACGAGAGAAATTATGAAAGGAGGTGGGGTCTTATAATGAAAGGGGTCCTACATTTTTCAATCGACCAAAATATCGAAAATCCTGGTGAAATTGGATGCTTAGAGATACACGGTATCCTCAGATGTTGGCTCACCAGCTGGCCTGAAGTTTCCTCCATACACCCAGTAGTTGCCTCCAAAAGAGTAGCTACTTGCATACAAGGTTTTTCCAGCCCCTTCAATGGCTGCACGTTGATCCTTGAATCCTATCTGCAACGGGTTTGGATTTACAAGCCGGCTTAGCAGTCCTTACCTGTCCGTTCAACGAGCCATCAACCACAAATAGCGCGCGACACTCTGGACCAGGCTGTAGAGTGGAATGTGGTGTAGTGCTAGGAGTCGTTGTCGTCATTGTGGTGGTGGTGGTGGTCGTGGTTGTAGTTGTCGTAGGTTTCGGTGTCGTGGTCGGGGTCGTAGTGGTTGGTTTTGGTGTTGTCGTAGGTATCGTACGGCCATTTAACTTTGCACACATATTGCCAAGTCCGTACGCGATCCAGTCGGCATTACTGTTCACCACTTCGGCGCCAAGTCCGGATAGGTTTTGTCCTAAAACGATGACTCGATCGTAGAGGCCAAAGATGAAACTACATACCTCCCATAGCAACAATAACTGTCGTATCCTTGCGTTTGTAGTTGAGCACGGCTTTGTCAATGATATCCTGAGGGCTAGATTTAAGGCATTGTCGATGGTTTAGATAATTTACCTATTGACATACATCACGATGGCCACATTATCAACGGGCCAAACGTTCAGCCAGGTTGTAGCCCTGAAGTTGAAAATTACCATTGGATCGCCTTGACACCAACTTTAGTACATCCGAGTTGGAGGTAGCGTTAAACTCATAGCGAATCATGTCCTCGAGGATCTGTTCAGTCTCATTTTTGGTCGAGACAAACGTTTGTGGAGGCGAGACCTCCCAGCCATTATACTGCCAAGCGTTAGCAGAAAGGGCGTAGCTGCGGTCCTTGAAGATCTGTCCAGCGCCGAACATCAGTTGGTAGCCCTCCATGTTGAAGGCCGGCTGCAAAAGGGTGCCGTTTGGCGCATTAGTGCCACGTACATTACGCACGCCGTAGTTTTACGTTACGATAAAAACATGACCTGACACCTACAAGATACGTTGCATTTTGATACTTACATACGATACCCAGGAAGTGCCGTCAAGTACAAGCAGTGCTTTACAGGGTGCGGGTGGCGGGGTGGTGGGTGGCGTGGCTAGAACGAAATCGGTAGGAAGATTCTTGGAGTAACCAGAACATTTTCTCAAAATAAACTCTAGAAACTTAATTTATTACACTAGCATTAGCAACGATCAATTAATCTATCCCTTCGAAAATCGAATTACTCGTTGGTGTCGTGGTCGTTGGTTTCGCAGAAGTTGTCGGTGTGGTGGTCTTTATCGTCGTCGGAATATTTGGCAGAGCTTTACAAGCCTTTGGAATATCGTACTCCAATGTAGTAAAATCGGAAACATATGCGCCAAGGGATGATATATTATTATCTAGAAAAATTACGACAAGCTGCGGAAAAACTGACTCGTTCCCTCCAGCACCACCGTACGTGACTGTCTTTCATACAGCTCCCCGGCCTCGTTGATGGCGTTTTGGTCACTAAAGTAACGTTAAATCCAATAACTTCACCCAAGGTACCTGCTTGTATAAAGCACAATAACAGCGTCCTGCAGCACCCAATCATTCAAGGCTTTGACTGCTCTGAAAATTCAAGAAATATAGAGATTAATCTTACTGTATGACGGAGTCTGGACCTCCCATAAAGGTATAGCTATTAATCAGCGTTGTAAAGGAGGCATCGTTGTAGATGAAGCTCTCCGGGAGTTTCAGGTCTACAAGTGGGTCTTGGTAAACCCATGCGTTAGCGGCAAATTGGAACTCGGTCGAGTTATAGCCCACGGAGGCGGCGCTGATGAAAGTGGCTTTGAGGAGGTTAAAGTCGGACTAAAAGGAGGAGCAGTTCTTGAGGAGTCTGGTGGTAAAGTATACCATAGCCTTATTACTGCCATCGAGAATGAATAAGGTACGACAACGTGGTAGATTCGACGTCGGTTCTGGCGTATTAGGGCTTGTTGTGGTTTTAGTGGCCTTGGTTTTGGAGGTTGTCGCCAGACTTGATGTACCTATAACACAACATATTTTTTGACAATCTAAGATATTTTGACGTCAAATTGAGAGCTACAGTATCTACCAGTGCTTGTCGCAGTCGACCCTGTCCCGGCCGTGCTTTGAGTCTTCTTCGTCGATGACGTACTTCCAGAGGTCGTCGTTGGCATGACCATAGTTGTAGTTGTAGATACAGCCGGTGGCAAATTCTGATCTAACAACTTCGCCAAGTCCGCTTGAGCAACACTTTGATCCAGAATCGTCGCGTTTTGTTTCAATTGGTAATATGCAATTATATCGTCATTATTCATATCAGCAGAGACCAGCAGAAGTTTTTGGAGTGACACAGTATCGAACAGTCCATGTGGGTCGGGTTTCACCTTTCTGAATTCGTTTTTTCAATATCTATGGGATCTTAACTTACATATCAGCACACGGGACGAAGTGGATCAACTCTGTCGACAGTTTTTTGGAAGCTAGTAGTGATATGGCCCTAAAATACAAATTATGCGCACCACATCCGTGGTATTCCAAAGCGGTACTACTCACGCAGTCTCATTCGCCATCATAATCATCCCGGGCATTTGTATCTTCATTACAGCATCCATCGCTTGAATTCGGGACATGACGGTAGTGATGGACGCAGAATCAGCCGTTTTTCCATACGTTAAAAACGTTACGCCAACGCCATCGTCTAGCCCTTTTAAGGTATCGTAAACAATTTGTTTGGTCTGAAATTTCAAGTCATTTTCGATAGTATACAGTACCTGATTCAAGTAATAACACCTCCCCATATCCATCGCCATCATACTTTCGATCAGGTACATTGAAAATGTAACGTTATAGAGAGCTTTAGGAGGCGCTGGAGTAGTTGAGGTCGATGTGGGCGTTATCATTTTAGTGGTGGTGGTAGGGATTATTGGTGTAGTGACAGTAGCAACTGGCAAATCATTGTCCAGATGTTTGGAGACGTCGGCTTGAGGCACAGATTGGTCGACGATGGTTGCATTTTCTTTGAGTTGGTAGTAATCTTTGATATCGTTTGATGTCATGTCGGCCGAAACCAAGAACAGCTTTTCCTTGGGTACTAGATGGAAGAGACGGGCTTCGGATTGGGATAGTTTCCTGAAAGCAAAAAAAAAGTTCTGGTCCGTTAGCGGGGGGAGTTTAATGGGGGTCGGGGTTTAATGTCGTCGATTTTTACGTATTTTACTATTTTTTGTGGACTATTACATCGCGACCCGTTAGAGCATCCAAAAATGCATTAAAAATTTGGATTTCAAACCAAAATGCAATAATTTAAGGAAGTTCAAAAGCAAAAGTAACCCTGAAAAAGGAGTTGGTAAGCTATTTTTCGGGATTTTCGATGGTTTTCCACGTTTTGTAACGCCATTCGACAGAACATCAAAAAATATACGAAGAATTTGATATACAGCTCAAAATCATGTAATTTAAGAGAAAGGAAGCTATTGCCAAAAATCCCCCCTTAACGGACCAGAAGCGGAAAAATTGATTTTTTATAAGCCAACACAAAAATTGAAAACTTCCAACTTACATATCTGCACACGGCACAAAATGGACCAATTCACTACTGATTTTCGAGCGTGCGAGGACTGTCATGGCACTGAAAATAGAGATAAGTATCGATGGGTATCAAATTTTTTAACACCATGCAACTCACGCAGTCTCGTTGGCTACCATAATCATCCCGTGCATTTGTATTTTCACCACGGCATCCATAGCTTGGGCTCGGGACATCATATCGGTCATCGAGGCCGATTCTCCCGTTTTTCCATATGTTAAAAATGTGACTCCGACCGAGTCGTCCAGGCCTTTTAAGGTTTCGTAGACGATTTGTTTGGTCTAAAAGGGTAGCCGGTTAATAAGAGTTAACAATACAGGCCAAAAATTTAATTAAAAGTAGTAATTATAGTAAATTTTGATTTTCTAGGAGCGGGTCGAAAAAGTCACTAATTTTCAGAATTTTGAATTTTTCGTGGAAATTCAATGAAATTCGCGAAAGTAAGTTTAGCAACGTTTGGAATTCGCGATTTATTCAAATTATCTTATTCAAAGTTCCCGGATGTATTATGATTTTAAGTGAATTACCTGATTCAAATAATAACACCTTCTCATATCCATCGTCATCATACTTTCGATCAGATACATCGAAAAAGTAACGTTGTATCCACTAGTGGGTGGCGTTGGATAAGTCGGAGCAGGAGTTGGCGGCGTCATGGGCGCTAATTAGCATATTTTTAGTATCGATTTCTCGATCAATGATACCCATTCTATCCTCCCGGACGACCACCACAACAATCGACACGCAAATCACGACAGCCACCACCAAAGTGGCGATGAAAAACATGGGCATCAGCCATGATTTTCGGCGCGTTGAGTCCAAGGATGACATCTACTACCAGATACAGTATTTCTTCCAATAAAAAGGTGCCAAAAAGTACGGCCTTAGGGTCTCTAGCTCTATAATTATCGTAACATTTCCGATTTTTACGATTTAGGGCTCGACTTTACTTTACCCCCCAGCCCCGGGGGTCCCAAAATTTTTCGACATTCCCATTATTTTGTCGAGATTTTCGCTTCGCGATTCGATAGCGCATCAAAACCACATACTAGGAATTTTAACTGCAAGTCAAAATGATGTAAAGTAGAAGTTATGGCGAAAAATATTTCGGCAGCTACGGTTGGGGGAGGTAAAGTTTAGTTTTAGCCGATTTATGTATCTATCGGGTTAGAAAGGTAGCGCTTTTTTAATTCAGACATTTTCATCCTCCTTATTAGAGACAGCAAAGCCGTGAACAACACTGATTTTTACGACATTCAGTTTGCAATTTTGTGCTTCCTTACGAGCTTTTTTGGGTCACCTTTTAAGATCAGATTACGATAAATTTTGCTAAGTTCTACAAAAATTAACGATGACCACACTGGGGCGCAAAAACAAAGGTCAAAATTTAGTGGTGTCGCCTTGATTTACGGCAGCCAGGATTCGGGGGGCGGCTCGCCCTCGCAGCGGTGCTAATCTACGCAGATAAGCCGAAGCGAGGAGCCTGTCCGTGTCCCGAAATACAACCGCATGTTTCTAGTATGGGAATTTATTTTGAAAAACCGCTTCGCGGCTTTTAAACCCATCAATGAACCAATGAAAGTTTGTCTATGCAGCGTGCTTCCAGAATAAGGATGAAAGATAAAAAAAATGCGCTTTCCATTTTTTTAAGCTCCCGACTTCCGGTGTATGCTAATTTATTGCTACCAACAAAGTTGAGCGCTATCTTCATAAAATATCAATTTTGATGGTCAAAAACGAAATTTTGCAAAAATATATTCAGGTAAGTGTGCATGCAAATCCACACGCACAGTCAGGGACGTAGCGTAAGGTGGGCCCCCTGGGCCCGGGGCCCCCCCCCGAAATCGGCCGGGGCCCGAAAATTTCATAAGGGGGGACCCTTATGATTTTTATTTTTTCAAAAATTTTGCTGCCTGCGGCGCTGTTTTCTCGTTAATTTTTTTGAGTTTTTGGAAAAATTTTTTTCGGGGCCCCCCCCCCGAAATTTTTTTCTGGCTACGCCCCTGCGCACAGATAGTATTTTTTTGACATATAGAGTAAGATTCGTATTGTTGCGGAATTGACTTGTTTATTGCTGGAAAATACAAGAATTTTAGGTTAGGGTTGAATTCATTGACCGTATCTGATGCTCTCCGGGGCGAAAAATCTATATGAATAGATGACGTCGAACGTGCTCGGTAGTTTGCATAAATCAGAAAGGTGTGTGGGGCTCGCTCGTCGACACCGCCCAGGTGTTTGTCGACCATTCCTCGGTGCTGGCGGCGGATGGAGGGCTTCTAAACCATTTGAAATGACAGTTTTAGTATAATTTAAAATTTTATTGATATCAAAAGTTAACTCGCTTTGACAGCGCGCATGAGTTTTGACATAAGAAATTCACCCGGTGGCCTCGGTGTATCCTTCGGTGGTAGTAGATTCCGCCACCATCGTCCTAAGAAAAAATTAAGTAACAATCGAGCATTGGGACCAATGTTGCCACACATTTTTTGGTAGAAACTCACGGCATTGTCGGCGCCCATGTGCTCGGTTCAATGGTCCTAAGTAAAAATTAAAATTTTCTATTTGTTGTTACCCTGGCGTCGGCTGAACTTCACAGAGTTCAATGGCCGCTTGAAAAATAGCTAGCGGTTGCAGGTAAGGAATTGATAAGGCGGCGAAGGGACTTGCGTCGGCGCCAACTAAAAACTGATTTAATTGCAATCAGTGGGTCGTTATAGTCAGGCGAACGCTTCGCAAAAAGCTGAGCTTCATCGAGCGATCGAGAGTTCAAAAGAGTGAGTGAGAGAGACAGCGAGAGAGAACAATACTCCAAGGGAGAGAGAGAAAGAGAGCGGTAATTGAGGGAAGGTCAGAACGCGAGAGTGTGCAAGAGATCGCCGGGAAAGTGAGAGAGAGAGAGAGAGAGAGAGAAAAGACGGAATACGCTTTTAGGTTTTCATGAACGTACCCGTCACACCAACAGTCGACCACTTTTTTACGTAATTTTGCCCGGCGGCTGCGAATTTGCTCGGGTCACTAAATCGAGTGTTTATCTTTCTTTCGGTTATTTTTGTTTTCCATGTTTTTGGTTTTTCAAAGGGGAACTGACGAGCGGAATTCTCCTGGCTTTCCCTGAAAACATACCTGCCCGTGAAGAGTACAATCACGACATCATACGGTACGGAGTATGACAAAGCATTTGTTGCACTAAATGGCGGAACTTTTAAGAAATCTGCTGATTACTAACTATATGATATCCAGTGACCCGCCAGGTGACCCAAAATTCAAATCGGAATCCTGGAACGAGTAGACGAATTTGGTCGGAATTGGGCCATCAATATCGCCTCCACGACTATAGCGCCAATGAGCAAACGAGGCATTAACGCCACTCGCTGACGAAGTGTGGATTAGGGTATTTATGGTAGAAACAATCGTCGGGACCTCGGAAGCCTAAATATAAATTAATAACCCGTCTGGGTTGCAAAACCGTTGCGCGGATTTGCAACCCTGGCCCCTCCGCGCTTATGAATTCTTCACTCTGCATAATGGCCCGAATTGCAACGATAAAAAAGGAAAAACGCTGATTCTCTCGATTATACAGGCTACCGGCACTTCAGGCGCATTAAGCGTTTCCTAACAAGGGCAGTTCCCGATTTTTCAAGAAAAACTGGATTTTCACATCGAAAAGAGCTAATTTTTGAAAATTTTATAAGTATGCTGCCATCTCGGGACCATTACGCACAATAGGACGTATTATAGACATCCTAAAAACGATCCCCGTATTGGGATACTACTGAAACACGCTGACTAGTAAGTTCAAGATCATCTTGAAAAAAACCTACCGGCGCTCTGTCCGAAAGATCGGCGACGAAGAGGACTTTGCATTGCATCAGATCATCGAACTGTTTAGCATTAGCGCTGAGGACAGCCACTAGCAGCAGTGCTAGGAATCATTCAGGGTACAGCATCTCCAGAATTCGGGAGAACAGGTGAGGGGAAAGCACTTATTGGCCGGCCTTATTTAGTTACCGCCGAGTGCAAGTGTTATCAAAAAAACGATAAAATCTCCCTTTAACGGGCGGAGGTAATGACTCTTCCGCTCGTAAGCTGGGCGATAAGGCATTTAACTTAACTTGGAGTTACGTAGGAACGGAAAAAGCACGCGGTTTTTGCACGGAAACTGAAAAGAAAGGGTTCCTTAGGATTAGGCTCGGGATAAGGACGGGTTAGGCTTAAGTTTCGCTTAGGATGAGAGTTAGTTAGACTTTGGTTTTCGTTTTGACTTAGGCTTGGGCTTAGGCTTCGCCCATTATATGGATTGATTTTCAGAAGAGAAATCATCACCGTTGCTGTCCTCGTGTATTTTAATCTCTGGCTTATGCAATGTTTTCTACATAAACTTTATCATAAATTTATTTTTATTAATTATTATCATTATTATTATTAGATAGACCCGGATTATGCAGGCCAAATTGGGGGTGAGGGGGGGTTGGGAAGATCTACTTAAATACCACTTGTTTGGGTTCTTTTATTGAGATCTCAAAGAGAGTCGTGCGGCGGCGTCACCGGTCCCGTATGGTCGGGCCCTGCGAGACACATTTCTCGCAAAATGTACTCGGTTGTCGCTTTCATCGTAAAATTGAGCCCATATAAAGCGACCGATCCCATGTTTTGTTCTAAATTGCGTTTTTCTTCGCTCGAAGAGCCCGGGCCGACCTGCTAAACCGACTCCAATTGTCCATGGATAAAATTGATAATTGCTGGCCGTTTTAATGACGCTTTCCGGGCTGAATTGATTATTCGTGAAATCGTTTTCTCATTTACCTAGCGGACATCAAAACAACGTAAAAATAGTGTTCCCAAGTTCCGATTACCTTAAGACCAGTAGTTGCGCTAAAAAGTGTTGTTGAAGGGAGCGGTTATGATGGTGTCGCTATAGTGTTTATTCAAAATTTATTAGATTTTTGCTACGAGCGCAAACTACATAGACGGCTGCGCGCAAAGAACCGAAGTTGCTACTGCAGTGGCTGCGCTTCGACTACCAGCCTTACGGGCGGCTACCAATTGGCATTTGCCATAATTCCATAAATAATTTGACAAATTGAAAATTCGACAAAATGAATTCCAAAAATAATTTTCGACAAAATGAAAATAAGGCCTTGGCACTGCGCTACCCGCCTAAAAAGCTCGTAGCGCAGTGCCATAAATGATACTTTTTGATGTCTTCGGAGTTCGGATCGAGTAGCGACCATGCATCGAGCGCCGACGCTAATTGCGTGCGGCGATCATAGGTAGTGTTGAGATCTGGCGTCCCGTAGTTATCCTGAAAATAAGTGGTTCGATTTTAGGAAATTAACTACCGCTCCATATGCTGCCAGGGCGACTTGGAGTGCAAACTCAGGATGTGCGTACAGGCTTTCACTGACTTCCAAGACGAAAGCTTTTTCTTGTTCTTTCATTGAGACATCTAGGGCCTGAAAAACGATAAATTGGCAAGTCATGGGGATTTGTATGAATCAAAAATTAGTATGCCGTTAACTTACGTCAGCCTCCAATGAAGCATCAATGTAAAAGAGCACATAACATGGTGGCCTCTCTGGCATGGTTGTCGAATCTTCTGCCGATGTTGTGGTGGATGTCAGGTCCGGATTAGGAGAAGAGCTCGCAAGTGTTTCATAGCCCGTTGTAGTAATCGTTTCCGGGCTCGGACTCGAGTTGATGGGTTCCATCGTAGGCGTGTTGGTCGTACTGGAATCTTGTGTGCTCGTAGATGTCGGCGTTTCGGTAACTGTCGTAGTTTCTGAGCTAGTAGACGTGATAGCATTTTCCGTCGTATGCTCCGACTGGTCGGGTGTAGACGGCGGGCCAGACGTTTCGGTGCTTATGGCGGACGTCATGGTGCTGCCTGAGCTCTCAGTTGGACTTGTACTTTCAGAAATTCGTTTGGAAGTGCGGCTCGAAGATGTTGGATATTGCGAGCTTGATGTTGTGCTGGTTGAGACCGTCCGCGTTTGCGGCCTTCCACAAATGTCTAACGCACCATCAACGATTGCCTCCCTGTTCATATCCACAGAAATAAGAGCTAGCGTCGAAGTATTGAGGGATGGATCTGAAAGTCTTCTATTAAATTGTCTTTAGAACAAGCCAACCTGCAAGCTTGATTGCCATGGTGCGGGATTGCCTCAAATAGGTCTCGCCGGCAAAATACACCTCGGGCTGGGCACTAAAGGATCCTACACGATATAAAGGGAGAGTTTCTTTTGGCGTGTGCCCCTCGATATTCATGCTTTTTAAGGTATGTATGATATGTCATCAGGTGTGTGAAAACTTCGTGTAAAGTGTAAGTGTCTTTATGAAAGTAAGCACTTTCATAGGTCCCAGACGGGCCAGGGATGCCAGGGCGCGAAGCGATTTTTCTTTTCAGGCAATAAGGGATAGGGTCGAAAAATCACGTAGCGGTTTTTCCACCCTGGTTCTGAAAAACAAATTTCAGTAATCCCACCTGGCAGTATACAACACAATAAACGTATCCTCAACGGTCCAATCATTTAATGAGTCAGTAGCGCTAGCAATGGCTCTCAATGACGTTGTTCTATTGTATGACCCACTTTCTAAGATGCAAGTACCACCCGGATTATCCCAGTCATAGCCGCCGAAATTAGTTTGATTATTGAACGTCGTCGGTATGGGTCCGTCCGCCACCGTTCCGCTACTATATCGCCAGACTGCAATCAATATATCCAGCTGATTTTTCGGCCCCATTGCGTAGACGTCCTGAATGGAATCCTCCCAGATCGAGACGTCCTGAAATTTTCTACACTCTACCGGAAAGTGTGCGATGAGTTCAATCCATCATCCTAATCACCCTTATACCATCATGTTCCGATGTAGGGTTCAGAAAGGTAAGCCAGACAGACAGACAAAAAACCAGACATTTTGCGCTAGTCTTCAAGCTTTGAAAAAAAGCATTCCACATTTTTGTTGCCCTATAAATTACCGATACCCCCGGACAACGCTCGCCTACTTTTGCAATCTTACCGTCGCAATTTTTTAGAGAATTTCGAAATTCGAAATCAGATTTTGCATTTTGCTTGAAAAGCCGAGCTGACCCAATTTTTTCGTACGCCCGGATAGTTATAATGTACAAACAAACCATCTTCGGGAAACCGGCATCCGTTAGATCCGCTACGAATAAGAGCTTGCATTCATTCCAAGGGGAAGTAGTCGTTGGGCTTGGCTCCTCGGTGGATGATGATTCGGTTGTGATCGTACTGGAGTATTCTTTAGGACTCGCTGTTTCTTGGGACAACGTCGCTGGCGATGTGGCGGAAGTTGTAGCTTCAGAACTGCTGCTGGCTTGGCTTGTCGGCATCGAGTCTGTGACAGCCGTCACTGATATCGTCTGTCCTGACGGAACGGTAATTTCCGTGGGGCTGCTAGTTGAGTGACCATCCGTAAAGGTTGTGCTTGAAGCGGCACTAGCGCTGCCGGCAGTCCCGGTAAACGCTAGAGTTGAGATTTCGGAAGTGATAGACATCGCAGCAGTACTAGTCAAGGATTCCGAAGCCGGCCTTTCCGTGCTAGTCGTTTCCGTCGGCCCAGGACTTAACTCGGAAGTAGAGTAGAATTCTGGGGTCGAGGTTTCGGAAAACACAGTGATTGTTTCAGATATCGTCGTCTCACTGCTGCTGCTACTACCTGTCCATGTTGCACTTGTGGTGCTAGTCTCCTCCGTGGTCACTGAAGTAGAAGCGGCGGAAGTCGAGCTGCTCGTCGCCAAGGATGACTCCGAAGCTCCCCCTTCTGCGTTACTTGTTGTGGAGGATTTTAATGACGTTTCGGTGCTAGAGTAGGTTTCTGAAGTCGCTGAGGTTTCGGTTATATCAGGGCTGATCGTACTGCCACGGCTCGTGCTGCTCTCCGAAACGTCAGGTGTTGGTGTTGAACTGGGAGTTGGCGTACTACCAGTTTGTCCACTTGGAGTCGCCGTCGAGGTCAACGCGCTACTTGAGGAAGTCAAGGTCGAGGTTTTGGTTGACGTAAGAGTGTTATTACTGACTGGCGTCTCTGAAGTTTGGGAAGACGAAGGCGTGCTGGTTGAAACCGAGGTAACGACCGACGCAGGCCCAGGACTTGACATGGATGAAGAGATGTCGTTTGTACTTGCCCTACCCTCAGTCGTTGACGAAGGCCGAGATGTAGTAGGTTCGGGTGCTGATGTGCCTTCCGTCCGGATAGAACTGCGGCTTGCATCCGGAGTAGACGTCGACATGGAGGATGTCGATACGCTGCTGCTTGCCTCCGTTGTCAAAGTGGGCATCGGGATTGGAGTTGAGGTCGTGTGCTGGGAGGTCATTGTAGGTTCATTTGTCGTGAAGCTGCTAGTCCTCTCCGAGGAAATAGACGCTGCTGGCGTTGAGGTCCTTTTTCCACCGTCGGTCGTGGAACTTGCTTCATTCGTTGACCAGTTCGGAGTTGAGTCTGAGGCTGATGACGTCGAGATCCGGCTCGTGCTCTTGGAGGTTTCTGTCGACTCTGTGCGTGAGGTCGTGCCGCCTGACTCCGACGTAGAAGAATAAGGTACTTGATTTGAAGTCGAACTCGTGCCTTCAGAAGACGTCATGGGCTCTGTGCTGGCCATACTGCTCGACATCGCAATTTCAGATGACGTCGAAACCATAGCCATGGTAGTGCTGAGAGTGGACGATGTAGATACCGTTGTTGAAATAGCGGCACTCGACGTCGAAGCAGAAGGAAAGTCCGAGCTCGTGCTCCCCGATTCCGTAGGAGCCATAGTCATCGTCGTGCGCAAAGGAGACGATGTAGATTCTGTCGCTGATGTGCTTGAACTTGGCCCAGACGTCGAAGAAGGCATCCGGCTAGAAGCCACGCTCGTGCTCCCCGATTTCGTAGGACTGGTGCTAGCCGCCCCTAACGTCGCGACAGTTGGTTGATAGTGACAAAAATCTATGACAGCGCCAGCAATCTCCGTTGAATCCAAATTTAGTGATACCACAGCAAAGCGCGAGGTATTGAGGCGTTGGTCTAAAAATGGTTTTGTTAGTTACTAGGCTGTTTAATCTACCTTCAGACGAGACTCCAATCGTGTCCATCCTTCGATAATACTTTTCTCCAGCCAAATCCACTTCAGCTTGCGTGCTAAAAATTGTGATAAGAATCCTTCTGAAATCCAAACCTCCCAGTAAAAAGCACAATAAAGGTATCCAATTCTTGCCAAGCAGTTAGAGCCTCCACTGCACTAAATGATACAATTACTTTTTAGAAAACTGAGGTGATTTACTCAATAATACTCAATTCTCCTCGAGCATCGTCAAAGTTCCACCTCACGTTGGTTATATTGTTCGCAAAGGTGGTTGGTATAGGCCCATCCACGTCAGAACCACTGCTGTACCTCCAGAAAGCAATTTGCATGTCCAAATAGTTTCCTGGAGCTTGAATGAAGAGATTCGTCATAGTAGCCTGCATTATGATATCTTGTCCAATCTAAAAAATAGATATTTTTTATGAATTGTATAGCACCAGATTTTCAATGCCTCCATCAGATAAATCAGCGACGAATAGGGCTTTACAGGGTGTCAATGGAATTGGAATAGTTGGGCTGATGGTAGATGTAAGGCGAGATGTAGGAGTACTGCTGGTAGAAGTTGTGGTAGTAGCAGAAGTGGTGGTGGTAGTCGAAGTATCAGTAGTATTGGAAAAAGAAGTGCCTGTAGATGAGGCTTCGGGCCTGGTGAAGTCGCTTGTCTGAGAGCTTGAGCCCGAAGACGCCGGCGTAGTAATCGAAGATTCTGTAGTAGCGCTTGGGCTTGTGGACGTGGATACTGCAACGCTCGAAGTCGTCGTCTCGTAGGTGCCGCTTTCAAATGTCGTACTCGAGGAAGCTTCTTCAGGGGTAGTTGAACTGGGCGCAATCGATGTTTCCGGACTTTTACTGCTCTCCGCGGGCGTAATTTCCGAGGTTGACGGCGTACTCGCTGAAGCCGTGGACGGAACCGTTGTCACGTCCGGGTTAATTGATGACGTCATTCTCCCATCAGTGGTGCTGCTCATTGAAGTCGAACGTGCTTGTGTGGAAGACAACGAACTCGAAGTTTTACTTGCCCAAGAAGTGGAAGACCCAATAGTGGAACCACGGGAACTTGGCGAGAAGCTCGTAGTGGTGCTTCCGGAAGAGGATGAAGATCCAGGGCTCGATTCACTAGAGCTTGCAGTCGACGTAGTCGTGATGACAGTCGAGATCATGCTCGTGCTCCAAGGCCCTGTAGTTGTAGTCCGTTGCTCAGTTTCGCTCGTCTCGGCACTCGTCGTCGGAACTTTAGTGGTAGGCGGATTGGTAGGTGGATCATGACAAAGCGCCATCAAAGCGTTGGAGATCTGGTCCGAATCCATATTCAATGGAATTACAGCAAACGGGGCAGTGTTGAGCTCTAGAAAATTCATTTAAAACGCGTAATTGGTTAAACTTACCATCCGGGGCCACTCCGATGGTATAGAGTTTTCGCTTGTAGGTATTACCAGCAATATTAATTCGAGATTGGGGGCTAAAATCGTGAAGTGATTATTGTTTTTATTTACATACTTATTAAAACAAAACTTTCCTATAAATAATGACAATATATAGATTTGAGAATAGTATTCAAACCTTCCTGTAAACAACACGATATATGCATCGTCAACTTGCCATTGATTCAGTAAACTTGTAGCGCTAAATTGTGCTTAATAAGTATCAAGGTATCGTCTTACTTTCTAATATCTAGATCTCCGCCTGCCCCGGTAAAATTTGCTCCAACATCTTTCATGCCCTTCGCGAAAGTTGTTGGCACAGGCCCATCTTCTTCAACACCACTGCTATACCTCCAGAATGCGATCGACATGTCTAGCTGATTTTCAGCTGCTTGATCGAATAGATTTGTCATAGCAGCGAGTAGTGTGGTTTTTTGAAGGATCTAAAGTGGAGAGTTAAACTCAAGATAATTTACCAACCATGTTTGCGCTGCCAACATCTGTAAGATCTGCAACAAAAAGGGCTTTGCACTCGGGAAACGTGGTAGGAGTTGTGTGGCTAATTGTGGATCCAGCGTTCTGGGTTGTGGTGGAGGTCGGGGTTGTAGATGAAGACTTGGACATTGTGATAGTCGAAGAACTTTGGGTCTTAGCACTGGAGCTCATTGGAACGCTAGGGTAGCTCGTGCTACGTGTCGGGCTCCCGGGTTCAGTAGTAGTAGAGCTGAATGTGATGGTAACTTCCGTTGTAGCTGAAAAGTCGCGTTTGGTCATGCTATCATATTCTTGCACAAACCCGTAGAAGCTTCACTAGCATTTGTAGTTGTCAACGTAACTTCTGTGCTGGAGAGCATGCTAGTGCTGCCAGCTTCCGAAGTCGATGAAAAGCTCTGTGAAGTGGCTTGCGATGGATTAGAGGTATAGCCAGTCGCGGAAGACGTGGTTCCGTCGGATGCCGTAAAGATAACTTCTGAAGTCGTACGAATGGGTGACGACGAAGCTGAAGAGCTAGGGCCGGCCGTCTCGGCAGTGGAACCTGAAATCGTATTATGACTCTAAGGCTAGAACGCGTTCTACCTCGTATTGCGGTAGAGGAACTCCTTTCCGTCATAGTCGTGCTGCTTGTTCTTGTGCTGATCGAACTGGACGTTGACGTATCTAGCGACGTCTCTGTTGACCGAACATCTGCGGTAGTCGGCGAACTGCTCATTGCAAACCCGGTGCTCGTACGATCAGTCGACGCGGAAGTGAGGCTGACTGTTGCCGGTTCTGAAGTGGGCTCTGAGGGACTGGTAGTGACTTCAGAAGTCATGGCAGTAGACCATTTGCTAGCTTCTGATGTGGCTGCGGTACTTCCCGCGGTTGTTAGGGAACTTGTGCTGCTGCTCCCATGTTCTGTAGTTTGGGATTCCGTAGCCCAGGTAGTGCTCGAAGCGGCGGACGAAGCAGTAGTACTTGGGAGGCTGAAAAAGATTGCATTAAGGCTGTCTAGATGCAATATTCGTTACCTGGTTTCCGACAAGTTTGTCGCGGCGGTGGTGTACTCTGGATACGACGTTGTAGAAGCAGAATTCGAGCTTGAGGTGGTTCTGTGGATATTGGTCGTGGAAGATGCCTGAGGCGAAGTCATAGATTTGGTTGTGGTACTGCTTAGAATTGATGCTGGAGTCGAAAGAGTCGCAGGACTCGAGACAGAGCTTGAGGAAGAGGAAGAGGAAGGGATGGAAGTCGTTGTATCGCTAAGAGTAGTCAAAGGGCTTGTGCTGCTCTTTATTGCGATAGTGCTCGTGGGCGGTTCGATAGTCGTGGACGAGGCATCACTGGAGCTCAATAGTTGCGTAGTGGTGCTCTCCGACGGTACAGTAGTCAGATTCTTGTGTGAGGACGTGCCAGACGTCAAGCCAATAGTTGTCGTGGTTTCCGACGTTCTAGTAGCACGGCTCGAAGGGGTTGACGCACTTGGCGGCAGGCTTTCACTCGTCGTTGATGCGTTGAATGGTCCGATACTAGTTGTGCTAGGAGTTTTGGTGTCTGATGAGGTACTTGAGCTGATTACGGTTGTCGATGGACTTGAGTGGATCTTGGACGACAGTGCGTTTGAAGAAGTGCTTCTGATTTCCGATGTCGTTTCTGAAGACGTGGTTGTTGTGGATAAAGTATGTGTAGACGAAAGAACCGGGCTAGCTGCTTCTGAAGTCATTGTAGAGGGTTCAGTCGAGGCGTCTGTGCTACTTCCAGAGGCGGAAGCAGTCATGTTCAAGGTTGTGTGTGGGGACGGTGTGCTTGAACCTCGAATAGTCGTCGCTTCGCTAGAACTGGCAAACTGAGATGTCGGGCTAGGTAGCGTGGTTGTCGTCCAGGAGGCTGTCGAGGTGAAATATGAACTGCTCGACAACGGACATTCAGAAGTCAATGGACTTGGCGTTACGGTGGACTGGCCGCTGGCGCTGCTCGAGATGGAGCTTGATGTGGATGCTGAGACAGAGACACCGTCCGTCGTTCTCTCAGAATTCTTGTTGGAAGTCGTATCAGAGCTAGCATTTGCAGTCGATGCCGGAGGTGTAGCCGTCGTAGTCGTTGAGCTTCTTTCAGTAGGTGTACTTGTCTTAGTGCTTGAGGACGTGGAAGACCCGGAAGAAAGGGTCGGTGTCGTGAAATTCTTCTCCGGGGTAGTTCTTTTGGAAGTGGATCCCGGAGTGGTACTAGCTACCGCGGACGTCACCGGATGCACTTTTGGCGAGGTTCGATTTGGGCTACTTGTCGAAGGGCTGGCTTCAGAAGTTGATTCCACAGTTATGGTCGTTTTAGAGCTTGAAGTCGAGCTGGTTTCGGGAGTGCTCTGGCTCGTTGAGGTCGCGGCCGGCATGGTCGACCAGTTGGTAGTCACTTCTTCCGTCGTACTCTGAAGCCTCGTAGTATCCGTCGGGCTTGAGCTCACGAAAGGAGTTGTAGAAAACTTGGGAGGATGACTTGTTGAAGAAGCTTCCCAGGTTGATACCAACGCTGTCGAGGAGCCCTTCGAGGTGGTGCTGATATCTGGGGGGCTCGAGGTGGCTGTTTGCGTTGATGCACTGCTTGAAGATGACGTAGCTGCTGTTGTTACAATTGTGTTGGTTGTAGTTGTTTTGGACATGGTCGTGACGACGTTAGGTTCCGTTGTGGTAGCGCTGGAGGTATCAGGATTCGTTGTTGTTATCGGCCTACTCGTCGATCTTGTCACCACAGGTATTGTCTGTACGTGTTCTGTCGTACCGACAGTTACAGTACTCGATCCAGGCTTATCAGTCCTTGTTGTTGTCGCTGCCGGGATCCTTGTTGTCATGCCATTCACGGTCGGCAGCACTCTCTGCGTGGTGGCGGTCACGTCTACAGGCAAGATTTTCGTTAGCTCATTTGCGATATCGTCCTTTGGTACCGTCTCATCAATGAAGAACGTTTCGCTAGTTTCATTAACTTTATAGCGATCTTTCAGCTCCTTCTTCTTCATGTCCCCAGAGATGAGGATGAGCTTGCTGAGGTAAGGGTTGTCAAACGGAGCTCCTTTCTCGTCTGGCATCTGACTAAATTAAAATTGTACTCTACTTGGTTTTATGAAACCTACAATTGTTTGCAAGGGACGAAATAGACAAGCTCGCTCGGCATTTCGCTCTTGTCGTAGGCAGTAATGGCTCTGAAAGACTGTCTATACCTCTTTATAGCGCTATAATTTTTTTCTTTAATTTGTGCTATAGTGTAAAAACTCACGCCTGCTCATTTGCCTTCCCATTGTTTACCTGTCCATTTATATCATGTTCCAAAAATTCCAGCGCTTCACTCTTGCTCATAGGTTTCCGAATATCAGCAGAGTACCGTCCTTCGCCATACGTTAGAAATCGAACCTGCGTTGCATCATCCAATCCAATCAGAGCATTTTTGACAATTTCTTTTGTCTAGAATGTATATTGGAGCCGGACTATATTTAAATTTAAGCAGCTTAATTTAAAAAACGCTAAGACTCACATCAGATAAATAATAACACGGATCCGTCGTATTTTCTTCAGCATAAATAAGCTGTTTGTCCTTGTCAATTAGGTATAAGGAGAACGTTACATGAGGGGCGGGCACTTTCGTCGGTTCTAAATCGGCCTAGGCTTAGGTTTACGTCTAGGCAGAAGCTTGGGTCCAGCCTTAGATTATGTTTAGGCTTAGACTTAGGCTTGGGTTTTGGCTAAGACTTAGGTTAAGGCTACGGCTTAGGTAGGACTTAGGTGGTGCTTAGGCTTAGGCTTAGGCTTGTGCTTACAGTAAAGTGTTTTTGGTCAGGATGGAAATTCGGTTCGGGACCGAGCCTATCTTGTGCAAAATTTTTGCTGATTCCGAATCCGACTTCCAAATCTGCAGAATAACTCGGATTCAAAAGTTATGAAGCATTTAAGTGCGGTTTTCGGACCCATGAAGTGATTGGCCATGATGCCGTCCTTTTCTGTTTTACTATTCCAATTTATCGCGCATAGCCTATCTGATAGAGAATTTTTTTTCTGATTCGAAGTGTTCTTCATTTCAACATGGGTATTACTAGGCCGCAGTTTACAGGTGTGCAAAGTACGCCATTTTTCGCCAAGTGCCATACAAAAATTGAAGGCCATACCATCGTCAAATTTTTCGATTTTCGACAATTTTGAGTTAAAGAGCTTATTCGATAGAAAAAAAAATTCTGAATAAGATGGCAATATTCTTTTTTAGAAAATCAATCAGGAAGATCAAAATAATCGAGCATGAAATTTGCCAATTTTTGCTTAAAATGGTCTTAAAAACGTCATACATTTTGAATCAGAACTATTCTGCAGATTGGAGATCAGATTCGGAATCAGCGAAAAATTCTGCACAAGATAGGCTTGGCCCCGAGTCGAATTTCCATCCTGACCAAAAAGACGTTACTGTTAGGCTTATCCTTATCTATGCTTCTTAGCCATAAAGAACTTACCAGCAGATACCTTCGTACGATCCACCAACATCACCACCACCACTACAGCTACAGCCACAACGACGAGAACCGAAATTATAAATAGCAAGATGAATAGCCATCTTCTCCGACCGAAACTCGATGTTGCCATGAAGTTTGTTTAGTACTATTAAGTGTTCTTTCAGGTTTTGCTAATGGAAGAGGAACTGCTAAATTAAAATAGTTAATTAAAGTTCAAATCTGGAGAGACAAATTCCTGATGATAAGATCAAAAAGCAACAGGGCGGGAAAATGTGGCCGGTGGGCAGCGCGGTATTTGACCACCAAAAATTCGGCGGGGCACATTAACGGCCATCAAATTTACAGCCCAGCACCGCCTCGCTGTTTTTATATGATAAGTGGTGTCGACCAAAAAAAATGGACTCAAAAAAGCTTCTTGGTTGATTCTTTGGAAAGGAAAGTACAGACAAATATTTACAAAAAAAAATAAAATACAAGCAAGGCTCAGCAAATAAATAATAAAAATCACGTTTTAAAGGGAGTAGGAAATTGACCGTTTACCCATTGGTCGTAAATGTTTAATTTCATGTTTTTAGCTGAGTCTTAATGGAAGTCGGTTTCAAAATTCCGGTGTTTTGACCCCTACCATTAAGGCTTCATATGTTGTAAGTGGGCCATGGAAAATAACACAAAAATTCGGCTGGGCATAAAAAAGAAATAGAAAATTCTCCACTGATCAGCGGCGACATTTTAAGTTTTCGGAACCTTTATATGCCACACCCAGTCTCAGAGCACAGTTGAGGAACAGTGGCTACCGACTTACCCTAACCTCATGGCGTTAATGGCTCAATAACACGGGGCGAATTGGCACTAAATCTGCTGATAAACCCCATAAAAATCGGGAAGCAACTCGTGGTTTTTGCGTGGTCAGTGTCTTAGGTTAAATTTCTGTGGTTTCAAATACACATTTGTTGATGTTAAGAAAATGCTTTAAAAAATGAAAAACATGGCAGTGGTTTTAGATGATTGTCATTCGTACGTATTATGTGATTGCCGTGTGTTCTCTTATCTATATTCCAATTGTTTCTTCCGTTTCTTTTACGCTATATGTAAGGCTACCATTTTTATGTTAAAATTTATTGGTTACGCAACTAGCTCGATTGGCAAAACTGCATGACGGTTTCGACCAAAATTGTAGAGTCCATAAGCAAAGAGACGGAAGCGAACGGTGACGTGTCCACGTCTTGATCTAGGCGATTATAGCGATTTTCGAACGGAATTAACCTGCGAAAGAGACTCCTATAGTCATGTTTCTCTTCAAATAAGTTGTCCCGGCCAAATCGACTTGCTTTTGGGAACTTAAAGAAGTAAATCATAGTTTTTAGGAGCCACCCACCTGCCCGTAAATAGGACAATAAAAGCATCATCGACCGGCCATGCATTTAGAGAATTAGTAGCGCTAAACCGATGTCAGGAGATATTCTGTATGCACTACCCCTTACTTTACAATATTGAGATCGCCTCCGATATTGTCAAAGTTGTAGCCAACATCAAATAGATCCTTGGCAAAGGTGTTTGGTATTAGACCATCGATATCGGGCCCGCTACTATACCTCCAGTACGCGATCGACATGTCCAGCTGATTAGTTGCGGCAGTTTGTAATAACCTTTGCATGGAGGCAACAATTACGGGTTTTTGCATGGGCTTAAAGTGCTAATGGGACCTAATTTGAAGCTTGGATACCAGGTTTGCAATGCCAGCGTCCGAAAGATCCGCAACGAAGAGAACCTTGCATTGCTTTAGTGGAAAAGACGTCCCCGGACTCTTTGTTGAACTTGAGTTCGCTGGCGTCGATGCTGCCCAGGTATTCAAAAGCTATGTCAGAGAAGTTCTGACCTGGGTCTGGCTCAGACGACGTCAATTGATTTGTAGATGTCGCAGTAGGTGGTGTCGATGCTGACCAAATTGGGAAAGTCAATGTCAGTTCGAAAACTCACTGGCGGTTGTGAGAATAGAAGACGATTGGGTGACAGTAGAAGTATCAAATTCTGTTGTCGGCGCAGATGTCGTTCTAAATTGATCTCAACAAACTGTCTTGTTTTTGGATACGTTGATTGATCTTTTTGCTGGCATAGTTCAATAACCGATTGAAAAATCGCCAGCGGTTGCATGTATGGAATCGATAAGACGGCAAAGGGACTTGCATCGGCGCCCACTAAAAACATATTTAATTCGACTCGCTAAGGACACTAAAAGCCATGAAGAGCTAAGACATTAGCGTACGTACTAGAACTATCTGCGACTTACCAGTCACACCAACCGTTGACCATCGTCGGTTATAATGTTCGCCGGCTGCAGCGAATTTGCTGGGATCACTAAATTGATTCAAGGTAAAGCTTGGTGTTACGATTGAAGTATACACCTGCTATGTTTAAAATCCTCTCCAAAAATAGAGGCAAAGAAAAAGATTCGAGAAGCTCAGTTCTGAACCTCCAGAGCCTAACTTGTTCCAACTCCGGCTAAAAAAATACCTGCCCGTAAACAGTACAATTACGGCATCTTGAATTACCCATTTCGATAAAGCGCTCGTTGCGCTAAATTAAATGATTTTAAAATTATGATGTATACCAACTAGACAATATCCAGCGACCCGCCAGGTGACCCAAAATTCAAATCAGAATCCTGGAAAGAATAGACGAATTTCGTTGGAATCGGGCCGTCAATATCCCCTCCACGACTATAACGCCAATGAGCAACCGAAGCATTAACGCCATTCGGGGCCGAGTTGTGGAATAAGGTGTTCATTGTTGCAACAATCGTTTGGATCTGGGATGTCTAGATATGTAAATGTGTCATTTTCTATCTAAAAACGCTTGCCGGGGCATTGTCGGACAGATCTGCGACAAAAGCACTTTGCATTGGATTAGCGCATCAAATCGTTCGGCATTAACGCCGAATATTGCAAATAGTAGTATTTGCAAGAATGCCTTAGAACGCATCGCAAGTAAGCGAGAAGAACTAATTGACGATTTTCAAAAGCCCCCGCGTGCAAGTGTTATCGAGAAGCAAGAAAATTTCCCCTTTAACGAGCGTAGGTAGTGGCTAGGCCTAGGCAGCTTCTTGATAAGGGAATACATCTAATGTGAGGAACTTTGGGTTGGAATATAGGAAAAAAACGGCTTTTCTCGTCTGGGATATAGCCGTGGAACGTCTGCTTTTTAGAGTTGCTTTTTATGTATTTTAAAATCGGTATTTATTTGCAATTTTTGCATGCGTTTTGTAAGGTATTAGAATTTATTGTCTATTTGCGCATATTCCATGAGTCCTGTTTTTCAAGACCATTCCGTTGCGTGGCGGATATTTTGTGGTTGAATGCCACATCAAAAACAGATCAGAATAGATTTGCTTTATTATTAATTTTGCATGACAAGCCGTAATTAATTGCCTGCCGACCTATTAGGTCGAGCCCATTCCTAATGCCGAAATCGGGGTTGCTGCATTCAAGCACATCGTTTTCAGCAGAGAAGCCGTCTGATCTTTCATTGTCAAATCAGCGCTCTCCACCGCAATTCCAGTCAAGTTTTGTCCTAAATATTGATCTAGATTCTCTTTGTCCTGAAAAATACCGGATAAAGCCAGCCCTATCGTCCACGAGGCATGTTGATTGGAGCCAGACGCACTGTCGATGATATCTTGGTTACTAACAGGGTTTATGTTGAGCTTCAACTAACAATTAACCTTGCTGTCATTAGGACCACGACAATGTTGTTTAGCTTGGCTTCGATTTGATTGAGATAGCGGATTGCACTAAAAGAAGCAGCAAAGAAATTACGAACGCGAACGCAAGCGAAGAAATTACTTTTTAACATTGTCATCGTTTGGAGCTTCGAATCTATACTGATCCAGGTCAGCAGTTAAATTTACTAGGTCTACATCGGTAGTGTCCACGTCCGGTTTCTGGTCAAAGTCATCCTAGAAAACACTTAGCGTTTTTGTCATCAACAAAAGTTACATCTCCATAGGCGGCAAGAGCCGCGATAAGTTCGATCGAGCCATCTGGATACAATGCTTCACCAATACTGAGGATAAAAGCTTTTTCTGGCGAGGTAGCATTGAGAGCCTGCAAACATCAATGTAATTAATAAACCGACGTCCGGAAACAGTTCTGCACCGATATCCACAATAAAGTCTTTTTGAGCATTGATGACTTTTGAAGCCTGGAAACCCCCCCTATTGTGCAGGAATTCAAGCACTACGCCCGCTAATAAACTTCAAGGCTACCAACAGCACGTACTATGGTTGCTGTGGAGGCATCAATGTAAAACAACGCAACGCATTTTGTTCGTTCTGGCGGAGATGTCGAGGTCGAAGTGGATATCTCTGAAATCGTTCGTTATTTTCTGGTCTGAATTTGACTACCAGCAGTTGCAGTTGTTTCTGGGAAACTTGTCGTCGTTGTTCCGCTTTGGCAAAGGTCAACAACGGCATCAAAGATGGCCAATGGTTGCATGTAAATGATTGATCGAGCCGCAAAAGGGCTTGTATCGACACCAGCTGAATACTGACTATAGAGGGATCATGTAAGCTGACGATTCAGGGGAAAAAACGCTAAGTTTGCACTGCCGGGGGATTGAACCTCCAACATTCGTTGAAGTTCAAAACCCCGACTTAGAGTACGTGCGATCGCAACTGCGCGCCTCGCAAGCTCCCATTAGTTCCAGAAATATCCTCAAAACGTGGGCTTCTGCTTCCAATACCCCTTTAATGGGGTTTTGAACTCGAAAACTTACCAGCAACCCCAACGGTCCACACTTTTCTGGTATAATCACGACCAGCTGGGGCGAATTTACTTGGATCACTAAAACATGCAATCACTGAAACATCAGATCGACTCCATGTCACTCAAAACAAAGATTTCAACATTTACCTTCCGGTAAAGAGAACGATTATAGCGTCCTCCACTTGCCAGCTTGATAACTTTTTCGTGGCGCTAAATCCCATACTCCACAAAGAGGACCTCTGTTCTTACTATTCAATGTCCAGATTACCTCCTTGCAACCCGAAATTTATCACAACACTTTGGAGATCATAAGCGAATGTGGTCGGCAGAGGACCGTCAGATTCCTCGTCGCCACGACTATACCGCCAGAATGCAATCGAAATATTTAGCCGATTAGCGTCGGCGCCGGTGAATAGGGCGTTCATCGAGCCAACGATGGTTGGATTTTGTGAAGGCTAGATAGAGAAATGAATTTTGCTTAAAATTAGCATACCGGTGCCCTTTCCGAGAGATCGGCAACGAAGAGCACTTTGCATTGGGTGATGTCGTCTAGCTGATTTGCCCTCGCAAGAAGAACTTCAGCAAATAGTAGAATTTTTAAGAGCTGCAGAGGCACGGACAGCATGGTAAGATGTTGACGACAAGTTTTCAAGCAGTTTCAGTAGCCAAGTGAGTAATTGTTATCGGAAATCGGCGGAATTCGGCTGCAGGAGGCCCGAACTATTCTGACTCTGGCTGATAAGGGAATACTTCTAATGTGAGGAATGTTTGAGAGGCATTTTAGAAACAAAACACCTTCGTTGATCCGATAGACGAAAAGATAAATTTTTGATTTCTTATGTTTAATGTGTCTTAATGTCTAGTCATGGTTTTGTTCCCGTTATTGTCCCAAACATAACAGGCTTCCTGCCTTCTTGTCATATATTTTTATTTATATAAGGTTTCTGTGTAGAATTTCGACTTCCAATTATATTTTTAAATTTATTATATCGACGCATATTCAATAACCCTGTTTTTGGAGACCATTGGGTTGAGCGGCGTGGAGCCTCTCGCTGAAAAGATGGGATTTATATACTTCCACTGTTTTTACAGCCTACAATTAAAAGCTTAAGCAACCAACCTTGTAGGAAAACACAGAATTTGTATTTGTAAGCCACATTAAGAACGGACCTGCACAGTTTTTGTTTTGATCTTATTGCCAGCTAACCTACTAGGTCGAGCCAGTTCCTGACGCTGCAGTTGTAGTAATTCCACTCAAACACATCGTTTTCAGCATAGAAGCCGTCTGATCTTTCATTGTTAAATCAGCACTCTCGACCGCAATTCCGGTCAAGTTTTGTCCTAAATATTGATCTATATGCTCCTTGTCCTGAAAAATACCGGACAAAGCCAGCCCTATCGTCCACGAGGCATGTGAATTGGAGCCAGTCGCACTGTCAATGATATCCTGATTGCTAAATGTACTTTCTTGTGATTTTAGAATGTTATCTTACCTCGCAGTAAACAGGACTACGACCACATTCGCCAACTTCTCACTAATCTTGTTCAAATAGGCAATTGCGCTAAAATCGTTAGACAAATCCAACGTAATTACTTTTTAATGTTGTCATCGTTTGGAGCTTCGAATCTATACTGATCCAGGTCAGCAGTTAATTTTAATAGGTCTCCATCGGTAGTGTCCACATCCGGTTTCTGGTCAAAGTCATCCTAGAAAACACTTAGCGTTTTTGTCATCAACAAAAGTTACATCTCCATAGGCGGCAAGAGCCGCGTGTAGTTCGATGGAGCCATCTGCATACAATATTTCACCAATATTGAGGATAAAATCTTTTTCGGGCGAGGTAGCATTGAGAGCCTGCAAACATCAATGTAATTAACAAACCGTGAAAGCAAAAGGGGCCCGAACTTCCTAGAAATATGAAACTCACCGTTGCTGCATTAGAAGCATCGATATAGAAGAGCGCGGTGCATTTTATTCTTTGAGGACCTGATGATCGGGCAGTCGACAGCTCAGCAGTAGTCGTCCAGGCCGTAGAGCCCGTACTAGGATATGTGGCGGCTGTGCTCGCCTGGCTGGTCCCAGAACTCGTTGAATTTCCGGATCCGGGCGTCGAGGTCCAAGCTGTGGTGGATGAGGATAATCCTGGTTCTGTATAGGGGCTAGCCGTTGTATGCGCCGATGTTGAGATGTAAGCCGTACTTGAAGATCCGGAGACTGATGAAGTTGTCGATCCGATAGGTTCGGTACTTGTACTCGCCGAATTCGTCGGGACTGTATTCTGCGTCGTGTTTTGCGTAGGATTAGGTGTAGTTCCAGTCGTCATGCTAGACCCTGTACCTTGTGTAGACCCCGAAGTGCCCGAACTTGATCCTGACGTCGAAGACAAAGAAGTAGAGGATGTGGGGCTAGAATGGGCATGGCTAGCTGTAGATGGTTCCGCTGTGGCTGACGCAGTCGTTCCCGACTCTGACGTTCCTGATGACCCCGTTGTAGGAATGGTCGTGTAGTGCGTATTTTCAGACGCCGAGGTAGCGGAAGAAGCGGTGTTTGTACTTCCAGGTACACTGGTCGTGCCAGTTGCTAGCGTTCCTACGGACGTACTTGATCCCGAGGCTACAGTGGAGTAACTACCAGTAGCTTGAGAAGCCATTGAGGACTCGGGAGACTGCGGCGTAGTGGATCCCGTCGTTACAGTCGAGTCGCTAATAGTAGCTTGAGAAGCGGTTGATGGCTCTTGAGGCGTGCTCGTTGAAGCTCCGGAGGTGCCGAAAGATGTACTCGAGCCATTGGGGAAGACTGTTGAAGCCGGAATTGTAGACGAGACCACAGTAACCGTCGAGCCGCTTGAACGGGTCGCCGCCTTTCCGGTGCTTGGCCCTATCGAGCTAGGCACCGGTGAAGTGCTTGAACTCTGCGGTGATGACGTCTGGAAACTTGTTTGAGCATTAGTTGATGTATGGGATTCGGTTGCTGTAGATGTCATTGTTGGAATACTAGATGTCGTCGGCAGGGGGCTAGAACTGGCTGGAGCCTCGGAAGACCCAGGTGTAGGGCCAGCTGACGAGCTCGACTTCATGCTTGGGGTACTCCCAGTAGTCAGACCAGGTGTTGAAGAGACGCTAGGGTGCTTTTGACAAAGCCCAGTAACCATTTGCACGATGGAAGCAGAATCGAGAGGCAAGGAGAAAACAGCGATTGGCGAGATATCCAGGTATTCATCTAAAAACCGTTCGGATACACTTTTTCAGCCACAAACCGCACCTGGTGAAGACACTCCTATGGTCATCGCTCGTTTCGAGTAGGTCTGTCCCGCCAAAGTCACCTCATTCTGAGTGCTAAAAATACCGATGCTGTTTTTTACGAACAACTCACCTGCCCGTAAACAGTACAATAAAAGCATCCCCAATCGTCCATGCATTCAAAGAAACTGTCGCGCTAAAGTAATAGCGACGGTTTTTTATAAGGCGGAATTCCTACTTGACGATATTCAGATCTCCTCCTGGATTATCAAAGTTCGGGTTCACACTGGCGTTATCTTTCACGAAGGTGGTAGGCATTGGCCCGTCGGCGCCCATTCCACTACTGTATCTCCAGAATGCGATCGACATGTCTAACTGGTTATTTGTGGCCTTCTCGAACAGCTTCTGTACGGAAGCCTTGATCACCGTAGGTTGTGAAGGCTAGAAAGTGTATCTTATGTTAAGCTAGACATAGACAAACCATATTGTTGTTCCCAGCATCGGAAAGATCAGCGACGAACAAGGCCTTGCACGGGGTTAGCGGGATCGAGGTCGTTGGGCTGATCGTGGAGCCCGTGCTAGATGACGAGCCCGGGGCGGAAGAGGTTGAAGTCGGATGGGTCATCGAACCAGTTGTTGCTACGCTTGACCGCTGGCTAGAGCTTCCCGGTAGTGTTGATGTCGACTCTGAAATTCAGGTGTAAGGACAAGAGGTGAATATCGACGAAGCAGATAGCTAAAATTCTTACCGGTATGATGATCCGTTGTCTGTGAGCTTGACACTGGAGCGCTTGTTGACGCTGAATTTGATGTGCTGGAGCCTTGAGTCGTTGTTGCGGTGCTCTGTGTAGTAGCAACAGAGCTTGACTGAGATCCTGTAGAAGAGGTCGGGTTTTGGGACGTTGGGCTTGAACTCCGTCCCGATGAGGGTTGCTGGGTTCCAGATGTCGACGGCGCTGTAGTCATTGTTGAGCCAGGCGGTCCAGAGCTCGTCATTAGGCCTGAAGTTGTGCCTTCGGAAGTCGAATGAACGTTTGTTGACGATCCAGAGGGATTCTCTGTCGGGGTTGGGCTCGAGGATGGAGAAGCTGTAGTTGACGTCGAAGTTGTGGTGGGAGTAGAATGAAAGTTTGTCGACATTCCAGAATGATTCTCTGTTGAACTTGGAATCGAGGTAGAAGGGGATGTGATTGAAGCGGAAGTTGTGATGACCTCGGAAGTGGAATGAATGATTGTTGACGATCCAGAGGGATTCTCTTTCGGTGTGGTACTCGAGGAAGGAGGGGCGGTACTTGGAGCAGCAGTAGAAGTAGTTGTTGCTTCACTACGCGTCGAACTTACAGTACTCGTGCCAGTCGAAGTCGGGGATGAGCGAGATGGGCTTGATGTTGAGATCGCTGGCGTGGCAGCAGGCGTTGTACTTCTGCTGCTGCTAGCTTCGGTCTGTTGAGTCCCGGAGCTACTTGTCGATGGCACCGTTGCTGATGACGGCCTTGGCTGGCTTTTGCAGAGACCAATGATTGTGTCCACAAACGACGTAGAATCCACGCTCAGAGTCACAGCGGCGATCGGCATGGTATCAATGTTTTCATCTAGGAGGACATTGATTGTTGACTGGTTTGACTAACCTGGAGATGAAACACCTACAGTACGCTGTCTTTGTGAGTATGTTTGCCCGGCCGCGTTGATTTGAGCTTGTTTACTAAAAAAAGCATGGAAGCTTTTGAAATCTTTACCTGCCAGTAAACAATATGATAATGGCATCTTGGTTGGTCCAACCATTGAGGGCATTCGTGGCGCTAAAACCAATTTCTTGAAGTAAAGAAGACCCCTACTTGATGATGTTGAGATCCCCTCCTCTGTTCTCAAAGTTGTAGTGAACATCGGATATATTTTTGGCAAAGACAGTTGGTAGCTGCCCATCCACGTCTGGTCCACTACTATATCTCCAGAACGCGATCGACATATCCAAGTTATTAATTGGTGCATTTTGGAACAACTTTGAGATGGTGGCAACCGTTACGGGCTTTTGTGAGGGCTGAAAATTGTATTAAAAGCATCTCTAAGCAAACCATAAATCCATCACCAGCATTAGAAAGATCCGCTACAAACAAAGCCTTGCATGGAGTCAAAGGAATAGTGGTGGTCGGTCTATTAGTGGATTCAGTATTCTGCGTGGAGCTGGCTCCGGAGCTAGTGGTGGACGGATACGGCGTCGTTGGCGCTGTGGAGCTTCCCGGAATGGTTGAGGTTGACGCTGAAATGCCAGCACTGTTTGAAAATTCAGAATTTCTACCTGTATCTGATTCAGTGGGTTGGGTGCTTGGCCGTGGTGCAGTGGTGGAAGCAGATTGTGCTGCGCTCGTTGGCTCTGGTGTGAAAGTGATGCTCTGCGGAGTTGAAGAAAGCGGACTTGAGCTTGGCCATGTGGACGAGTTCGAGCTTGTTACGGTAGGAGTTGATCCAGAAGAAGGTTGGGTCCCAAGTGAAGCTGACGAGGCCGTTGCGGGACTGCTATTTGGCGGTTCTGAAGTTGACGTGCTTGACGTTGTGCCGGCCTTGGTAGAATGAGCGTTCGTTGAAGAGACAGTTGATCTATCGGTAGGATTTTGACTTGAGGACGACGGAGCGCCGCTTGAAGGGCCAGGTGACGTGGAGGCTGAACTGCCCGACGTCGTGAGGATAGTGCTAGAACCGACGACAGGAGAATTCGTTGGGCTTGATGTGGAAGGGTGGCGATCCGTGGGCATAGGACTAAAAGACGCTGGAGACATGCTGGAAGCGCCAATCGACGTGGATATTGCTGTGCCAGAAGTTGGTGCAACGGTGCTAAATGAACTCGTAGGCGGAGTCGTCTCGCCTGGTGTTGTGGACTGGGTGGTTGTTCCAGGCGTGGTCATCGTCCTAGCCGAGCTCGAGGCAATGCTTGGGGTCGTGGAGCTCGGTCGTGTCCAACCTGCTGTTGTCGGGCTCTCGGATCGTTGCGTAGTCGAACTGCTCTTAGCAGGGGCAACTGTGGATGTAACTCGCGGTTGACTTTGACAAAGTCCAATGATCGTTTCCACGAACAGAGTAGAATCCAAATTCAAGGAAACAGCAGCGATTGGCGAGGTGTCCAGGTTTTGAGCTGAAAAAGAAAAATGTTGGCAATACGGCTAACTCGACCCACTTGCGGAGGAAACTCCCACCGTACGGGCTCTGTTTGAGTATTCATGACCGGCTAACTTGACCTGGACGTCAGAACTAAAAAAATTTACTAAATTTGTTTTTTGGGGTTCTGACCTGCCAGTGAACAATATAATAAGGGCATCTTGATTCGGCCAATTGTCGATCGCATATGTGGCGCTAAAAAAGGTATGGCTATTCGTAAAACGTTTACTTCATAATGCTGAGGTTTCCTCCACGATTATCAAAGTTGTAGCCGATATCAAACAGGGTCCTCGCAAAGTTTGTGGGTAACGCCCCATCAACATCGCCTCCGCTACTGTATCGCCAGAAGGCGATCGACATGTCTAGTCGACTAACCGGCGCATTTTGGAATAACTGTGACATTGTGGATACCATCACAGGCTTTTGGGATGGCTGAAAATCGTAAGCGTCAACATTTTAGGTCCGGACATACCATATTTCCGTCCCCCCCAGCAGAAAGATCCGCGACAAACAGAGCCTTGCACTGGGTCAACGGGATAGTGGTCGTTGGGCTAATCGTGGATCCAGTATTCTCCGTCGAGCTCACACCCGAACTGGTCGTGGAGGGGTAAGCCGTCGTCCCTGCCGTGGGGGCGCTAGACTGGGTGCTGGAGCCTCCCGGAATGGTCGAGGTTGGTGCTTAAAAGAAATTATTTTACTGACTATCCCGGTGAATTAATCTTCTCTTGTGAGGCTTACCTGTATTGGTTCCCGTTGTTGCGGGACTAGGCTGTGCCGGAGTCGCCGTTGTAGATTGTGCTGTGCTAGAAGTCGGCGTCGTGGTAGAGGGGCTCTGGTTCGTTGAGCGAATTGAACTTGAAGCCACGACGGTAGATGGCGGTGAACCCGTAATAGTTGATGCTGACGTCGAGCCAGACGTCTCCTTCGGTGTTGCAGAGGAAGCTGGAGTTGTGCCTGGCTCTGTCGGACTCGTTGCTCCAGATGTTGAGCCAGAAGATGCTTTCGCTGTCTCGGTAGACACAGGTGTTGGAGTTGACGGAGTCAGTCTCGTTGATTCTGAGCTTGACACAACCAACGGGGTCGTGCTCCCTTGTGTAGAATGCGTTTTCAACGTGGATCCAGAAGAAGCTTCCGTAGCGATCGAGGGAATGGTCGATGGAGGCGTGAGCGTACTTCCGGATGTCGTTTCCGAATGCCCAGGCGTTGAGCCGCTGGTACTCGTTTGAATGCCAGTAGACGGCACCAGACTTGACGTCGACGAAAAACTCATTGGTGTTGAGGTACCACTGCTAGGTATCGGGATAGAGCTTGCTGCTGTGGATGACGAGATGGTGACCACCTTCGTGCTCCCTGTCGGTGACGTGGTGGAAGCAGTGGAAACGGTTTGAGTTGATGAAGCTATTGGCTGCTGGGTGCTAAAGCTCGTGGAAGCTTGCGGAGTAGTCGTTCCGAAGGTTGTTTGATTTTGGCAAAGCCCAAAGATCGTTGCGATAATCCCATCCGAATCCAGATTCAATGACACAGCAGCGATCGGTGCGGTATTGAGGTTTTGGGCTAGGGAAGAGGTTAGAAGCTGTGCAATTTGACCTACTTGCAGAAGAAACCGCAACAGTAGCCGCCGCCCTTGAATAGGTTTGTCCCGCCAGATTAATCGCTACTTGAGTGCTAAGCTAACTGTAATTAATTTCAACTTGTCGCATACCTTCCAGTGAACAACACAATGAAGACGTTTTGCACATCCCATTGGTTTAAAGAATTTGTTGCACTGAAATGGGATGGAATATTCCGCGAAAAACCTACTTGCCAACATCCAGGTCTCCTCCTTTTCTGTCAAAGCTATAGCCAACACCAAAAATGTTCTTTGCGAAGTAAGTTGGTAGTGGCCCGTCGACATCAGCCCCACTACTGTATCGCCAGAACCCAATCGACATATCCAGCTGATTGCTATTAGCATTTTGGAACAGCTTTGTCATTGAAGCGACCATCACGGGTCTTTGGGACGGCTAAAAACACAACGGATTTGAACTGTGAGAGAAAGGATACCATGTTACGGTCGCCGTCGGTTGATAGATCCGCAACAAAGAGAGCTTTGCACGTAGTCAACGGGAGAGATGTCGTGTGGCTGATGGTGGATTCTGAGCTTCCAGTAGTGAATGTTGTTTGAAGGGTCGAAGAGGGAACATTTTGAGTCGTAGAGGCTTCGGTGGAACGAGAGTGGTTCTCGGTCGTCGACGTCGCTGTTTGTTCTGAAACGGATGTTTTTATTGTTTTTATTGTTTCGTTTTTCTCATGCTTTTTAGATCCCTTACCTTGGCTCGAGGTGCCCGAAACTGTTGGATGATTCGTTGCAGTACTTGTGAATCCAGATGTCGCCACCGAGGTAATGGATTGCTGTTTGGTAGACCCAGAACTGGCGTAAGTTGTCGAGCCAGAGTTCGTTGTTGGTCTTGTAGTTTCGGTGAATCCAGTGCTCTGGGTGGATTCTGAAGACACTGTCGCATAGGAGGTCGTTTGGATAGATGAGGTGCTGCTGCTCGTTCCTCCGCGAGATGTCGTGGTCGGACCTGATGATGCTGACGTTCCAGTATTAGTCCAAGCAGTTGTCCCAGCTGAGCTCGAGGAGTGACCCTCCGAGGTCGAGCTTCCAAGAACTTGCGTCGTCGACGTAGCGCCACTCTGGGTAGTAGTGACATCCAGTCCCAGACAGATCTGTCGGAGCATGGCTGCTGCTTGTTGGGTCTGGTCCCCATCAAAAGAGTTGATCGCGATGTGGCCCATGTTCTGACCTAGACTCAGTTTTTAATTTTAATTTGATGCTTACTCGAAAGGGCCAATCCGATGGTTCGAGTGTAAACGTGATTTTCCGGGGCGGCATCAATCACCGGCTGCGGACTAAAGATGATGCTTCGGAATTTAAATAAGGAGAAATACCTATTTGTGAAAATCATGACAGCAAACCCATCGAAGTCTGCGTTTTTGTTCAGATCAGCTACGGCCCTGAAATTCATTACAGTTATTATACAGATCTGTGTAAAGTCCTTACTCGGAAACATTTGCGTCGCCGTCAGGGTCATAGAATACTAATTGTCCCAGAGCTTTCTCTAACCCATCGAGGCTGTCGGATAATGTATCAACTTCTGGCGCACGATCACCCTAAAAGCGGCTGTCGGTTTGGGTCCAAATCTCACGTCTCCGTAGGCGGAAAACCCGACGTGCGATTGAATATCAGTGTAGTTGTAAAGTGTCGAAGCCATGGCCTTCAGAAGCGTGACTTCCTCGGAAGTCATCTATAGATGATTTTTAAAAGGTACAGAGAAAACTCACGTCGTGGGCATACTTCGAAGCATCGATGAAAAAGAAGGCCTTGCATTGAGGAAGGCTAACTGTCGTACTTCCAGTTTGGGAGGAAGAGCTGAAAAAGTCTTTGATGGAAATTCGGGTCATACCTTGCTCTTGAACCCGTAGTAGTCACAGACGGTGTGCTGGGAGACGTGCTCGACATTTGTAAGGGACTGCTCGGAGATGTGCTGCAAAAATACTAGAATTTTAGTCGATATCTTACCCCGCTCTCGAAATTGACGTCGACTCAGCAGGGGATGTTGAGGTGATGGGAGCCCCAGACGTAGTCGTGAAGCTTGGAGATGAAGGTGAGTGACTAGGGACTGTCGAGATGGGAGCGGTGCTTGTTGAAATAGGCGGATTGCTGGCAGTTGAAGCCAGACTGCTTGGACTTGTGCGCGAAGCGGCAGGAGTCGTGGTTGGCGTAGATCTGGGGCTCGAGTTCGATGTCGACGTTGTAGCCACAGGAGTAGTCGTCATGGTAGAGACCGTCGGGGTACTCGTCCCAGGAGTGCCGCTACTGGTGCTGACAGTGGTGCTCGAAAAACTCGCCGAAGCCGAGGTTTGCACGCTAGTTTGCGTCGAGCTGCTAGCCGTCCTCGTGGTCGTCTTAGGACCACTTGGTGTAGTCATTACATTCAAGCCAAGGCAGATATCTCTGAGCTTAGCAGCCGCATCTGCACTTTGTGCTAGGCTGTAGGTCTGGACGGCGATGTGGCTCATGTCCTGATCTAAATTCCTTTGCCAAGCGGACTGATTTCCCACCTTCAAGTGCACAGCCGATCGTTTGATTCTTTAGACGGTTTTCTGGCGTTGCGTCGATGACGTTCATTGGGCTATAAGAGGTGTCTTGAAAAAACAAAATTTATTTCTTTACGTTACCTAGCTGTAAAGACCAGCGTAGCAAAGTCGTTGAAAGCCGCGAGGTCGTTCAGATAACCGACGGCTCTTGAAAGTAAATGAGTTTTAGGGACTCAGAAGGGTTTGTTATCGAAGACTGCTGTTTACTAGGTCTTGAAATCTACACCACGCGCTAGCAGGCTTCAACTGGCGCTTCCTAGCCTTAAAGCTGTTACAACGTACTCGGTAACATTCGCATCTCCATTTGGATCGCCAAAAACGTAACCATCTAAGGCGTTTTTCAGCGTATCTGCGTCGTCGTAGAACTGATCCACGTTAGGCACGCCGGCAATCTGAAACAAGAATATTATCTTCTATTTACTACATTTTTGTTCTCCTTACAACGTTCTTCAGTTAGACTTACAGTTCCATACGCTCCGAATCCGACGTGTGTTTTCACTTCAGCATAGACATATAAATTTTGTGCTGCAGCTCGTATCATGAGGGTTTCAGATTTTGTAAACTGAATGAAATGATAGTCTGCTATATTGGAAGCACTATCCTTACGGGGCTACCATATGTAGAGGCATCTATCAAAAAGTAAGCATAACAGTGCGGGACGATGACTGCTGGGGTAGTGGTACCCAAGGAGGTCGCCATGGTGGTCGTCTTCGAAGCCTTGGTCTTGGCAGTGGCTGGCAGTGTAGCTCCAGTGGTCGTGCTGCCCGACTGCGTAGTGGTGGTCGTTTTCGGCTTCTTGGTGGTGCTCGAAGGGCCAGTGGCAGTGGTTCCTCCAGTTTGAGTAGTCGGAATCGAAGTAGTTTTCGTAGCCTTCGTCTTGGCAGTACTTGTCGGTTGCGTCGTACTGCCCGTTTGTGCCGTAGCAGTGGTCTTCGGGTTCTTAGTCGTACTAGAAGCGACAACGACTGTCGTCTGGGACACCGTGGTCCCACTAGTTTGAGTACTGGCTTGGGACGTAGTCTTCGTAGCCTTCGTCTTCGCCGTGGTCTTCACCGTAGCTCCAGACGTCGTGCTATCCGTCTGTCCGGTAGCTGTCGTCTTCGGCTGTTTCGTGGTACTAGCAGTACCAATCTGAGTGGTAGGCAGAGAAGTCGTCTTGGTCGCTTTCGTTTTGACAGTAGTCGTAACAGTGGTACCTGCAGATGTTGCCCAACTTGACTGTGTCGTTCCCATCGTCGGCAAGTTACTCGTGCTCGAACTCGTTGTTCCCACTGTCGGAGGTGTTGTAGTTTTCGTCGCTTTGGTCATAGCAGAAGTTGTCGGTATTGTACCTCCAGTTGTGGCACTACTCGGCAGTGCTGTAGCCGTGGTTTTTTGGCGCTTTGTCGTACTTGCAGTTTGAGACGCCGTGCTTTGCGACATCGCTGTACTGGTCGGGACAGATGTCGTCTTCGTGGCTTTTGTCTTCGTAGAAGTGATTGTCATTGGAAGTCCAGTTGTCGTACTACCTGGTTGAGTCGTAGTCGTCGTCTTGATCTTCTTCGTCGTGCTGTCAGCTCCGGAAGTCGTACTTGGTGGGATCGTCGCAGTGTCAGTTGGCCTCGACGTTGTCTTTGTAGCCTTGGTCTTCGGCGAAGTTGTGGTGGCAGAACTTCCAGTTGTAGTGGTCGTTGTTTTAACTTTCTTCGTAGTTGGAACTGGAGATGAAGACAAAGGAGGCGCCGATGGTTCGGCAGTACTCGCCGGAGCCGTCGTACTCGATTCGCTCTCGGTAGTTGGTATCGCTGGCGCAGTTGTCGTAGTTTTTGGCGTCGTGGTCGTGGTCGTTGTCGTGGTCAAGGGCTTCTGCGTGGTCACCACCACCTCAACCGGCAAATCATGCTGCAGCTGATCCGAGACGTCATCCTTCGTCACGGTCTGATCTATGTAGAACGTCTCGTTGTCCTTAGTCGGCGTGACGTCGTATCGATCGTGCATCTCTTTTTTCTGCATGTCACCAGAGATCAAAATCAGCTTCGAGATGTAGTGATTGTCGAACATTTTGCCGACGGCGTCTGGTAGTTGGCTAAACTGGGTTTTTGGGGTAAGCTACTCTTGTACTCACAATTTCTTGCAGGGTACAAAGTAGACAAGCTCGCTGGTGATTTGGCTTTTGTTGTAGGCGTCCATAGCTCTGAATTTTGGATATCAGGAAGAGAAATAGAGGGAGGGAGAGAGAGCGAGAGAAACAAACAGAGAGAGAGCGAGAGAGAGAGCGCGCGCGAGAGAGCGGGGGTAAGAAAGAGAGATACAGAGAGAGAGAGAGAGAGAGAGAGAGAGAGAGAGAGAGAGAAAGTGAGAGAAATAATTCTAAAACTAACGACCACTCATTTGCATGCATATTGTCGGGTAGAGCTTTAATACTCTTATCCAAAAATTCCAGAGCGTCAGCTTTTCCCATAGTTGAAGACATCAATGCAGAATCCTTTCCTTCGGCATAAGTCAGGAAGCTGACGTGAATACCGTCTTTCAGGCCTGTTAGAGTGCTTTTGACTATCGTTTTCGTCTAAATGACTGTATTCAGAAGAAACCGTAGCTCACATCTGACAAATAATAGCATCCATCATCGTTGTCAGCTTCTGCACCATCGTAGAACAATTGGGTTTGATTTTTGTCGATTAGATATAAGGAAAAGGTTGCGTGGTATGGAGGTTGTTCGGGCGCTATAGTAGGTTAAAGATTATTCGTTTTTGACTTAAACGTACTGCCAAGGCCAGACTAAAATTTAACATAAAACCTCACCATTTGTTTTCCCTCGATCCACCAAGATCACAACCAACGCTATTGATATTGCCACCGCCAGCAACACAAAAATCAAGAAGACGAGAGGCAGCCATCGACGGCGCCCGTAGACGGACGAGGCCATCTAGCCCAAGTTGCTGCCCGGCCTGCAAGGAATGCTCCTGAAATTGAGAACATTTTCTAAGATTAGGCGCAAGCTGATGCTTAGGCTTAGGCTTATGCTTAGACTAAACTTAGGCTTAGGCCTAGACCTAGGGTAGGCTTGGGCTTGGGCCTGGGCCTTTTGGTTAGGCTACGGATTGTGCTTAGGCTTAAGCTTAGGCTTTGGCTTGGGCTCGGAAATGAAGATAAGAACAAAATAGGACAGTGGTTGGAAAAATGTGCTCGTTGCTTCAGGCTGTAAACTAGCGGTCACCGGATTTACAGCCCGTCACCTTTGAAGGAAGATAAGTGAATGAGCAATTCACGTCTTAAAAACTGGAATATACTGCTCAATACTGGCTAGTGGGCGTAGCTATGCAATGTTAAAACTGTGAAGGTAACCTTGAATTACGTTAAACACAAAAATCTACAAATAATAATATTCCCTTAGGTTTAGGCTTAAGCGTAGGTTTCTGACTTCACAATCTCTAAAGCGGGAATCCTTGATGCGGAAGTTTCATTAACAAAGCAAACTAGAGTTAAATGAAATAGAAGTCATACCAGTAGCTCTGGCAGGGGATAATCTTGCGGCTTTGGGGTGCTGCCTGTCGCCTTCTTGGCGACCACACCCCGTTCCGGATGCGATAACGGTGGAATTAGAGTGGGGCCCTCGTCAGAGCAAAACCCTTATGCTACGCTAAGCCCGTGGGTTTAATAGGCTTAATAGGGCTAAGAATTGGGGATGACATGAAGGAGTTCGTAAATGTGAAGTTGATAAGGGTTGTAGGGTGAGGGCCGTGAGGGTTGTATTTAGAGGTATCGGCTTCGCACCACGCCAACTTTGATGGGTTTTCACAGGGGGGGGGGGGGCTGAAAATTAATTTACAATCAAAATCAAATTTATCTTGTGCAGAATTTTTTTTGCTGATTCCGAAGTTGTATCAAGACTTGGGGAGAACGCGGTTTAAAAAAATTAGAGCGATTTATCTCATAACCATTTTCGGATCCTTCGACGATATCAGTAGGTTCTTTAACATGGTAAGTGGTCGGAATGATGCTAGAGATACGTAATATAACCCTGAAACTTGATGAAAGGTTTAAATTCTCCTACTCTAATGGTCTCACCTAATTAATGGCCAAAAGTCTATACGCAATACTAATCAAAAACCCAAAAAATCTCCCCCCTATAAATTAAAGCCATTAATTTTGCAAATTTTTAGTAGCCGGACCCAAAAAATGGCCAATGTTTTACGAGGGTTCTAATTTATGAGGTGCGGCTCTGGGCGGTGTAAAGATAAAGGGGCGTTGAACACGGTTTTGCTACACACAGCCTTTGACGGTTTGCACCAGTGATAAGCCCGATTACGGCCATGAGTACTCGACTCTGCCCAGATTTACTTTTCGTTTCGTTTTCCTTTTGATTCTTTTCGAACTATTTTGTTTTTTTGATGCGTAAGTTTTGAGACATCCTTGTTTACGCTTTGAGCTCAGTCTGGGTTGCGATTATGGTTTTAGAAAATGTTGCTATAATCGCTTGTATGTTGTTTTTATTCGATCGCTTGCAGGCTGACGCAAAGCTAAGCCTAGACTTAAGCTAAAATGCAAGTAGAAGCGCCTTGTAACCTCTTACTATGAAGTCCGGACTGCCCCCTAACGGCGTTAGCAGCAGGTTCTTGTAAGTTGTTAACGGTGGTATGCTTTTTGAACTCATTAACCGCATATAACAGAGTAATATGACCACTTTATTATCAGTTACTTCAATTCTGATGGATTTTCCGGCAATAGTTGTCGATAACATCCACCATCCCAGCTGCTGGCGGGTCGGAGATCGAATTCGCCAGGCGCATCAGATTGACAGCTAATAAGTTAACGTTTCTAAAAGAATACTTACGCGTAAAATCGTAGCCATAACTCGATGATCGATATGCATTTTCTGGCGATGCATCAATCTCGGCTTGGTTGCTAAAATTTGGACGATTCTTGGAAAAATCAGCTACAGACCTGTTGGTGAAGAACAGGGTGATGTGAGGGTAGAAGGGTTGAGAATTGATGAAGCCGACGGTTCTAAAAGCTACTAAGCTTTCGAGAAGGCGGGTCCTACGTGGCAATCGTCGAATTATCGGCTTTAGTGACTTTGAGTAGCCTATCCAAGCCCTGGAGTGTCTGGTCGAAGCTGGCGAAGTTGGTTTCCAGTGTGTTGAGCGTTGGTGCACCCATCCCCTAGAGAGAGGCACGGTTCAGGCTTAAGCTTAGGCTTAGGCTTAGGCTTGCTTGGGCGTAGGCTTAGGCTAACGTACCTGCCCCAGGATCCAAACACTAGCTTGAAACAGAAACGCTCCGCCGTCGTACTTCTGAAAGGCTTGTTTGGCAGCGGCAAGCGTGTGCTGCTTCTGGGCCTCGTAGCTGACCTACATCTAGTACATCTCTTTTGAGCTTCCATGCTTACCCAGGCTTCATAAGAAGCGTCCAGCCAAAAGGCGACGCTGCAACGCGCTCGATAATCAACCGGGGTGGTCGTCAGAATTGTGGTGGTGGTAGGCGGAGCACGGGTTGGTACGGCAGTACGACAAAGTTGTATCGTCGCGTCGTAGATTGCGATTGGGTGAAGGTATGGGACCGGAAGTACAGCAAAAGCTCGAGTGTCGGCACCGTCTAAAAATTCGTCTATAAATTTAGGCCTTCGGTGCGATACCAGCAACTCCGATGGTCGTGGGCCTGCGCGTGTAATTCCAGCCGGCGTCCCGAAATTTGTGTGGGTCACTACAAAAATTGGTGAGGCTTATAGTCCGCAGCTGAAGCTAAGCTTGTCCCTAAGCCCCATCCTAGGCACACGCCTGAGCCCAGGGATAAGTCCAAGCATAAGCCTAAGCCAAACCTTACCTCCCAGTAAAGAGCACAATCACGGCATCTTCCACGGACCAATCCGATAACATATCCGTAGCACTAAATCAAAACTCCGGTCGCTTCTAGGAACCTACTATCCAATGTCCAGCTGGCCGCCCTGCAGCCCAAAATTGAGCACCAGGTCCTGGAGGCGGTAAACGAACGTAGTTGGTATCGGCCCGTCCAGTTCTCCACCTCGACTATATCGCCAGTAGGCCATCGAAACATTGATGCCATTAGCTGCTGCTCCAGTGAATAGTTCGTTCATCGTGGCGATGATCGTTTGGGTTTGAGTTGCCTAGAGAAATCACCGTCGCACTCACGGGGCAGTTTTCAGTAACATGGTGGTTTGGAAACAGGAGTTTTTTTGAAGTTCGGAATTTTCCGGTTTTTGACGTCTACAAACGACTCGGATCAAAAGCTACGCGGACTTAAGCTACGCAGACACTTAAGGTTGACACCGCCTATTTCAACATTCATGACCACCAGCGGAATAATAATTGGCACAAGCCCGCTAACGCCCATGTACTCGAAAAAAAATTTCTTTTGCATAAGCTAGGTCCTGCCGATTCTGCCCAAATTGCTATAAAGCTTCAAGAGTCCTTCAAAAGTGAGTCGGTTTTAAACATTGTTTTGCGAATTTAGAGCGCTAACGTCCTTAATCTGTTAGTATAACATTTTGTACAACTAAATTCGGAATCAGCAAAAACACGCTGCACAAGGCCGGGCTTAAAAAATTCGATTGCCACTAAAAAAACTTACCGGCGCTCGATCCGACAAATCAGCCACAAAAAGGACATGGCATGGCGTTTTCACAGCCAATTCATCGTGGCTGCTCGTCAAACATAAGCTCGCAAGCAAAGAAATACCAAAAACAACCGGAATCAGGATCATCAGCTTCAATTTCGGGTAATGATTGCCAGGGGTAAGGTGCGCCAGTGCCGTTCCGAACACAAATGTTTGCCGCCAACTTGCCGAAATTTAGGTTTTGATCCGCCCAGAAAGCTGATTATAATCGCTGATAACGGGGGATTCAGACAACATAATGGCACCAAAATTGATGCCAAAAGGGCGTGTTCGGCTTATGGTTAGAAGAACACCCAGTTGGGCAACACAGAGAACGCTCGGATTTGTGGGTGCTCTTTTATGTCGTGACTGCGGTGTAGCTTGATGAAGTCTTCTCGTGGCTTCCATAGGTAAAACTATGCGGAGTTGACTTTTCTTGATGAATGTTGTACATTTATTTCAATACACGGATTTTTCGACTGGTGTTCATGCACTAGATCCATCGATGGCGTGAAAACCTCTTGCAAGTTTTCTCTAGAACCTAGAAATTATTTCATTACTTGGCTAACAAGTCCCAAATAACTGTACAGCTCATAAGCCTGTATCTTCAATTTCCATTTTTGCGGTTGTCGTGGTTGTGAAACGCATGTTGCATTCTTTGAGAACCGCTTGTACAACAGCATCCGGACCGTCCAACATCTTCAAGCTAGTTTCGACTAATCGTGACATCTCTTGGTCTCCTGAATTGCGTCACCAAAGTATTTGAGGCACACTCACCAACTGCAACACCGACAGTTAGGTCTTTCCTTTTGTTTTCTGGGGCCAACGACATGTCAAATTGTGGGCTAAAGCCTTCTAGTAGGAAATCCATGAAAGTCCACCTTGCTGTGAACAATATTGTGATTAACTCCGAAAAGCCCCCTTTTCCGTTTATCGTCGAAACTGCGCTAAAAACTATATTTTTACTTTCCGGGCTCTACTCTATGATCGATTCATCATTGGGCGCCGTGAGATCCAGTTCCCTTAGAGCGTCGCTAAATAATCGGAAGTCATCAAATAGCGTCCGCAAATCAGGAGCACCTTCATTATCCTAACTTCAAAATGACTGTGTTACACCCAAAAGTTGCTACACTGCCATATATAGCTGCACCAGCTTCGAAATTCAGTTTTGAGATACTAAAAAGTTTCGCAGCCACGGCATCGGCAAACGAAATTTGCGAATGATATTGTCCCTAAAATGTAGGTCGCTAACCCCGCGACAATTTCTCACCACGGCTGCGTTCGACATATCAAGGTAGAAAAATGTTGTACAATATGTGGGCATCTACAGCTAGAAATAACGTGGGAGGTTATGGAACTTACAGGTGCTGGCGTGGAAGTCTGCTGTGTTCGGCATAAATCTACGGTTGCTTCGATGATGGTTAATGGCTGCAGGAATGGGATCGGGATTATGGCAAATGCGCTCGTGTCTGCACCAACTAAGCAAGCTCTTTAGAAAAGGTTTCTTTCAAAACGTCGCAAAGCATAATTTCGAAATTCAGAACGACAAAATTTACATAATACGGGAAAATTTCCGGGAAAAACTACCAAATCCTGTGCTAAAAATTAACATTCTGAATTTCAACGTTATGGAATTTTGACATTATGGCATTTCGACGTTTCGACATCAACGTTATGAAATTTCGGCATTCTGAATTTCGACACCATGATCTACAACATTTTGATAGCAAATTTTTTGAAAGTAAACAAACCGGCCACACCAACAGTCATTGATTTGCGAGGGTAGTTCCGACCCGCGTCCGGAAATTTTTTAGGATCGCTAAATCGAGAAACATGGCCAAGAATGTGGCAATAGTTCAAATTACCAAATCGAAACGCACCTCCCGGTGAAAAGCACAATGACCACATCATGCACCGACCAACTCGAAAGCGATTCAGTCGCGCTGAGGAAATATTATATCATGCTATCTTTCGAACGAACTATATAACATCAAGCGGCCCTCCAGGTAGCGCAAAGTTGAAAATCACATCCTGCATCTTGTAGACAAAAGTGGTCGGGATCGGCCCGTCAAAGTCACCACCATGACTATATCGCCAAAACGCCATCGAAACGTTGAGATCATTTGCGGTAGCCGCGTTGAAAACCTCATTCATTGAAGAGAGAATGGTTTGCGTTTGTGAAGGCTATTTAAAACCTATGTATGTTAATTGAAAAAAAGCTTGCCGGCGCTCGGTCAGACAAATCGGCCACGAACAGCACCCTACATTCGGACCTGATGTCAAATTCGTCTTGCCCGGTGCCGAAACATAAGTGGGTGAGTAAAATAATACACAGTAGCACGAAGATTCGTATTGATTTCATTTTAGCGTCTCGGTGAGAAAAGTGCGGCCGAGAGTTGCCCGGTTTTGAGTTCAGACCTGCTCGAAAAGCCCATATTAGCGGCCGATAAGAAGCCCATTCAAGGAGGTACTAAAACTGAGGCCAGAAGACATTTTTGTCCTTGTATGGAGTAGCAGAGTTGTAGGATTTTCCTGATATTTCAGCCTAGAAAGGAATTACGACTAGTGATAAGAAATTTACCGAAATTAAAGCACGACAGCAGCTAATACAGGCGTTGCGCCATGTCAAAAATTTATCGTGCATCTGACTCGGTCGTAGTCCTGGCTCAATATTTCTCTTTTCCCTTCTATAAAACTGATTAATTATGCGCAGACGTACAATGCGGATATTGCTTTGCATAATATTTATCGCTTGAACCCATTTTTATAGATATTGCATCCTGTTTCTTCCAAAATCAACACCATTCAAATGCGGATTCCCTTCGCTCGTGGAAATGTCAGTGTTTGGGAAGTTTTGGCATAGACTGATAATGGCCTCAGAAATCATATTTGAATCCTGACCATGAACGGGGTAGGCAGCATAGGGTGATGCGTCGTTGCCATCTTGAAAGCAATCTTAGGAAGTTTTTAGACAACTTACTAGCAAGTCCTACAGTTATTTGCTTCCGGCCATAAATTCCCCCGGCAGTGTTGATGGTTGGTCGATTGCTGAACAAAAGCGTAATGCTTTGAATCGAAACTACCTAGCGGTGAAGAGGACAATTACAGCATCTGTGACGCTCCAACCGTTGAGTGATGTGACGGCACTAAACAAGATAAATCCACCTCCAAAAATGCCAAACTCGGTAATATCCAGGCTTCCTCCAGCATCTTCCCAGTTGTAGGGTACGCCGGTAGGGTTGTAAGAGAAATCAGTGGGAATGGCTCCATCCGTTGCCGGCCCACTGCTGTATCGCCAAAAGGCGGCCGATGCGTTCAATTGTTTGTTACGAGCACCATCGAATAGCGCTGCGACCGAGGCACGGATCAGGCTCCTCTCGATGAACTAAATTTAGCAGCAGCAAATTGTCTGAAAGGCACAATAATTGTTGTGGATGTTGAAAATCTGGCCTTCACAAACGAACCCAATCCCTGCCAGAATCACTCAAATCCGCGACAAAGAGCGCCTTGCAAGTTGGCAGGGAAGTTGTGGTGGTCGTGCTGACAGTGTTGACGGTCGGGCTCGGTTGCGCAGTAGAAAACCCTAAATTTTGGAGTTTTGTTCGCAAAATTTAGGCGAAGGCACCGCGATTTCTTGTTTGTGGTACTGCAATAGCCTTTATGGTTTACAACTAGATAACTACTATGTAGAGGTTCGTCGTGTCGTCGTACCATTGTTAGGTTGGCATAGGCTGAGGGCGGCTTGATAGATCGTCGCTGGTTGCATGGCTTTGACCGAAATGGCGGCGAACACACTTGTCTGCGCACCAACTATAAAAGGTTTTGTTTGCTGGAATATCTAAGCCACCTGCAACACCAACCGTCATCGACTTTCGTGTATAGTTTTGCGCAGCGGCGGGAAACTTGCTTGGATCACTAAATTTACTTATTAAAAAGATCCTGAACAGCTCCACTTCCGGAAATTCAAACATACCTTCCAGTGAACAACACGACAACCACGTCTTGCACAGCCCAGCTTGAAAGGCTGTCCGTGGCGCTGAAGACACGTCATAGTGCTCAGAAAACATAACCCTACTATCCAATATCCAATGGCCCTCCTGGTAGCGCAAAGTTGAAGACCACATCTTCTAGGGTGTAGACAAAAGTGGTCGGAACCGGACCATCAAAGTCGCCACCTTTACTATAGCGCCAAAAGGCCATGGAAATGTTGAGATTATTCGCAGCGGCCCCGTTGAACACCTCATTCATCGACGAGAGAATGGTTTGTGTTTGGGAAGGCTATTTAAAAAGCGCTGTGCGTTGCTTCAACCAACTCACCGGCGCTCGGTCCGACAAATCGGCCACGAACAGCACCTTGCATTCGGATCTGACGCCAAGTTCCTCGCGCTCGACGCCGAAACATAGGTGGGAGAGTAAAATGTTGCTCAGCAGCATCAAAACTAGCATTTGCTTCATTTTGGCACGCTGGATGAAAGAAGATGGAGCTGTGTTGTTCTGGATTGCGTTTCGACTTGCTCAAAAGCCTATATTAGCGGCCGATAAGGCGCCTTCATTCAAGGGCGTCGGTACTAAAATTGGGGCGGGAAAGACATTTTTCCTGCTAAGATAACTCCAGCGACCGGATATGCCTCCACACGACAGCTTATAAGCTCCGGGAAAAGGATAGAAGGATTTGGTTGTGAACGCAAAAAAAATCGCTCACTAATTCGTGCTGTATGTCAAAAATAATATGTTTTATTGCGATACAAAGCCACACATAGCTCAAATCGACAATCCGCCTATCTTGGATCGTTATCCCTTGAGGGGTGAGACCATCGGAAGCGTGGAGGCGTTTTGAAAATCCCTTTGGGACATAGAAACTATCTCCTTATTTTTATTGGCCAAAGATACCTCGGTAAGCTCATAAACCCGTATCATCCATCCCCATGCTTCCTGGCGTCGTCGTGGGAATAAAAAACGTCCTGCACTCCTCGAGCACCGCTTGCACAACAGCCTCGGGGCCGTCAGACATCTTGAAGCTTTTCTCCGCCAGGCGCGACATGTCCTGGTCTCCTGTATTACTTCTGTAAATCTATCAAAGAACCCTTACCAATCGCGATCCCAACGGTTCGGTCCTGCCATTTATTTGGAGCAGCACTAGACATATCAGCCGGTGGGCTAAATTAGGCCAATAAGAAATTTATAGAAGGTCAACCTCGCTGTGAATAATATGATGATCATTTTTCCATAGCCGTCCTTTCCATTCAGCTCATTAACCGCTCTAAAACCGAAATTATCAACTCTATAACCCGTACTCCATAATCGAGTCATTATTAGGTGCCGTCAGGTCAAAATCATTCAAATAGTCGCTGAAGGTCCCGAAGTCATCGCACATTGTGTTCAAATCAATATTGTCCTCGTTATCCTAAAGTCAATAATACACAAAAGACAGAAAAATTAACCCACACTTCCATAAATCGCCGCTGTGGCCTGGTAATGCATATTTGAAGTGTTGTAAAGTCTGGCCGCCATCTCTCGGGCAAAGACGAATTGTGGCGTGTAATTTCCCTCAAGAAAAAAATGTTTGCAACTCGCCCCAATTCTAACCTCTGCTGAATTAGAAACATCGAGGTAGAAAAATGTGTAGCAGTAAGCGGTTGTGCTCACAGTTGAACTTTCTGTTGACATTGTTGCAGATTCTGGCATTGTCGGGACCGGCTCAGAAGACGACGTCGTCGGGACCGGTTCAGAAGTCAACGTCGTCCGGGGAGCAACTGAAGTCGTTGTCACGTTCAATTCTGGGCCCGTCGTGACCGGCTCAGAAGTCGACGTCGTCGGGACCGGCTCAGAAGTCGACGTCGTCGGGACCGGTTCAGAAGTCAACGTCGTCGGGACCGGTTCAGAAGTCAACGTCGTCGGGACCGGTTCAGAAGTCAACGTCGTCGGGACCGGTTCAGAAGTCAACGTCGTCGGGGGCGCAACTGAAGTCGTTGTCACGTTCAATTCTGGGCCCGTCGGGACCGGCTCAGAAGTCGACGTCGTCGGGGGCGCAACTGAAGTCGTTGTCACGTTCAATTCTGCGCCCGTCGGGACCGGCTCAGAAGTCGACGTCGTCGGGGGCGCAACTGAAGTCGTTGTCACGTTCAATTCTGGGCCCGTCGGGACCGGCTCAGAAGTCGACGTCGTCGGGGGCGCAACTGAAGTCGTTGTCACGTTCAATTCTGGGCCCGTCGGGACCGGCTCAGAAGTCGACGTCGTCGGGACCGGTTCAGAAGTCAACGTCGTCGGGACCGGTTCAGAAGTCAACGTCGTCGGGGGCGCAACTGAAGTCGTTGTCACGTTCAATTCTGGGCCCGTCGGGACCGGCTCAGAAATCGACGTCGTCGGGGGCGCAACTGAAGTCGTTGTCACGTTCAATTCTGGGCCCGTCGGGACCGGCTCAGAAGTCGACGTCGTCGGGGGCGCAACTGAAGTCGTTGTCACGTTCAATTCTGGGCCCGTCGGGACCGGCTCAGAAGTCGACGTCGTCGGGGGCGCAACTGAAGTCGTTGTCACGTTCAATTCTGGGCCCGTCGGGACCGGCTCAGAAGTCGACGTCGTCGGGGGCGCAACTGAAGTCGTTGTCACGTTCAATTCTGGGCCAGTCGTGACCGGGACCGGCTCAGAAGTCGACGTCGTCGGGACCGGTTCAGAAGTCAACGTCGTCGGGACCGGTTCAGAAGTCAACGTCGTCGGGGGCGCAACTGAAGTCGTTGTCACGTTCAATTCTGGGCCCGTCGGGACCGGCTCAGAAGTCGACGTCGTCGGGGGCGCAACTGAAGTCGTTGTCACGTTCAATTCTGCGCCCGTCGGGACCGGCTCAGAAGTCGACGTCGTCGGGGGCGCAACTGAAGTCGTTGTCACGTTCAATTCTGGGCCCGTCGGGACCGGCTCAGAAGTCGACGTCGTCGGGGGCGCAACTGAAGTCGTTGTCACGTTCAATTCTGGGCCCGTCGGGACCGGCTCAGAAGTCGACGTCGTCGGGGGCGCAACTGAAGTCGTTGTCACGTTCAATTCTGGGCCCGTCGTGACCGGCTCAGAAGTCGACGTCGTCGGGACCGGTTCAGAAGTCAACGTCGTCGGGGGCGCAACTGAAGTCGTTGTCACGTTCAATTCTGGGCCCGTCGTGACCGGCTCAGAAGTCGACGTCGTCGGGACCGGTTCAGAAGTCAACGTCGTCGGGGGCGCAACTGAAGTCGTTGTCACGTTCAATTCTGGGCCCGTCGGGACCGGCTCAGAAGTCGACGTCGTCGGGGCAGGCTCAGAAGTCAACGTCGTCGGGGGCGCAACTGAAGTCGTTGTCACGTTCAATTCTGGGCCCGTCGGGACCGGCTCAGAAGTCGACGTCGTCGGGGCAGGCTCAGAAGTCAACGTCGTCGGGGGCGCAACTGAAGTCGTTGTCACGTTCAATTCTGGGCCCGTCGGGACCGGCTCAGAAGTCGACGTCGTCGGGGGCGCAACTGAAGTCGTTGTCACGTTCAATTCTGGGCCCGTCGGGACCGGCTCAGAAGTCGACGTCGTCGGGGGCGCAACTGAAGTCGTTGTCACGTTCAATTCTGGGCCCGTCGGGACCGGCTCAGAAGTCGACGTCGTCGGGGCAGGCTCAGAAGTCAACGTCGTCGGGGGCGCAACTGAAGTCGTTGTCACGTTCAATTCTGGGCCCGTCGGGACCGGCTCAGAAGTCGACGTCGTCGGGGGCGCAACTGAAGTCGTTGTCACGTTCAATTCTGGGCCCGTCGTGACCGGGACCGGCTCAGAAGTCGACGTCGTCGGGACCGGTTCAGAAGTCAACGTCGTCGGGACCGGTTCAGAAGTCAACGTCGTCGGGGGCGCAACTGAAGTCGTTGTCACGTTCAATTCTGGGCCCGTCGGGACCGGCTCAGAAGTCGACGTCGTCGGGGGCGCAACTGAAGTCGTTGTCACGTTCAATTCTGCGCCCGTCGGGACCGGCTCAGAAGTCGACGTCGTCGGGGGCGCAACTGAAGTCGTTGTCACGTTCAATTCTGGGCCCGTCGGGACCGGCTCAGAAGTCGACGTCGTCGGGGCAGGCTCAGAAGTCAACGTCGTCGGGGGCGCAACTGAAGTCGTTGTCACGTTCAATTCTGGGCCCGTCGGGACCGGCTCAGAAGTCGACGTCGTCGGGGGCGCAACTGAAGTCGTTGTCACGTTCAATTCTGGGCCCGTCGGGACCGGCTCAGAAGTCGACGTCGTCGGGGGCGCAACTGAAGTCGTTGTCACGTTCAATTCTGGGCCCGTCGGGACCGGCTCAGAAGTCGACGTCGTCGGGGGCGCAACTGAAGTCGTTGTCACGTTCAATTCTGGGCCCGTCGTGACCGGGACCGGCTCAGAAGTCGACGTCGTCGGGACCGGTTCAGAAGTCAACGTCGTCGGGACCGGTTCAGAAGTCAACGTCGTCGGGGGCGCAACTGAAGTCGTTGTCACGTTCAATTCTGGGCCCGTCGGGACCGGCTCAGAAGTCGACGTCGTCGGGGGGCGCAACTGAAGTCGTTGTCACGTTCAATTCTGCGCCCGTCGGGACCGGCTCAGAAGTCGACGTCGTCGGGGGCGCAACTGAAGTCGTTGTCACGTTCAATTCTGGGCCCGTCGGGACCGGCTCAGAAGTCGACGTCGTCGGGGGCGCAACTGAAGTCGTTGTCACGTTCAATTCTGGGCCAGGCGGGACCGGCTCAGAAGTCGACGTCGTCGGGGGCGCAACTGAAGTCGTTGTCACGTTCAATTCTGGGCCCGTCGTGACCGGCTCAGAAGTCGACGTCGTCGGGACCGGTTCAGAAGTCAACGTCGTCGGGGGCGCAACTGAAGTCGTTGTCACGTTCAATTCTGGGCCCGTCGTGACCGGCTCAGAAGTCGACGTCGTCGGGACCGGTTCAGAAGTCAACGTCGTCGGGGGCGCAACTGAAGTCGTTGTCACGTTCAATTCTGGGCCCGTCGGGACCGGCTCAGAAGTCGACGTCGTCGGGGCAGGCTCAGAAGTCAACGTCGTCGGGGGCGCAACTGAAGTCGTTGTCACGTTCAATTCTGGGCCCGTCGGGACCGGCTCAGAAGTCGACGTCGTCGGGGCAGGCTCAGAAGTCAACGTCGTCGGGGGCGCAACTGAAGTCGTTGTCACGTTCAATTCTGGGCCCGTCGTGACCGGCTCAGAAGTCGACGTCGTCGGGATTGGCTCAGAAGTCGACGTCGTCGGGGCAGGCTCAGAAGTCAACGTCGTCGGGGGCGCAACTGAAGTCGTTGTCACGTTCAATTCTGGGCCCGTCGTGACCGGGACCGGCTCAGAAGTCGACGTCGTCGGGGGCGCAACTGAAGTCGTTGTCACGTTCAATTCTGGGCCCGTCGTGACCGGGACGGGCTCAGAAGTCGACATCGTCGGGACCGGTTCAGAAGTCAACGTCGTCCGTGGCGCAACTGAAGTCGTTGTCATGTTCAATTCTGGGCCCGTCGGGACCGGCTCAGAAGTCGACGTCGTCGTGACCGGCTCAGAAGTCGACGTCGTCGGGACCGGTTCAGAAGTCAACGTCGTCGGGACCGGTTCAGAAGTCAACGTCGTCCGTGGCGCAACTGAAGTCGTTGTCACGTTCAATTCTGGGCCCGTCGGGACCGGCTCAAAAGTCGACGTCGTCGGGACCGGCTCAGAAGTCGACGTCGTCGGGACCGGCTCAAAAGTCGACGTCGTCGGGACCGGCTCAGAAGTCGACGTCGTCGGGACCGGCTCAGAAGTCGACGTCGTCGGGACCGGCTCGGAAGTTGACGTCGTCGGGTTTGGCTCAGAAGTCGACGTCGTCGGGATTGGCTCAGAAGTCGACGTCGTCGGGACCGGCTCAGAAGTCGACGTCGTCAGGACCGGCTCAGAAGTCGACGTCGTCGGGACCGGCTCAGAAGTCGACGTCGTCGGGACCGGCTCAGAAGTCGACGTCGTCGGGATTGGCTCAGAAGTCGACGGCGTCGGGGGCGGAACTGAAGTCGTCGTCACATTTAGTTCTGGGCCCGTTGGGACCGGCTCAGGAGTCGACGTCGTCGGGACCGGCTCGGAAGTTGACGTCGTCGGGATTGGCTCAGAAGTCGACGTCGTCGGGATTGGCTCAGAAGTCGACGTCGTCGGGATTGGCTCAGAAGTCGACGTCGGGACCGGCTCAGAAGTCGACGTCGTCGGGACCGGCTCAGAAGTCGACGTCGTCGGGATTGGCTCAGAAGTCGACGTCGTCGGGGGCGGAACTGAAGTCGTTGTCACATTTAGTTCTGGGCCCGTCGGGACCGGCTCAGAGGTCGACGTCTTCGGGACCGGCTCAGAAGTCGACGTCGTCGGGACCGGCTCGGAAGTTGACGTCGTCGGGATTGGCTCAGAAGTCGACGTCGTCGGGATTGGCTCAGAAGTCGACGTCGTCGGGATTGGCTCAGAAGTCGACGTCGGGACCGGCTCAGAAGTCGACGTCGTCGGGATTCGCTCAGAAGTCGACGTCGGGACCGGCTCAGAAGTCGACGTCGTCGGGGCAGGCTCAGAAGTCGACGTCGTCGGGGCAGGCTCAGAAGTCGACGTCGTCGGGACCGGCTCAGAAGTCGACGTCGTCGGGATTGGCTCAGAAGTCGACGTCGTCGGGGGCGCAACTGAAGTCGTTGTCACGTTCAATTCTGGGCCTGTCGTGACCGGCTCAGACGTCGACGTCTTCGGGACCGGCTCAGAAGTCGACGTCGTCGGGACCGGCTCGGAAGTTGACGTCGTCGGGATTGGCTCAGAAGTTGACGTCGTCGGGATTGGCTCAGAAGTCGACGTCGTCGGGACCGGCTCAGAAGTCGACGTCGTCGGGGGCGCAACTGAAGTGGTTGGCACATTGACATCTGGGCCCGTCGGGACCGGCTCAGAAGTCGACGTCGTCGGGGGTGCCAAGGATGTTGTTGTGACGTTGGATTCTGGGATTGTAGGCACGGCCTCGGAAGTCGTCGTCTGGGGCGGAGCGGCGGTTGACGTCCATTTAGCTTCGGAGGTGGTGGCGACTGGCTCAGTAGTGGACGTCTTGGAGGTTGCAGCTGATGATGTGGTGGTGCGGGTGGAATATGCTCTGGAAGTGCTTGCGGGGGAGGTCGTTGTTGTGACAGTCGTGCCTTTGGTGGTTTTGGAGGATGGGGAGCTGGAGGATTTTGTGGAAGTGGTGCCACCCGTTGAAGTGGGGCTCCATTCGGGCTCATTGTCAGACGTGGTCGCGAGCTTAGTCGTGGAAGTACTCGACGGGGGCTTTGCGGACGTCGACGGAGCGGTAGTTGTGACTGCAGTAGATGGCAGATCATGCTGTAGTTCCTTTGATACATCTTCTTTTTTGACTTGCTTGTCGATATAGACAGTGTCGTTTTTCTCTCCTCCTCCTCCTATGCCATAGATGGTAGTCATATTCTCTTTGGATAGTTGCCCAGAGACGAGGATCAGTTTTTTGATGAATTGATCGTCGGAAAACATGGTCTTCAGGTTGTCGTGCAGTCTCCTAAAGTAGGAATAACAGGGCTTTGGGACATGTCACGCACATTTCATCACAAGGTACAAAGTAGACAAGCTCACTTTCGGTCTTTTTGTTTGAATAGAGTTTCATGGCCCTGAAATGACGGTCACCGGGAAAAAGCGATGCTAACTTACGCTAGCTCATTGGCTTGTTTCACGCCAGCCAGGGCGGGGATGGTGTCTAGATGAGTCATCGAATCGCTTCTTGACATCATTCCGGTCATGGATACGGAATTTTCAGCCTGTCCATAGGTAAGAAAAGCGACTTCCGCTTCGTCACCCAGGCCATCGAGCGTGCTTTTGATGATTTCTTTTGTCTAAAGAGTTAGCTTACGTTTTATCCAATACATAGGCTAAGATTTTGGGGTTATAACTCACGTCTTCCAAGTAATAGCATCCAGAATCCGGATCGTCAGCTTCTACCTTGGCTAGAATTTGCTTCTGAGGCTCGTCGATCTGATACAGCGAAAATGTGACGCGGTATGGGGTAGCGTAAGGAGCTGAAACAGATTGAGCGAAACGTGATACAATTGGAAATTGGGATGTTCACGATGTCGAAATTTCATCATCGAGATTAGAAGGTCAAAACCTTTTCGCTTAGGACTCAGGGGTTTTCAGGAAAATTACCATATGTAAATTTCCACATTCTAAATTTTGGCCATATGAATTTCGATATTATGAAATTCCTTCACAATGGGATTTCGACATTTAAGATTTCGACATTATGAATTTCGACACTCCGATTTTCGACATTTGAAAGAAACCCCTCTTCCCAGGCTTAGGCCTCAGCGCCGCTTAGTAAACTCAAAAATGACTTACTCTTCGGTTTGCTCCTATCGACGAGCACCACCACCAGCGTGACAGCAATCACAACAGCTATTGTAATCACTGCTAGGAAAATGAATGGCAGTAGCCAGCGGCGGCGCCCGTCCAGCGCTGGCGCATCTGGGGCCATTGGCAAGCCTGAAGTACCTGTCTAGCGCTTCGCCTTCTAATGGATTACCTGAAAATGTCCACATTTCACGGGTATTTTAGTGATTTTTAAAATTGTAGGTGATAAGGGGTGATTCAGGGAGTGTTTGCTTGAAAGCTAAAGAATGTCCGGCACTTGCAGTCTGGTAGAGAATAGAGTGGTGTACATGTCAAGCCGAGTTTTTGAGACAAGAAACGAATGGTAGGGGAGAGTTTTAAATGAAATGAATGAAGGCTTAAAAGTAGATTTTAAAGTTGATGTCTTTCTTATCAAGGGCATTCCGTAGTCGTAATCTTAAAGTCTCCTATTTATTCTGAATTCCATATAGAATGGTGTATCATTTGTAGAAATGTCCGGCCAAACTCAAAAAACCTTCCCTTGCGACCTACGAAAGTTGTCCCTACTCGTTCCCCGGTCAACTCTTAAACAGGCGGATTTTGTTTATCGGGAATAGTGAAGGATGATCCTTGATCGTTCTCAATTTCTGTTACTTTCCATCCACCTCAAGTAGCGGATTAACCGCGTGTAAAAAAATTCTACAATCCGGTGGAATTCACGTTCACAATGACCTGTCCTAATACCCCCCAGAAAGCGGCCGAAACAGTCACCCGGGGCCACACCCAGCCACCGATGATAAGGAAGGATTTAGAAGCAAAGACTCGTGCAAAAACCCGCCTGAAACTAGGGTGAGAAAGAAAACAACAAAAAGCTCAATAAACTTGGCCAGACAAGAAAATGTCGGGGTTTTGAATTTGTAAGGAGAGCAAGCGATCGTGCAAAATAAGTGCGCGCGAGAGAGGGAAGAGAGAGAGAGAGAGAGAGAGAGAGAGAGAGAGAGAGAGAGAGAAACAGACAGGGAAATGGGGAAGGAGCGAGAGCAACAAAAATCTCGTGAAGAGAAATTAAAGTTTCTATTTTAAAGGGATGGTGCCAGCTAGGAGATTCGCCTTCCAGAATACAGCTTCTCAAAAACAACATAAATAACATGCCCTACATTTCTAATTTTAAACATGACAGATTACAAAAAGGAATTTGGATACTGTAAGCATTACGCTAGGCCGTTGCGTTTGTAATAATTCTGGGGTGATAAGCAAGGGAAAGGTCCGGTTACTCGACCTCTGCCTGCGTCTTTAAAAGCGCTTCCATGTTAACCTAATAACTTTTGTAGCCGGAATGGGTTGTAAAAATCGGCGACGCTGCATAGCTAGTATAACATTAGATAATCGAGAAAATGGCTAGCACCCCGGTCCTCTACCACACCCCGATAAGCACGTTGGCATAAGCCGGCTTGGCCGTCGCGGCGCCCCCTACCTAAATTCGGCCAATGATGGCCGCTTTTCCGTGCGTAATTTTTGAGGAATCGTACAGGTGGGATGGTTTAATGAGGAAATATTGCCAGAACGAAAAATTTGATGAGTTTTTGGGTGTTGTTTGTGTGTGAAAGTATGATGCGTTTTTTGGTCTCCATTTTGAGCAAGTTTGAATCTGAGAAGGACTGCTGTTCATGAAGAGAGCATAAATTCAAGTAGATAGAATTTATTTCTGTTGAATCAAAGTCTTGCACATATCCAGAATTGCATCCGAGATCATATTCGTGTCGTGCTCGTGCAGTACAACAGCGGCGAACGGGGAGGCGTCCTGGGTATCTAAAGAACCACGTTTAGTGAGTGAGAGAGGAAGGAGAGAGAGAGAGAGAGAGAGAGAGAGAGAGAGAGAGAGAGGGAGAGAGAGATAGTGGGAGTGAGGAATGAAACATAGAAAGAGAGGGGAGTCAGAGATAGAGCTTCAGTTTTAAGACGTAGGGATTGTCTTTCTACCTGAAATTCCGACCGTCAGCGCCTTTCTTAAGTAGTTCTGGCCAGCCGCCACGATTTGGTTCTTGTTGCTAAATCAATATTAGATAATACACGGAGGCGTTCCAACCTGGAGGTGAAGATTGCAATGACGCTGTTCGTCACCGACCAATTGTTGATGGAAGCTGTTGCACTAAATGGAGTTTGATCAATGCTCCGATTATTTCCACTAACTTCGCCACACTCAAATCCCCTCCTTTGTCCTCGAAGCGAATCGGCACCGAGTAATAGTCAGTCCCGAAAGCTGTAGGCAAAGGTCCATCAGCATCTGGGCCACTGCTGTACCTCCAGAAGGCAACTTGGGTGGGGAAACTGCGATGTTTGGCACCATCAAAAATTCCGGCTACCGTGGCTCGAACTAGCGTGTGTTCAACATGCTAAAACATGCTGTTTAATGATTCACCTCTCTTTTCTGCTTTGCTTTCATTGATTGGCTCGTAAATTCTGGGTGATGGGCTTATCAGGTTTCCGGTGAGCGCCACTTGGGCAGCAGAATCCTTTTTGATCGCGAGAAGCTAGGAGAATTAATCCGAAAGCAACTCAATACGTTTTCGAAAACATAGACCTCGAAATCGTACTCTACAAAAGCTGTTTAAAGCTTACCCAAGAAGCGCCCGCCGATGATAGATCTGCAACCACCAAAACTGAGCAGGCTGCTGCAGGCGGAGTTACTGTAGGGGACGTCATTGGGGAAAGAGTCGTAGGTGGCTAAAGTTATAAGATTATAGATATTCTGTAATTTTTGTAGTGGTTATTAATATACAAAGTTCTTTGGCATTATCGGGGGGAAAGACATCTATTTGGGAACCAATTTTTTAAATATAATAGCGGAAGTGTTTTTAACCTGTTTTCACGATTTTTAAGCGCAAAATTTCCCATATTTTTATTAAAAATACAAAATGTATCGATTTTTCGCCCAAAAATGGCAGTGTTTTTGACCAAAATTTCGACTTTCTCAAAAATCTTTCAAAGTTTTTTTGATGGTTTCTCTAATTCAAATATAGTTTTATTTCATTAAAATCTATATAAAAATATTTACTTAAAAGTTGCTAGGCCTTTCTAGCTCAATACAACCCCCCCCCCGATAATGCGAAAGAACCATGTACAAAAAGGGCAAACGATTTCCTGCTCACCTCAAAGCTCGCTACATACCCAAGCAGAGCAAAAAGCAAACAGCTTCGAACAAGCATCGCAAGTTAATAGTCAAGTTTCGGAATTGACTGTTTTGAACGGGAGAGCGCTAATTTATAGCGGCCACCGAATGGGGGGAGCATTTCATAAATCTCGGTTGCTCCCTCCCCTTATCTGCGGTGACGGCATCCGTTGGTTGATTAGGCACCTGTGGAAGGCGGTGATTTCCCAAAAGCCAGAGTCTTTTTTGGCTGATTCAATCATTTAGCGGAAACCCAAGGCATTGATGGAATGTCCGTGACGTTCAATTTACCATAAATCGGATGATTTATAGGGTTTCGCGCTTTTTGAAGAATGTCTTGAAATGTTTGGTTGTCTGGTTTGTAGTGACCATCACGAGATTCGGTCATTATTACAATTTATTAAATTATGATATTAAGTGGAGTAAAAAATAAGTAGTGATCAAATAGCACTAATATTTTGACAAAACTGCTCGATGACGCCTTCCAGCGCTCCCGGAAAGTTGTCCGATGCCAAAGGGTTTGCTACTCGAGTGATGTTGGCACCTAAAGGAAATATCACCAGTTAGAAAGAAATCTAAACACAATTGAACGTACCTGAAATAGCATACGCATAGGTGAGATCACGCTTCTGGTTGTTCGCGGCAGCATCGACTTCAGTTTGATTGCTGAAATCGGATCAAAAAATCAACCTCATGTGCAACCTATTAGTGAAGAAAAACAGCATTGAATTCTTCAGAAACGTGACCCGGTTAGCTGTATCGATTGTGCTAAAAACAAGAAATTCTGGTAGCATCAACAAGCCAACTTTTTGATAGTATCGCCTGTCGCATACTCAAGCGCCGCGTCATGTTCGAAACCATTCAAATAGGTCGCAAATTGATCATAGGTGTTGCAAAAAGTTCCCATATCAGGCGATTCGTCCTAAGGAACAAATTTAAAGTTGAAACGAGAAGCATACCTGTCCCAAAACCGACAACCCGAATCGAAGCAGAAAGTTTGAGCTCGAGTATTTTATGAAAGCCAAGGCGGCAAAATTTTTGAGTAGGGTCGTCTGAGTGCCGAAGTGGGCCTAGAATAAGATCTTTAGGAAAGCCAAAACCAGCATATGGCGAAAAACGCAAAAATAGTGCGAATTCGTGGCAAAACTATCGTTAATGCACCAATTCGGTTTCCAGGTGCTCGCCAAAAGGGTGGCAGATGCCCATTTTTGAAGCGCAACCGAATGGGGCGCCAAATGTGCATTAATGATACCCTAAAATTCTAACACAGCCTAATTATTTTAAGAACCTGATGCTCAATTTATTTCGTGAAAAGCGGTTTATTAAATCTGATATTACTTACCCAAGCCTCCCTTGATGCATCCAACCAAAATATGACATTGCAGGGTACTCGTGGGTCGATTGTCGGCTTGTTTGAGAGTTCAACAGCCTTTCCATTTACCGTAGGTACAAAAACAATCAAGAGGCAGAAAATGATCCTCGATTCCATTTCTAAAATTTTGCTAAAATTAAGAAACTCAAAAATTCGGTAGCCAGCAGGCTCTGGAGCGAGCCCAAGACTCTTCTGAATTTCTTGTTTCCCTCACGCATTTTATAGCTACGAACTTAACATGTGTCGGTCAAGCCGGTCGTAAATATCTTGCTTCATTTCGCTCCCGTTGAAAAATTGTCTGCATTCCTGGGTCAAATGAGTTGGGGGTAAAAAATTGGGGTTAGCATAATTCGTTTGAGGTTACCCAACCAGAAGCATCTAACGTCAACACGATAAGACTGTTTATGCGAAATTACATGACACCACTGGCACCGGAACCAATAGCGTAATTTTAGGGGGTCGTACGTATTTGGTTGGGCAATTTGCGATAAGGCCTGCCGATTTTTTGTGTGAAATGCTTTTAGCTTTTGTTCCCGGATGGTGACCATTTCAAAATTTTTGAATTTCCATAAACTCCTGTTCTATTGTCTTTCTGTCCATGCACATCGTTTCAAAAAATTTATTTTAGCACAACGACTTTATCGACCAACCATAACGTTTCAAAAATTGAGATCACATTTGTGGGGCAATCGGTTGAGGCTCACGGGATCAAAACAAGGCACGGGATAAACAGGTGCCAATCTGGCAATTCACTCATTCGTATACAACTTGCATAGGTCGACAATGTTCTGAACGGTTGTCTCTTGATCGTCCCCGTCAAAGCTGTAGATCGACACTGCCGACATGTCATCGCCTAAAGGTGTTTGTTCGTGAATGTCATAATTTGAGCAATTACCCTCGAACGAATAGCCGATGGTTTGATCTTTCCATTGATTAGCAGCCGCGTCGATGTCAGTTTGACTACTGTAATGCTGGTTTAGATATCGGTATAGGGCTAGACCTGTCAGTATGCAGTAGGGTCACGATCTTGCCAAAATGGACCCCCATCCTGGAGGCGGCGCTGAAATAAAGCGTTTGCGAGATATAAAAGCCTCCGACTATTCAATTGTCTGCGCGTTAGGGTGTGGCTCCCCCGATACTTCATCAAAAGACCCGTCAACAACTGCATTGAAGTTCGTCTGATCAAGTGTCGTGCTGGCGTCAGGTCCACCGCACTAGAAGCCTTTGATGTACGCAAACCATCTGCTTACTAGATCGTCGCCATAGCACTGATAATTGGCTTGGAAGTCCAATCGTGGATCATTATAAAGTTTGGAGGCTACGCCCTTGATGTTGCTCTGAAGGAGATCAAAGAATTGCTGAAAGTTTATATTAATTGCATCGGAATAGTCAATACGTATTGTCTGCTGCTGTTTGATAAATCCACAAAGAAGAAGGCACGACAATGGATCAGCGGTACCGCGGTAGAGCTGCCTTCTAAGCTTGTTAGAAGGCTAGCATCCGGGTTACTGAATGGCATTGGGTGAATTAGGTGTAGAAAATCACCTGGTGGCCGTAGATCCTGTAACATCGGTTCCTAGGGAAGAAATTTGAGTGGATGGAGCATTAGTAGGGTTCGAGGGGCCGGGAGTAGCGGTCGGCATAGAGGAGCCAAACGACGATCCGGCACCTAGACTTAATTTGTATAATTTTGTGAAGCTGGGTCGCACCTGCAGTGGCAGCAGAACCAGGGGTTTGGCTACTGCTTCCTGCTGGGATTGAACTTGAGGTGGCCCCAGAGCTCGCGCTTGAACCTAAGTTTGATGGACCTCCCCAGGTATTTGTGCGAAAGTACCTGTCGAGGTTGAACCTGTGCCCAGGTTCGTGCTACCTGCGGAGATTCCACTCGATGAAGTGCCGGAACTGTCGCTGGCGCCTGAGTTTCATGTCAGTCTCCTTGTTTTGATTTCATGCGAACTTACCTGTCGAGGTTGAACCCGTGTCTGGCATCGTGCTACCACCTGAGACTGGACTCGAAGGTGAGCCAGAGCTGTCACTTGCACCTAAATTTTAAGTTAGTCTCTCACGTATTTGAGTCAGGCTTACCTGTCCAGGTTGAACCGGTGCCTGGGACAGTGCTCCCTCCTGAGATTGAGCTTGCCGTGGAAGCGGAACTGCCAGTTGCGGCTGAGCCTACAAAAAGCTCGTAAAATCTCCCACGCTCTGATACCCGTAGAACCCGTCACTGGGATGGTGCTCCCACCTGACATCGTGCTCACACCGGAAGCGGAACTCTCAGTTGCGCCTGATCCTGAAAAAAGCTTGCTTTGACTACCTACAACTTCCACACCTGTAGGACCCGTGCCTGAGATAGTACTCCCTCCCGAGGCGTGGCTTGCAGTGGAAGCGGAACTGTCGGTAGCGCCAGATCCTGAAAAGAACGCCTGAGATCGCTAAGCTCCCATACCTGTAGAGCCCGTGCCCGAGATAGTACTGCCTCCGGAGACTGGGCCTGGTGATGACTCGGAACTTCCGCTTGCGCCTAAGTTTCGATCGGTTGATCATTTTTTATGCTTACCTGTAGCTGGACTCGCGCTGCTTCCGGACCCCGGATTTGTGGTAGAGCCGGTACCGCCAGTTGCATCTAATTTACGTTAGCATTGAAAGTTGACCTCGGTTTTACCTGTCGCGCCTGAAGCTGGGCTGGGATTAGTGCTCCCTGAAGATTGGATCGTGGTCGAACCAGAGCTTCCAGTTGCATCTGAAAGTGAAAGGAATATTTTTCTCTCTATCCCAAATGGCACCTGAAACGCTTGAGCCTGTGGCTGGGCTCGCGCTGCTTCCTGGGCTGGTCGGCGAGCCTGAACTGTCGGTGGCACCTATAGAACATTCTTCTTCAGAAACGTGCAAGCATACTTGTCGCTCCCGACACTGTACTTCTGCTAGGGCTACTTCCGGTTGCGGGGTTCATTGTGGAACCAGGCCCGCCGGTTGCACCTAATTTTAAATAGATTCGTCTTCTTTTGGTACCGATTTAATTTTACCTGTGGCGGTTGATCCAGTAAACGGGGCGTTAGTACTCCCTGATACGGGACTGACTGTCGAATCAGAGCCGCCGGTTGCACCTAATAGAATTCTAGAGCTGACGCTGAGACTCTTAAACCGGTTGAGTCCGTTGCACCACTTTGCAGCGTCACACTGGTGCCCGCCGAGTTCGAGCTGACGCTTGTCGAGGGGCCAGGTGAGTTGGTGGCTCCTTGGCGAAATTAAAATACCTAAAATTCCGCTACCTGTTCCCGAGGAGATTGGGCTGGTGGGTGACTGGCTATTCGGTGATGCGTCGCTTCCAGTAGAACCTGAACAGCTTGATTAGTTTTTCATATTTTACTTGGATTTTACGAAGTGATATATAGATACAGAGAGAGCCGATACGAGCGAGCGAGACAGAGACAGTACCTGCGGTCGCAGCCGTTCCGCCGCTAATCGTAGAATAAGTTGAACGTGTCGGGTTTTGAGAGCTGTCCGTATTGAGCGTTCCAATACTGGATGGTGATGCTGATGGGGCTGTAGAGCCAGACGGACCTGTAAGGAAGGCCAAAATTTTGGAATTCAAAGGGCTATGGTGTAGTCAAAATACCAACCGCCGCTTAAAGTAGAACCGGATACAGCTTGGCTGCTTGCGAACTGAGGAACCGTTGTTGAACCACGTGAAATACCTTTTGTTGCACCTGTATTGCATGTTATTTCTCAGATCACAACTCTTAGTGATGCCTTTCCTCGTAGAGACATACCTGTAGCAGCCGCCGTTGAGGCAAAACGGCTGCAAAAACTGTCGATCGCAAGGATGAGCAAATTGCCGTCAATGATGTGAGCAACACGAGAAATGTCAGTGTTTTCAGCGAATGAGTAAGCATAAGTGATTTCCAGTCGGGTATTGTTCGGCGCAGCGTCGACCTCGGTTTGGGGACTATTTATGACGCTATATAATCAGCTAATGAAGTGGATACCTATTGGTGAAGAAGATAATCATCGTATCTTCGATAAAATTCTTGCTGTTGATCAATTCAATCGTGCTAAAATTCTCTTCCGGCTGGGTTTCGAGACCGTTACGTCTTGATGGTGTCGTTTATTGCGAAGTCTGGGTCAACAGCGCTTTTCCAGGCGGCTAATATTAAGTTAAAGCTGTCGAAGTCGTTCAAAAACGTGTTAACGTCCGGACCACCCTCGCCCTAAAGTGGTTACAAAATCGAAATCTATTGTAGTACCTGACCCAAAACGTAGCTGTTAGCTCTGAATAGATAGCCAGCGTCCGTAAAGTTTTGATAGGCTATTCGCGCAGCGGTTTCCACATCGTTGAATTGCATGACTGTTGTATCATTAGGCTAAAACCATGAAGGTTTTCAAAGAATTAGCTGAAGGGACTAGAGAAAACTTAACTCACCGCATAAGCTTCCGTAGAAGCATCGATCCAGAACAGGACGTTGCATGGTGGTCTTGGATCAATTGTAGTCACGGTGGAGGGCGTGGATCCAGTCACAGTTGCTGGGCTCGTCGATGACCCAGGACTGACTGAACTCGTCGAAGAATAACCAGTCGTAGTTGAGCCTGTTGAGCCAGTGACTTCCGAAGTTGATCCGATGGTAACTGGTGATGTCGAGGGAACAGTCGTCGTACTTCCACTTGATGGCGTCGATCCCACCGTGGTAGTAACGCTGGGGAAATTCTTGCACAATTGTATCACAGCGTCGGAGATCAAATTCGAATCTTGATCATGCACCGGATAGGCGGCGTATGGGGACGGGTCACCGCCATCTGAATAAAAGTATGACGAAACTGTAGAGTAAACTTACTGGCAATTCCGACAGTTATTTGCATCCAGTCATACATGGGGCCGGCTTGGTTAATCTTTGTTTGAGTACTGAGCAAAAATTTGGCGTATTGGCACAAGATACCTGGCGGTAAAGAGGACAATTACCGCATCAGTGACAGTCCAACCATTGAGAGATGTTACGGCACTAAAAAGAGGCAAAATTGTGGTGCATAAATGCCAAACTCTGTGATATCAAGGTTTCCTCCAGCATCGTCCCAGTTGTAGGGCACGTTGGTGGGGTCATTGGAGAAGTTGGTGGGAATAGGTCCATCCGTTGCAGGCCCACTGCTGTATCGCCAAAAGGCCGCCGAGGCGTTCAATTGTTTGTTACGAGCACCATCAAATAGCGCTGCGACCGAGGCGCGAATCAGACCTGACTCGGTTAACTAAATATGGAATTTGAGGGGGATGACTAGAAAGGGCTTTCGGTGAACTAAATTAGAATGAGATTAATTAAAGAGGCAGGCAAGCGACCCGTGTTGCTGACATCAGCTGTTCCACCTACCCAATCCTTCCCGGGATCAGACAAGTCTGCCACGAACAGAGCCTTACAGCCTGGCAGGGAAGGTGCGGTCGTCGTACTTGGCCCTGGGGTTGTGCTTGGTCCTGGGGTGGTACTGGCAGTCGCGGGTGAAGATGATGAGGGCATTTCAGGAGTCGAACCAGTAGTAGGGAGCGTGCTGCTCGGCTGGGTTGGCATCGTTGAAATTACCGGCGTGGACGTGCCAACAGAACTTGGAGCGGTAGGGCCAGTAGTCGAGGAACCATGGCTCGGGCTTGAAACCGTCGGTGAGGGCCCAGGCGTGGTGGTAAGAGCGGACGGGAAGTTTTGGCATAGACTGATCACGGCATCAGAAATCAGATTTGAATCCTGATCATGAACGGGATAGGCAGCATAGGGTGATGCGTCGTTACCATCTTTAAAACAATCTTAGGAAGTTTTTAGACAACTTACTAGCTATTCCTACAGTTATTTGCTTCCGGCCATAAATTCCCCCGGCAGTGTTGATGGTTGGTTGATTGCTGAACAAAAGCGTAATGCTGTGAATCGAAACTACCTAGCGGTGAAGAGGACAATTACAGCATCTGTGACGCTCCAACCGTTTAGCGATTTGACGGCACTAAACAAGATAAATCCACCTCCAAAAATGCCAAACTCTGTAATAGTCAAACTGCCTCCAGCATCGTCCCATTTGTAAGGCACGCCGGTGGGGTCGTAGGAGAAATCAGTGGGAATAGGCCCATCCGTTGGAGGCCCGCTACTGTAGCGCCAGAAGGTAGCGGAGGCGTTCAATTGTTTATTACGAGCACCATCGAATAGCGCTGCGACCGAGGCGCGAATCAGACCTGACTCGGTTAACTAAATATGGAATTTGAGGGGGATGACTAGGAAGGCGCTTTGATCAATTAAGCCACCAAGTCACCTACCCAATTGCTTCCAGCATCAGTCAAGTCCGCCACGAAGAGCGCTTTACATCCCGGCAACGGAGCCGCGGTTGTCGTGCTTGGGCCTGTGGTAGTACTAGCAGAGGCGGTCGAGATTGTTGATGGATTCGATGGTGTGGAAACAGTTGTGCTCGGTGCCGCAGAAGAAGTGGGCAAAGCTGTTGTAGCAGTCGTAGTAGTCGTCGTAGTCGTGGACCCTGAGCTCGAGCTAGAGCTTGAACCAGTAGGCGAGGGCACAGGCGTGGAAGGGGTGACGACCGGGAAGTTTTGACATAGACTAATCACAGCATCGGAGATGAGGTTCGAATCTTGATCATGTACAGGGTAGGCAGCATACGGGGACGGGTCAGCACCATCTGAAAATGCTTGATAGAAAACTCTTATGGGGGCTTACTAGCTACTCCAACAGTTATTTGCTGACGGCCATAGATTCCCCCGGCGGTGTTAATCGTTGGTTGGTCACTGAACAAAAACTCAGGACTGTGAATTGAAACTACCTGGCAGTGAAGAGGACAATTACAGCATCGGTGACAGTCCAAGTATTGAGAGACCTCGCGGCACTAAAAACAATAAATTCTAAAGTCAGGGTGACAAACTCGGTAATATCCAGGCTTCCTCCAGCATCTTCCCAGTTGTAGGGTACGGCGGTAGGGTCGTGAGAGAAATCAGTGGGAATGGCTCCATCCGTTGCCGGCCCACTGCTGTATCGCCAAAAGGCCGCCGAGGCGTTCAATTGTTTGTTACGAGCACCATCAAATAGCGCTGCGACCGAGGCAATGATCAGGTTCTTCTCGGTGAACTAAATTCGGGTTATGAGTTAGCCAAATAAACTAGAAGCGAGCCTTTAGAAATGTTCTAAAACTCGAAACCAATTAACCTACCCAATTCGCGCCAGTATCCGTCAAATCCGCGACAAAAAGCGCCTTGCAGGTTGGCATTGATGTTGTGGTTGTTGTGCTGACGGTTGGCTCCGAGTTGAAGGTCGTCGATCCGGGGCTGCCGCTTGCCGTAGATGAACCTAAGCTTGTAGATCCTGGAGTGCTCCAGGAAGAGGAGGGCCCAGATGTTGGAGTGCTTGGGATCGTGGGTGCAGAGCTTGGTGATGTGCCTTCGGTGGTGGTGATGGAGGTGCCTGAAGATGCGCGCGGGTACTGTGTTGAGAATTTGGGAAATGCCACTTTGCTGCAGTTATTTACTAGACTTGTCGTGGGTGTATCGCTTAGGGTGTGCTTTCTTTTAAAGGTGCTGCTTGGGTTTATGCTTAAGCTTAGGCTTAGGCATTGGCTGGGGCTTGGACTTAAGCATAATTGCCAGGGTGGTGCATAGGTGCATAGAGTGTACCTGGTGTGCCTGGTGTACCGGTCACTGTGCTGCCAGACGGTGCTACAGTTGTTGTTGTGTCGGTGGTAGTGGTAGTGGTGGTAGTAGTGGTCGTAGTGGTAGTGGTTGTAGTGGTGCTTGTCGTGGTGGGTCCGGTTGAGGTGGGTTCGGTGCTTCCCGGACTTGTACCTTGAGATGTGGGCAGTGTCGAGACAGTGGTGACAGTTGGAAGAGTGTTCCCAGTACATAGTGCGGTAAGGGCTGCATTGATGGCATCGTCCTGATCAGAACCCGCTCCAAAAGAATAGGCAGCGAGTGGGGTAAGGTCTTGTCCTGAAAAAAAAGTGCGAGATAGACTCATTAGCTAGTGCTGACAGGTGAACAGCCCAAGGATCGTCCACCTTGTCGTCACAAACCCCCCATCCTCCACCTTTTTCTTTCAAGGTTCCTCCCCCCTTTCTGTGATTTTTTTTTCTCATACTGTGATCTTTTTTACCTCGTTGCGTGTGCAACGGCGCCTTGTGCGCAGAATAAATAAAAATAAATAAATAGTTTAATCCTGACTGGGGATGTAAAAACCTACCACTCAATCCGATCCCAATTGTTTGGCTTTTGAAGTTATTGGACGGAGAAGCGTCGATGGAAGCTTGGTCGCTAAAAAACGTTTCACAAATAACGCGAGCTCGAATTTACCTGTTGGTATAGAGGACCGTAACGATATTTCCAAGTGGGTAGTTGTTCAGAGCATTTATACCCCTAAAGACTATTTGGGCAATTAAATCATACTTACGAGGACACATTGGCATCAGCCGCGGCGGTCCCATACAGCAATCTCAATTCATCTGTGAGGAGATCGCGGTTTCCGAAGGTCAGATTTAGCGGTTCTTGGCCGATATAACCATATCCTGCACCGGCATATGCCGGTACAAAACCGTCATTTACGGTTTCATCAGCGATTCGGTTCACATGGCCCAATTCAGCGACAAACTACAAATATTATTGTTACAATGTTAACTACCCACCTGTGGCTTGCCAGACGTTGATACATCCAGATAGAAAAAGATTTGACAAGCGGCTGGGGTTGTCGTCGGCACAGTCGTGGCACCTGTCGAGCTGCCGGCATACGCCGAAGTCGACCCAGTTACTGTGGTCGTCGTTGTAGTGGCAGTGGTAGTCGTCGTGGTGGTAGTAGTGGTCGTCGTTGTGGTCGTTGTGGTAGTGGTAGTCGTCGTCGTAGTCGTACTTGTAGAAGTCGGCGATGTGCTGCTCGCAGACGTGCTCGTTACACTCGGCGACGACTGCGTAGTTCCTGTTGGTGGTATCGTGGTCGTAGGGGTTTCTCCGGTGCACATTGAAGTAATGGCCGCATTTATTTGATCGTCGTAGCTTGCGTCTGCCCCAAATGAGTACGCCGCAATCGTGCCCAGATTTTGACCTAAACTGGAAAGGTAACGTACGATACCTCACACACCAGCCAAGCCTATTCCAATCGTCTGAGTCTTGTAATTATTTTGCGGGGACGCATCGATTGCGCCCTGTTCGCTGAAAATTGTTCGTTTCCGAGCTTTGGGGGTGATACCAACCTGTTGGTATAGAGGACGATAACGATACTCCCCAGTTCATAATTATTCAACGCGTTGATCCCCCTAAAAAGTTTTTGGAACCTAAAGAGCTACTCACGACGCAACCGTGACGTCCAGGGGCGTCTTCCCATATAGAGGGCTAATCTCTTGCGTGAGAAGATCACGGTTTCCGAAAGTCAGATTCAAGGGCTCTTGACCGTCATATCCATATCCTGCGCCGGCAAAGATTGGCACAAAGCCGTCACGTGCCGTTTCATCTGCGATTCTATTCACATGGCCCAGCTCGACAACAAACTGGAAAGGTCATTGTCCAATTTTTTCCAAATGCGACATACCTGTGGCTTGCCAACAGTCGAGACGTCAAGGTAAAAGAAGATCTGACAAGGCGCTCCTGGTGTTGTCGAGCCAGTAGAAGTGCTCATAGTGCTGCCCGCCGTTGTTGTCGTAGTAGTGGTAGTCGTCGTGGTGCTCGTCGAAGTGCTCGGGGTCGTGGCCGTCGAGCCGGTTGTGCTTGTCGTGGTAGTAGTGGTAGTGGTAGTTGTGAAAGTCGAGCTCGGGCTTGACGTTGCGCTTGAGCTAGATGCACTCGTGGCGCTCGAGGCCGTCGTTGCGGTAGTCGTAGTGGTGGTAGTGCTGCTTAAGGTCGAGCTCGAGGCGCTGGTCACCGTCGTCGTAGTCGTGGTTGTTGTTGTTGTTGTCGTAGAAGTCGACGTCGAGGGCGTGCCAGTTGTCAAGTTGGTGCATATGGACCGGATTGCGTTTACAACCTGTAGCTGATCACTGTCAAAGGGGAAGCTGTAGATGGCCAGCGGGGTTAGGTCTTGTCCTGAAAATTGTTAGATTTTTGTGCCGACCAAAAATTTGAACTTCTGTTGTTCAGGTATTCACAAACCTTGCTACTTGACTTACCACAGATACCAACTCCGACCGTCTGCCCAAGGTAGCTATTTGGACCGGCTGCATTGATTTGTGATGCTGGGCTATAAGCAAATCGATGAAATTGTGGGCTGGTAAAAACAACCTTCCGCTATATAACACCGTGACGATGTTTGTCAAGTCGTAGTTGTTCATTGCACCGATCGCACTAAACCGGAATTTTATGAAAAAAGCGTAGATCGTACCTTGAAACATCCGCGTCCATAGGCGGCAATGCATAGATTATATCCAATTCGCTGTTCAAGTTGGTTCGGTCGCCGAACTTTAAAGTGAGCGGCGCTTGGCCAGCACTGCCATACGCTGCAGCAGCGAAGGTGGAACCAGGAATGTTGTCCGCCAATTCTCTGACTTTTCCGATTTCCGGGATGAGCTGAAATGTTCTACTTATTAAGCGGGTTGCAAAATATGGTTCTTTCCAAATTCGCAAATTTCTTGCATTAACTAAGGTTTTTGCGAAATGGACCGATTTTTATTGCTTTTACCAAGCTGAAGATTCAGCAAAAAAAACTATTTTCGAAATTTTACAGCTCTTTGAGACTTTTCGAGAGCAGCTTTTTGAAAACTATTTGCGAAAACCCAACTTGGATGGGGCTGAAGCTGATAAATTGAGTTGACTGGTTCCAAACTTACCAAAACCTAAGCTTACAGCTAAACCGCCGTCAGTTTAAACTATGCGTCTTGGCCGCGTTTCGAATTTACCTGAGCATGTGCAAAATTCGATAAGTCCAGATAGAAAAAGACTTGGCACGGCGGGCCCGGAACTGTCGTCGTTGCTGTAGAAGGAGTACTCGTCACCGTCGAGCCGGTGTTCGAGGTCGTCGGCGAGGTCGGCACAGTTGTAGTTGTGTTACAAATGTACTGAATAGTCTCCGCAACTTTATTTTCGTCCGCTCCATCCGGGCTGAAGCTATAGGCCGCGATGTCGGACATGTTTTGACCTAGGAACTGGATTAGAAAATTACCGATCATACCATTCAATCCAATGCCAATAGTCCGGTCGCTAAATGGGTTTGCCCCGATGGCGTTGATGATGTTTTGAGAGCTAAATAGGAAAAAGTTTCGATAAAAATAAATTTAGCAAACCTGTTGGTATACAAAACAGTCACGATATTCCCCATCTGATAGGCTTTCATCTCGTCGAGGGCACTAAAATTTAGTTTTTTGATTTTTGAAAAATGCGTTACTTTGCAACCGTTCCATTGAGCGGGTTGAAAGGAAATATCTTGTCCAACTGGGTCTTCAACGAGTCCTGGTCCCCAAAGGTGAGGTTCAACGGCCCGGAAGTGTCTCCACCATAGCTGGCGGCGGCAAAGTTGCTGATTCCGGCAACGAGAGGGCTGACGCGCTCGACGTGACCAATCTCTATGGGCACCTAAATGTCATAATTCTCAATATTTGTTGCCAAAACTTACTCCAAAATCTACTGAAGTCGAGACATCCAAATAGAAGAACACTTGGCAAGGCCCTGGGCTGGTGGTGGGGCCCGTCGAGGTAGTGACCGTGGTAGGGCTAGTCGGCGTTGATGAAGGTGTTGTTGCTGTCGTCGTGGTGGTGGTGGTGGTGGACGTACTTGCCGGTGTCGATGCGCTGGACGCTAGAATACTTTTTATTGCAAGCGCGAGGCAATAAAGGATCTAGATCACGAGTTTTCATGCCTGAAGTGCTGGTAGTAGTAGTGGTAGTTGTAGTGGTTGTTGTCGTTGTAGTGGTAGTGGTCGTGGTGGTAGTAGTGGTACTGGTGGTGCTCGGTGACGTCGAGATGACAGTGGTCGGACCTAGAGTGGTAGTGATGGCTATCGGTGCATTAAGTTACTCGTAGTGCTCGTGATCGAGGTAGTGCTGAGTGATGTGCTGGTAGGCGCAGAAGTCGTGCCTATAGATATTGCTCGACGTGAGTAACTACAGGGAGTGATGGGATTCTGAGAGTGGTCTCACTACCCGAAGGTCAAAACTAGGGAGTGCATGGGAGGTTAAGTTAGATAACAGTAAGAGGTGCTAGTGACAATAACAATGGGTGCTTGTGTAGCTATACCTGTTGTCTGCGCCGACGTGACCGTGCTTGTAGGAGGTGACGTGGTCGTAGTGGTAGTTGTGGTAGTCGTAGTAGTCGTGGTAGTAGTCGTGGTAGTCGTAGTAGTTGTCGTGGTAGTGGTAGTGTTAGTGGTAGTAGTTGTGCTCGTGGTGGTAGGCGTCGGTGTACTTGGTGTCAATGTGGTGCTGGCAGTCGTGGTTGTGGTGGTCGTGCTTGGGGTACTCTCCGACGGAGATGAAGGTGTCTCCGCTGTGGTAGCGGTGCTTGGGGTGCTACCTAAAGTGTGATGACTTTTTACAGTAACGGTAGCAGCAAAAATTTAGGGGCGGAAAATTTAGAACGTCAGTTCAAGGGCAAATCGCGCTTTACAAAGTCTACCTGGACTGGTCGTCGTAGTAGTCGTAGTAGTAGTAGTAGTAGTAGTAGTAGTCGTCGTCGTCGTCGTAGTAGTCGTCGTGGTAGTTGACGTTGTCGTCGACGTAGGCGAATTTGAAGACGACTCCCCTGGTGTCGTTCCAGGTGTTGTCGTCATCGGCGCCATTGTCGTCGCGGTCAGGGTTTGCGCAATTTGTTGTCCAATATTCTGGGGATCATCGCCGGAAATAGTCTTGTTGACGACTTTATCATATTCCGAAGCGTCATTTCCAGTTTTGAGGACGACAATTTTCGAGCTAGCATTGTTGGTTTTCAAGTCCATCAGGACCATCTTGTTGTCGACATCGGTTCTAGAACATTTTGGATTGAAACGGGGTCTTAGGCTTAGGCTTAGGTTAGGCTTAGGCTTAGGCTTAGGCTTACAAGGGCCTTGTTAGAAATAAAACTTACTTTCTCGCAAGACAAGGCGCAAAATGAACGAGCGAATCTGAAGACTGCATCGTCAGCTCGTCAGTTGTGGCTCTAAACATTTTTGATAGATTTTAGGACAGGGCTTACCTTGTCTCATTAACCTTCGTGTTGCCCAGCCCCATCATGCACTTCGCCATTCCATCCCCGGTATTCAACCATTTCATCGCATCCGCGTTGTTCATGACCGGCGACCATTCGGTTTTCTGGTCGTTGAATGTTAGGAATTTGACGGTGTTCATGCCGGCCATGTTGGAAAGGGACCAATTGGCCGTCGAGAGCATCTGAAAGTTTCTTACTAGCTTTTTCTGGCTTGTTTTTCGGTATTTTTGACATATCAAAGTTATTTAGTCATCTTAAAGGTGTCTTACGTAATTTTCTATATCCTACTATATATAAAAAAATAGTTCCTGTGTGTGTGTGTCTGTGTAGATTTGCATCCACTTCCGGATGTATGTTCCGCTCATAACGGATCAGGGAAGAAGTTTTCCGGCATGTTTGATACGTCGTTTGGTGCGTAATGGAATGAAGATGACTGCCGACCAATTAGATTTTTCAAAATTTACTATTTTCGACATAAATTTAGGTTTTTGGAAAATTGCATTTGTTAGGCAAAATTTGCATGCGCCAGAAGTGCATATTGCCTATAAAATCAAGCCACCGAGGCTATTTCCCATTTTCGTCAGCGGGATTCGAGCCGAATATGCATAGTATTTTTGTGATCGGACCTAGACGGGGCCCAGGGGTGAAAAGCCGCGGAGTGGCTTTTCAACCCTGGTCTTAACTTAGAATAATAAATCCCTTTAGATGATCCTACCTCCATGCACATGAAGCAGCTGTCATCGGCCAAAATGGCATCGCGCCTCGCCGGATTCGCAGTGTCGTTATAAATCGGAATGGCAAAGACTAGAGTAGATGTGGCGGGCGCTGGTGTTGTGGGTCGACTGTGATCAACCAGTGTGACAACGAGCACGACAGCGATGACAACGGTGACAACGAGGGCGCCGAGGAAAAAGAGCAGCATCAGATTCCGACGGCCCCACGGCCATCCGCCCCGCCGTATCGGGGGATCGGCCCCGTCTGGCATCGAGGATTACCTGTAAGAATTCAGGGGCTGCTGAGGAGAAGATTGAGAGAAAGTTCGTGCTCAGAAAAGAGAGACTTTAGAAGCCTGGCAATCAGTTTTCGCAATCATTTGAAAATCCAGTTTTTGCGAACTCACTTCGATCTGCGAAGTAAAATTGGTATGCTAATTGTTATTTTTACTGACCGTTTTCCGAAAATTTTCTGACTCGGGATTTTTAAACAATTCTTTTCTGATAATAAAACCTTTTGAAGCGTTGACTTTCAAAAAAACGATTTTTAGAGGATATGATAACCGAAACAATGATTTACTGAAATTTGCTTGGAAAACTGTATCTGGAACCTCTCGTTCAATAGCTGTCTCTCTCTCTCTCTCTCTCTCTCTCTCTCTCTCTCTCTCCCTGGATATTTCTTTCTCTTTCGCTCTCCTTTTCTCTCTCTGGCTGTTGCTCTCGACCTCGTCCTATCCGAAACCGAGTATGAAATTTGCATACAAACCCATAGAAAACACAGCCATTTTTAGGCGGTTGCCGGGCTACGTTACATTCCAATCAACCACTGGCTTCCGCCGATCAAAAAAACATTTTATGCCCCTTGATTCATCCAAAATTCCTCCACCCGTCTGCTCAGCCAATAAATTCGGATTATTGAACGTTGCGAGGGGGCTAGTGGGCCTTGGGCAGGAAGCCTTTACGACCTAATATTTGCCGTTTCGAGATGATAACGCGTGAGTAAAAATTCCAGCCCCTAGGGGCGGCGCGCGTGCACTTCGCGTGAGCCTAATGATCGAAGAAGGGGGAATTTGACAGGTTTCGGTGATTCATCGACCTTCGAAAATAAGAAAATGAAGTAATACATGAAATTGTGGGCTATGCAAATGAGGGGGAAGCCATAATTTAGCTCGGTGGTTCTGGAAGGACAGGAAAAGTCGGGAAATGGCTCAAGGAGTATAAGAAGCCTTAGCTAATATTTAAGCTTGTTAACAACTACTCATCCGTAGTGTAAACATGGATTACACATACCCCCACCCCCGTCAAGTTAATTGTTTTAATGGCGCCGGAGATAAGAGAGGCCGCCGAAGGGGTGTGATAGCGGAGGGAAGTAGCTTTTATTTAGAAAAGATTTTGCAGAATATTATAATTTAATGGTGTGGGTGCTGCAATTTAGGTAGAATGGGCTCTAAATATTGCGTAATCAAGCGAGCAGATTGGCAGGAATTTAGACACAGGGTTCGAGGATCGCGCAACGCCTACAGGGTCATATACCTGAAATTTAACGTAAATTCTTGAGGTATCTAAATTTTTCACTATGGCGTTTTCATCTGAGAAAAAGTGGTTTTAGTCTGCATAGATTTTCAGACATGGCAAAGGTCTTCTACCTTTCGTGACGACTAGTTTAGCTTTTTTGAATTGGCCTTGGCGCTTCTAAAGCGGAAGAAATTTATGGATACGTCGACGATTTTAATTTAATCAATATTAACATTAACGCTTTCTAAGCACCATAACCCAGCAATTCGGGATTCCAACAGCCTTCAGGGCTAGAATAATTCCTGGAGAAAGAACAGGCAGGCAAACATTGAGCCCTAACCGTAAGCAAATTTAATTGGGTCAGAAGCTATGTATATATTTTATTAAGACTTTTGGAAGTGGCCGTTAGGTGGCTGAACCATATATGTGTGAAATTTCATAAAAATGGTAGCTGCCGCTAGCCCTAAGGTAAGGAATTGACCGGGAATAAGCAACCAGCCGATGCAACAACCACTACCACGGCGTGCGGTTCAATAACGTAAGATAGTTTCGATTCTTTGATCGGGCCTCCTCTCCTACCCCCCAAGTCTTGTTTATTGCTGTTAAATTGCCGTGATAAGCCGGGGATGCTGGGGTTTCCAAGCCTCCGCCCGTAGTAAGACTCTTTTGGTGGGTGTCCCGTGTGCCGATTCCGGGGCGACGCCCCTCACTTTCTACCCTTTATGGTTTTCTTCGTGCAAAAACCTGGGTGTGGCCCTCCGGAACTTGCGGGGATGAGACAGAAGAAGAAGCAGTCCAAAGACTTGTGTCAACTGGCAGTTATCCCAAAGCTGATAAGCCGAACGGGTGTGCCGAGGAACAGCTGTTTCGGAAAACCAATACCAGCGGATGGCATGCCAGAAGAATGCTGCAAATGGGTTCAGGGCAGCGAGTGGGTTCTGCAACTGCTCGGGTAGATTACCTCAAGATTTTTTTGAAAGTTGAGTGATCGACTTTTTAGTACATTAGAGGCGATACGAAAAGCAAAATTTTTCATTTTTACCCTAGCAGGCTCTATTAGGAGTTGTGGATAAGAGAACAATTGAGATTCAAGGTAGTTTCTTCGGGTAAATTTTTGAATATTTCAGATGATAGATCGAAGGATATATCGGATGGGGGGGGGAAATTTATTCTTAACATCGTGACGCGAAAACGCGAAAATACCGACGCCGAAACGCTCAAAATCCAAAATACCGACAACCGAAACGCCAACAGCCAAAATACCGACAACGGAGATAACCACAAGCCGTTTAGCAAGACTAACGACTAAATTAGCCTGAAGAATATGTCGGTCGGTACCTTGCCTTGGACTTTTTGCATCGTGACTTGTCGGTATTTTGGCTGTCGGGTTTTCAGCTGCGATTCCTCTCAGATTAATTCGGAACCCACCTCGACCATGAAGCAGACTTTTTAGGCTTATTAAAAGTGTAAATCTCTCAAAGAGATTGATTTCTGAAAGTGCAAAATTGATGAATACCAAAAAAAACTGTTGTTTCGACATTCACTATTCTTCGGATTCTCTGTAAAATCGAAACCCAACTTTTAGTTGTAATCTCGGTGTTAAGAAGGCCTTGTGATGCTTTCAAAGACTACTATGAATGAAATTTTAAGAATTTTTGCACAGATTTAAATGTACATAGTGTGTATTTTGGATTACTTTGTGCCACGGCGATCGATAGCTTTTTATCAGCATCGACATTTTCGGCACACAGACATGTGCAGTGTGAGGATTCAGTAGGGGGGCTTTGTCTCTAATCATTCAGGCGCCCCGCCGGATGGCCATAAATTTCCGGCTGCCAAGGCGGTGGTCGCTTTTGGGTGGGTGCTACGGGGCACTACAAAAATAGGGAAGGGTCATGTAATTGAGGGCTAAAAATAGGCGGTCTGACTGTTTGAAGGGAGAGAGAGAGAGAGAGAGAAAACGAGAAATAGTCAGACCGCCAATCTCTAATCCCCTTAAATACATATATATTATACATATTTGTATAAATTACATTATTAAATTGGGGATACACAGCTCGTGAGTACACCCGGCTATGTAATACCGTGGGGTATGGGGGTCAGGAATCCTATCGATATCGAGCCCTTAATAAACTGCTTTGTAGACTACGGTGGCTAGCACGGTGGCTAATACATACACGTACATAGTACAAACACGGAAAAATTGTTTGGTCAAAATGTGGAATAGTTTTTTAGGAAGGGGACGACTCGGGGGCCCACGTCTGGAAAATGACCGTCACCGGCTGACCATTTTCCTCCCACCGCGTCCAGAAGCGGTTCTAAAATAAAATAACATTTTGAGAGTTTTAGATATTAATTTTCCCCCCGCCAGTGACGACTTACGTTGACGGCTCCTGTGATTGAAAGCTTACCTTGGCGGTCGCGTCGAGAACAATGCGGTTGCTCTTGGAGACCGTCTTGAACGGGGTCATTTTATTTCTGAAAAAAGGGAGGATTAGTTTGGGGATGGATAAGCAAATAACTACGAGATATTGCCAAGGATTTTTGGGGGGATTTAGCTAAACAGAAGCGTAGATCGTTTCAAGGGACGTCGAAGCGAAAAAATCGACTACATCTTGGTAGCTGAGGCTTAGGCTTAGGCTTAGGCGTAGGATAAGGCCTAGGCTTAGGCTTATGTCCGCTGTACGCATGTCGCGAAGTCCATGAAACATACCTAATGCACTTCTGAGTGAGCAACAACTCAACGGCGTTGCCTAGACCTCGCCGTCGATGATCTTCGAAGACAAATTGGTGGTTCAGAAATCCGGCCGGGTCTAGCATTTCGAAGGCAACCGGGTCACCGTTGTGCCGGACACAAGAAGAGGGGAGCCGAGCGAGCTTGGCACTGGAAAGTAAGAGATTTCTTTCATTAAAGGGAGCGTGACCGCATTTTGGATTCGAGTTTTCGGTGATTCGGTTCGCAAAAACGTACACAGTCTGCTCCAAATCTCCCTCCTTGGCATATCGCCAAGTCGAGTTGACCAGCTCGGCCTCCTCGTAAGGTGAAATCTCGCTGACCTCGTAGCCATCGGGGATTGACACCGATTCCTGAAATTCGTCAGCTTCGTTTTTGTCTGTTGCTCACTTTTCCGATTAACCCGAATAATTCCCAATTTTTCTCGCTTGCCCCCACCCACCCGAGACTCAATAAATTTTTCAGGGGAACATGGGCTGAGGGGGGCGTTTGGCGAGAAATCCGAGGCGCAGCAAATTGGTCAGCGCGGCCCGAACGAAACAACCCTATGAACGCTTGGGGCGACGCGACGCAAATAATGGGTTTGTTTTGTTGGCCGAGGGAGTGTTGGATTTAATAATCGGACTGCTGTTGAGGGAAAAGCTTAAAGTTAAAGGGACTTGGAACTTATCAAGATAGAGAGAGCGAGAGAGAGCGAGAGAGAGAGAGAGAGAGAGAGAGCGAAAGAGACCGAAAGAGAGTGCGAGATAGAGAGAATAATTTCTTGGTCCCCATTGTTTTCACCAGAATTCGTTAGCCCAATCGCAGTCGCTCCGAAGTCGGTTCCGGAAAGCGAGAAAAGAAACAGAAAGCGAGAGAGAGAGAAAGAGAAAGGGAGAGAAGGCCATTTGGAGAATTACGCAAGTTTTCCTATGCTTCCCAACGCCTTTAATCCCACTAAATAATCTCTGCCAGCTACCCCAACCTCATTTTAGACCCAACCATCACACAAGAGTCGGTTTTTTTCTGCGTCATGAAGTACTTGTATGTACTCGACTCTTGTGTTTGAGCTAACATCTTGGCCAATGGTCCCGCCACGTCAACAACCCCCGCTCGGCCACGCGGTTTGTCGCATTTTCGAAGCCGCTTTTTCAAGCCACCGCGTTCCTGGGACTCAGTATCAAGTAACATGCCGTACCCGGAGCGTCAGCTGTTCCTGCTCGCGGTTCATGTAGAACAGGTTCAGGCACAGGTCGCTGGAGGAGCAGCGAGAAGGGCTCTGCTTCATCAGCATCGTGTACTGAAAACTCGTGTTGAAAAAGGAATGATCAAGACGGTTACTTAAGCCTAAGCCGATGCCAAAATTCAAGCCCAACCCGAAGCCTAAGCCTAAGTCCAGCCTAACCTCGGTTCCTATAAGAACTTGGTCCCGGCGGCCTAGCGACTTTCTAGGAAACCCTATGTAAGCGATTTGGCCAATTTTCCATGAATCCGTCATGCCCCAGGGGGTCCACAGGAAAGCTACCGTAGACGGAAAACGAACGCGGAAGCCCTGCAAGACCAAAATAACGAGAATTTTTATGCAAACTTGAGGTCAGGTCTAGGTTTAAGATGTGATCTAGGCTACATGTATGCATTAATGGGCTACACCTATACACTCTTAGGGAACTTTCGTAACTTACCAATTTCACCAGCCGCTCCTTCCCAACCACCGTATGCGCCCGTTCCGGCGATCCACCAGGTCCGAATACGCGACGTCGGAATTCCAGCAGGCATTCCGCAAATTCCCCGGCGTTGAACGGCGTGTTCGGCACGTGGGCCAGCATGCAGTAAGCGCTAAAAACCTTGATTTTTAGATTTCTAGGGTTTCCAAGGCGCTCCTAATCTCAAAATCCATGCCCACTACAACCGAATCACCGCCCTGACCCCCTTAAAAAACAATCTTTCATCCGAGCCCATTTTTTTTTTGAAAAAGTGGAAAATATTTTCGAGGCCACTGCTGCTGGCGTCTCTGGGGAATGGAAGGCGTTCTCATGCATCAAAAAAGAGCGCCGGTTTCAAAATTTGAGTGTTGAAAGGCGAGACAGGAAGGAAGCTCCGGGGGGCTTGAAGTCATGAAATTTGAGGTGAATGCCGAAAATAGCTCCATTTAGCCTTGACGCCCCTAACAGAATACACGCAAAAAATTACAAGCTACACGCAATTTTTGGGCTGTTCTGAACAGCTTTTTATTTCATTGTGTACAAATACTTAAAAACAAGCTTTTGAAAATTTGTTTCAAGTTTTCTATATGTGAAAAAAGACGTAAAATGATGTATGAATGGCTTCTAGTCCGTCAGAGGGTCGTACGGAAATAAGGGAAAAAAAATAGGTTTCCCCAGTAAACCGCCCCTCCCGCTAAAAGCCCGAAACCCGGAGTTTAGAACCAAGTTAAACTTGAGTGCCTCTTCAAAAAGAACAAAGCCCAAGATTAAGCCTAACCTAAGTCGAAGACTGAGCTGAGCCTAGGCGCAAGCCTAGTAAGCCTAGGCCCCATCTTAAACAAAAACTCACTCAATAAATACATTGTCCTTGAACATGAACCAATACTTCTTCGGGCCATGGTCCGGGTAGGCGAACACCTTCACGGGCGATTCCGGGAATCTAAAAAAACAGCTTTCATTCCTATTTCTAGCCCAATCATTTTTGTCAAGTGCTTGCGGTACCTTCGCTGAGCTCTCTCTCTGTCTCCCTTGAGCACTTAGAAAGCTATATACAGCCTTTCAGGGTGTATTTTAGCGTAGTTCTCACTTGTCCTCGATGGCCTGCCGGATCGAGAAGTGGAAATAGATGAGATCGGGCGTGATCTGGCTCTCTTTCAGCGCCTGGCGCCATTCGCCTCGCGATCGGATTTCCAGCAACATCCCTGCAAAGTTAAGTTCGTGGCGTTTTCCGGTGATTGGGAAAGCAGTGTTGAGCGAGAAAGTGGACGTGAGAAAGGGAAGGAGAGAGAGAGAGAGAGAGAGAGAGAGAGAGAGAGAGAGAGGGAGAAAGAGAACGAAAGTTTAGCGAACACGGGGGATGAAGCGGGAAGGCAAATATTTGAGGGGCATTTCCAATTACGCGAGAGATTAACGGGACCAGGAAGGGAACAAGGGGGATTAGGTTTTTCACGAATAGAAAAGCTTGTGTGTTTTTAAAGGGATCCGCGAATTTTCAGAATTTTTTGCTTGCAAAACCTGCTGATAGATCTTTAGGTAGCGCCTCTAATTCAGAAGTAGAAAAATCAAAATTGGATTTTCTCGAGGCTCAAGAAAGGAGGCTCAATGAAGCCTTTATGATCATTTACCGCGCTTGGGTAGCTAAATCCAGAGCTTTTTGGTTATTAACGTAAACTGGAACTATGAAAAACCGGCCTTTAAATCACAAAAAATTCTTTAAAGGATGCAAGCCAAAAATTATAGTGGTTAATCTGATTTTGAATGGCTTCAAAACACAAAATTCATAGTACTGCAAACATTAAGCAATCTATTATTATCTACCCGGAACTCAGCCTACAAACATCAATTTTCAGGTATGAATTTTCGTAAGCCCCGGCGAAGACATTATTAAGGTGAGATTCCTTGTTTTGTGACGGGGTGGGCGAAATTGAGGCCCACCCAGACTTACAAGAAATGCAAGGCAAAAAGCTCGAACTCGTTGTAGTTCACTTCGTAAAGTTTAGATTCCAGTAACCTTAATCGCTTCAACTTTCTGCCATTTTCACTACTAGCAATCCACTGCCCTCGGCACGCCCTTCAATTTATGACCGGGAGGTCAGCAAAAAGCTGGTGAAGTCGGAGGAACTAATTTGTTGGCCCCCCACCCCGGCGAGACATTACAACCGGTTTTACTTGGGCCCCTCTCCAGGGTTGGTCTGGGCCAAAAATAAGGTGGGTAAAAAACGATTGCGGGGATAAAAAGGGCAGGGGTTAGGTGATGTAAGGTAAACATGGGATTAGAAGCGTCTCATTACCGTAAGCCTTGAAAATACATTTTGAAACTTGAAAAACACAGGGTTTAACGTCCGAACTCCTTGAAAAAACACTAGAAGTTTTTCCTTGGCTGTGCCCTAGTATTTCTACACCGGCCTTGAAGTTTCAAAAGATATTCTCTTTTTCTCTCTCTTTCTCTGTCTTTCTCTCTCACTCCCCTTCTCGCTCTGTCACTCTCTCACTCAATCTGTTCTTATAAAGCCATAATTACTGTGTAGACGGGAAAGCATAACGCGCCAAAGAAAATTACCGCCGTTAACACGATTATGAGTCAGCACATTAATGAAAATCCTAGGCGCCCGGAATTGCAGCGGCCTCCCCATTAAATACAGCCTTTTACTAAGGTGTCTACGCGCCGTCAAAGCGTTCAAGAAAACAGAGCCCAACACCAAAAACGATGAATATCGTAACAACATTAGCATAAAGACAACGCCCCACTATATCGTTTTTCTGGGTGGCAACCACGGGCAACGACCAGGCAAACATTGAAGCAACTCTGCACTGATGGGCTTCAGTTTGCAGCCGGGTGGAAAGACTACGGTGTCACAGCGGCCGGGCCTCAAATGTTTGGGCATCAGCAGGCGCGAGGTTGGAATGGAAGATGGAGGAGAAAAAGGTTGGAAGCCCCCGAACACTTATGTCCCGGCCCCTGGCATGGCATGTTGAGCGGCCGGTAGGGCCGGAAAGGGCCCGAATATTTTTTGCAGGGGCGGGATTGAGGGATCCTTAAAGGTGATATCATATCGGATGGAGAGAGTGAGAGAAAGATTGAGCGATAGAAAAAAAAGATAAATATAGTAAGCAATCGGGAGCATGCTGCCAACTCGTATGTTAGTAAAGCTAAAGGAAGCGAGAGAGGTAGAGAGAGATATCTGAAGTGATATGTTAGCAGAGGTCGAAAAAGAAGGGCGTGAGCAAGAGCCAGACTCCCTGAGCGATAGAGTGAGCGAGACAGAGATAGTGACAGGGAGTGGGAGAGAGGAACAGAAAGTGAGGGATGGAGACAGAAAACGTAGTAGAGACCTAGAAAAACTAGTATTTGCAAATTTGAATATAGTCTGAAGGATTACGGTATTTTCCGACCAAAATCCTTCCAACATTTCCAAAAAGGAACAAAAATTCTGCAGAAATCCTCAACCAAAACTTTGCCGGAACACTCCGGCCCACCCCTGGTGAAAAGCCTTTGCAGTATGGGGCGTTTAGGCAAAAAGGCGAGTTGTGTCGAAGCGGGCCGAGGAGGAGAAGGCCTACCCGCGATGGCCCATGAGGCCCAAGGGCCAGGAGATGACCGAGGGGCTAGAAAACGGAAGACGAGAGAATGAGAGAGCGAAAGAGAGAGAGAGAGAGAGAGACATAAGAGGGGGACCTCCCCTTCTTCTCTTCCCCTTTAGTTCTTTGCATATAGCTCGGGGCGGGGGTAGGCCGCCCCTTCGGGGGAAGCCCTTTTCCCAGCCCATTCCCGCCTCTCGCTTTTTGCCTCGTGCTTCTCTGGGTCTCACAAGTCTCTGTCAGGCTTTTTCGTTGGTCCTTCTCTCTCTCTCTCTCTCTCTCTCTCTCTCTCTCTCTCTATTTCTTTCTAAGAGGTTGGGATGGATCTCTGGGCCGGGGGTCTGGCCCCTCCACCTTTGAAGATCGGCAGCGGCTAGGTCTAGAGTGAGGAGAAGGGATTTCGGCTAGAGAAAATTGCCTGAGATGGTGATGACCGCGAAGTTTTGGAGAAAGATGTGGAAATTGGGTCCACAACGGCATAAAATCCCTTCATGACAAGCGAGAAGTTCACGAATACGATCCTAAGGGCTCCAGGACGCTCTAATTTTGTTCAAGTCGCCGGGTCTGTATAAATAGCTGCCTTTGGCTTCGAATTACGGTTACTGTCCTCGGTTCCAGCCGATCGGTATCAATTACAAATTACCAGACAAGACGGCAGGTTGGGCCAAATCGGTCTACTAACGCGTAGCGCATTTGTCGAGACCTAGTGGATGTCTAACCGATTTTAGCGCCTTTTATAGTATCGGGTAAGTGGTTCTGGATTCTAGGTTGATTAGAGACACGACCAAGCTTTCGTTTGCACCTAAAATGATATCATAAACGAAACAGAGAATAGAATACGTGACCACCAAGACATAGCCCCAGGCTACGCTACACCAGCTCTCTGATTTACAACCCAACCTTTAGAGAGCATCATCTCCCCCCTAACATCCGATCCTTACTACTGATCTAATCCAGCTCTAAAAACTCTATGAGAATCTACTTCCTGCTCCTTCCCTCATGACCTCCGAAAAGTCTATCCCGCCTAGACAATGCCCTTCAGGAAATCAGACCTCCCGAAAAACATCGTGTCCCTGCATCCAAGCAGATTAGGGAGCAGGAAGACGAGAAGGAAAGGCGTGCATAGTCACAAAAAGCACGACCCTAGACTTTTCTACATCGAGGAGGCTTATTCCTAGAGGGCGCTTCCTCGCGCAAACATCACTGAACAGCTTACGATCATCAGTGGGACAGAGAACAGTTCGGAAGTGTGGGATGCGACCGGAATTTTAGGACGGGGGGCGGAGAAGGCCAAAAATGGAGGAGGGTCCGGGAATGAGTCATCAAATTGTTGAGAAAATGTATAGGCAGAAAGGATGAATTAATGTTAGAGAATGAAAGAGAGAAAGCCAGAAAGTTAGAGAGATGGCGAGAGAGAGAGAGAGAGAGAGAGAGAGAGAGAGAGAACGGCGGACTGAAAGATGGACAGGATCAAAGCGACAGACACCAATTTCGAAAAAAGCAACGATGATGTCAAAAAATTCCGGAAAATCACGATTTCGTGTTGTGGTTTTCATGTTCAGTTTCGAAGAAAACGTGAATTGGCTAGATCTAAGGTAACTTTAGTCCAGAAAATACCGTTTTCTCGAGGTCGTTTTATAAAATCTACTGTATCTGCTGAGTGGACCATGCAATACAAACGACCTTAAACAAATTCGGAGCCAAAATTGGCAAAGTTCTATCTAAAAAACCAGTAAAGACACGCTTTTGAACTCGGCTAGACCTTCAAAAAAAAGAATATTTAGGGGGAAACACCGTCATCATATTCCTATAAATATTCCATTAATACCCTCCCGCGGAAAGTGCAGTCCAATGTCCACATCATCCCACATCGGCCGATTTTCAAAATGCAAAGCTTTTAGCGCCAATCTGATCGGCGATGGTTCAATCCAAAATTTCATAATCAAAGAACCGGCCGGGAATAGGGATGATTTGTCTTTGACAGATCGCATCTACATGTTGATCGTTCTATGGGGTGCCCGGCGGACCGATCTCCGAATAGGAAAGGGCAAAGTGCTCTGCCAGACACCTTTAAAGACACGGTTGATTCATGGGAACGTGCGAGGTGGTGGGGATGGAACATTAAAGGTGCGACGATGGCTTGGATGGACCATCGGAGCTGCAGTTTTTATGGGCGACTATGTGCGAAAGTACTATTCGATTGGCATATGTACACCAGAAAGCAGTTTTTGCTTGCAAGGCGCGAACGCGAGAATTTGAAACTTTGAGGAAAAGGGCCTGGAAGGTGTAAACTTACTTCAGCTCAAACTTTTACGAGATCGTTACGGCGGTGGTAGTGAATTCAGATGAACCTGTACGGTTGCGTCTTACGGTAGCTGTTTGAGAAAGAAAAAGAGAGATGGAGGGATATAGAAAGTGAGAGCTAGCGAGAGGGGAGAGAGTGAGCTAGAGAGTGAGCGTCAGAGTGAGTGTCATATAGAGAGAAATCCATGGAAACTGAGAGAAACATTGGCAGAGAGATACATACCAAGTGACTGAAGAAAGAAAGAAGGAGAGAGCGAGAGATCAGAGAGAGGAGAGAGAGTGACGGAGCAAACGACAAACGAAAGAGTGGCAGAGAAATACCTAGGATGGATTTTGCTTTGAATGTTCATTTCTTCTGTGACGTAATAAGCAAATTTTTAGTTTTTCGAAAAAACACTCGATTACTAATTAAGTAATAATGAAATTTCAAGCATTACGTAGTTGAAAGTAGTACAAAAAACAGCCAAAACTGCAGAGCATCTTTCATTGCAAGTTTTTTCCAAGCTAGAGCAATAACAAAAAACTTACCGCATGTATATAAGCAAAAACATATAATTTCTACCCAAAATCAGCTGCCAAAATTACTAATCTGACGATGAAAGGCCAATACGTCACCACCAACAAAGAGACTGGGTCCAAGAGATTAACTCTTCTTTCTTTCATGTTGTAATATCCGCTCCAAGAATGGCTCGCACCTGTGCGTGTGGGACCCTTTCTGGGGCCCTTTTTTCCTTTTTTGGACGCCTTCCGGCCAAACACTGAGATGATCAAACAGTGGGAAGGTTGAAGGGGTGAAGCTCGCATTTTTCAGCCCTCCGACTTAATTATGGCGTTCCCGAGAATAAGGAAGCGCTCCCAGGAGATTTATGAGTAACGTAGAGAATTCCGGCGGCTAGCATCGAGCATTGTGTGGTGAGAAACGAGGATGGGGATGCAATACCGGAGTATCTTGAACTGAGAAAATACGATAGGCGTAGGCTTAGGTTTAGGCTTAGGCTTTGCGTCGACTCAGGCTTAGGCTTAAGCTTACAGCCTGTTAAACTTAGACATATGCTTCAGCTTTCGGGACATAGGGCAAGAACAAACTGAGAATTCGCTGAAGCATGCCTAATTTTGAATTTCTACACCCATTCTGAAAAATAGCGCGCCAATATGGGGTTGCGTACCTGGGAAAGCGTGAGGAATTTGAAAATTGAAATTGAAAATGATGAGGCTCGGGCAAATTGTGAATTGCTTCCTCCATTTTCTTCGTCTTCTTAGATGGTAGAAGAAACCTTCATTTTTAACCATATTTCCAAAGTTCTGATTTTTGGATTTTTATCTTTTGTCAGCTGTGTAGAAACCATGTGCTAAACTCTGCAAATAATTACTCTCCAAGAACTACAACCTCTTCTGCAGCTCTCCGGACAAAACTCCGCTAATATTCAGTATTTAGCAGATTTCAACAGCCGAGGGGCGTGATTGTTTGGAGGTTGTGTATGCAGCAGTAGGCGTAAAACCCATTTGCGGGCAACGGTACGCCTCGGTCAGCTCACCAGAGATCTGAAGAACCTTTGCTCAGAAGTCAGAAGTTGATAGAAGTCCTGAATTCCAGAAGCAATGGCGGAGCTGGATGGAGCGGTTAGTTTGATTTGCATATATGGATTCATCAAGATTGATTTTTGCGCCTTAATGATACCTTCAGAGGCCAGATTGAGTAGATCGAACGTTCTAATGAAAGTTTCTAATTTGAAGTTCGAGGAATTTTCATCGGAATCTCTGCTACTCTTTCTCGCTCTCTCTCGCTGACTCTCACTCTCTCTTGCTCACTCTCTCGCTCTCTCTAACTCTTCCTTTCTCTCCTTTCCAGAACTTCCAAAAAAGCCCCACGTTTCTTCAGTTGTTTTCCAAGAATAAATCTACACTCCCCAGGTTTAGCAACACCACATTTCACTTAACGGTGTCACCGGCTGGGCGCAGTGAAATTAGTTGGGGAGGCCGATGGCGGACTCCATCGTCAAATCCACTAAATCTGTATGTGAGGCTGTGTTTGTTACGGGAATGGCCCTGCCGCAGCCGAAAATATGTTTTCAGCTGAGTTCCGCTGAGGTTTTTCCGGGAACCTGAGAGTTTTGCTATTTTTAAACTATGCTTTTTCCTTGTTTTAAGATTGATTCCAAAAATCGGGCGCGTTTCGTGTAACAATAGGTTTTTCTACGGAAATTCTTGCAGTCTGTAAGTGAAAGAAGTAGCAGGCACGCTAGCAAAAATATAAGGTAAAGGGGCAACTAGCAATGATAATTTGTGGAAAAGGAGCGCCAGCAGAGGTTTTTTGAGAAGAACAATGCCAGGTATTTTCTGCAAACCGCAGACCAACTTCAGGTACAACCCAAGATTTACACCCTCGTAAAGCCAAAACAACCAATTCTGGGACTTACTCTTCTGGTTCTTTGCAGACCCTCTGGTCCCTGATTTCGTCTATGGGTACCTTGTGGAAATTTTCTGATTAAAAGCTAATTTCTCCGTTTGCTCTGGATTACGGAACTTAATAAAATTTACTCGGCGGGGCTGCAATTCCGGCTAGGGCGGTCGGGATGGACGTCAATACTTGCGAGATCGACTTCCGCTATTTAGGAAGTTTTGGGGGCCCAATTGCAGTTTGTGATACTTCTCTTAACTGGGTTATGGTCTATTAATGCGCAAGAATTTGCAAGATTTTCCAAACTTTTACGCTATGAAATTCTATCTTTTGACAAGTCAAACCATACCTTTCAGTTAATGGAAGGCGATGATCAACTCGCCATCCGCTTCATCCTATACACAATCATCGGAGTGGCCGTCATATTTTTCAACATCCTCTCTCTGGTTGTCTTTTTTGCACACAGAGATGCTTCCCGCTTCACGTTATACCAATTTTTATGTTTAGCAGAACTTGTAAGCCGTTATTTTCCATTTCCAAGAACCAATCGCTAAACCCAGATGAACGGCTTCAACTTCGCGATCACGGGTTGTTTCCGATATCTCGTGCTCTCGGCTGAGGAAATTCGGTTGCCAATGACATCTACAGATTGTCTATTTACGACCCCGTGGCTGATTATAATGCTTATTGGAGGTGGGATTTCACATGTTTTTGGTTCGTTTTGCATGACGTAAGAGGAAGTTCAACGTCAACTAGAAAGAGAGAGAGTGAGGGAGCGAGAGAGAGAGAGAGAGAGAGAGAGAGAGAGGGAGAGAGGAGAAAGAGCGCTAGAGAACGGGATGGAGAGCCTTCTTACATCCTCCCGTCTGTCTTTAAAGCGTTTTTGGAACGTTTTCGACGTGCACCATTTATAATTCATGAGTCTTTGGAACCAAAAAGCCGTTGTGGCTCAAGAATGGAAGTGCAAGAATCGCTTGAAAAGGAAACTAGACATAGACCTGCATAAACAGAAAAAAAAATATCAATTTTGTTTCAGAAACATACCCTGCTGCGATGACACTCGTAATATCACTCGAGAGGTTATTTGCTGTTACGTGTATGGCCAAATTCCGGGTGTGGAAGAATAGCCACAAGTTGATTATGGTGGTACTAGCGACACTGTTTCCATTGGTAGGTTTAATTCTTAGGCTTAGGCTTAGGCGTATGCTTAGAGCTAGTAGTGTAACTAGCTAGCCTGAGCTTGGGCTTTTACGTCACCACACATTTCAGCTCATGCTCACCTCAGCGGTCATTTTGGTTCTGGTTGCTCCACAGCTGAATGCCAATCGAATGTGCGGGACGACTAGCGCGTAAGAATACTGTAGATTCATCATTAGCTCTGTTTTAGGATCAACAAGTACTACGGGCTCGTCCAAAATACGATGTCGGTTGCGTTGTACTTCTTAGGCTTTGCCGTGTCTTTATACGTCAACAATACGATACCTTCAAAACGGGTAGGTTGTTTTGCTGGCTTGCCTTTAAGCACTGAAACCTCGCCTTTATCTTAAAAACTGTTAATGGAGCCTATCATATCGTTTTCTCTAGTCCTGCACCCGCCAAGAAATCCGGCAACTGAAGACGATGATTGCCATCTCGTCACTATCGCTGTGTTTCGTCGCCCTTCCGAATTGTTTGCTGATAGAGAACAGCTGGGGCCCGATTCAATTTTCCGACCTGGTCCAGGGTGAGTTAAACGGAGCTTATATTATTAAATTACATGACATTACAATCCGTTGAGGCTATAATTTCATCAATCGGGCTAAAAAGTTCATTGTAGTCAAATCTCAGCCTAAAACGCGCTTTTGGACCCCCAGAAAGAAAGTTGAAGGGATCCGGCAGGATTTCGAAAGTTCGATCGTCAAAATCTCTAGTCTAAAGTGCGCTACCTGGGGCCCTATAGTTGTTTTAAAGAGACGTAGAAGGCTGAAAACTGCGGGAAAATGAATTTTTAGTGGGAAAAAACCATATTAAACTTTGAGTTATCTAAATTACTCTATATTCACGTTTAGGTATCGCCTATTCTCTCTACGGCATCCAATCCGGCCTATATTTCTTTGTATTCCTCTTCTTCCGACCCGAGTTTCGTGCCAGCGCCAGACGGATATTAATGCTTCAAACAGCTACAACAGACACGAGTGCTCCAGCGACGAATGTTAATGGCGGAAAACCGTCTATCAAGGTTGGAAGCTTCTTGATCTCTGATAAAGCGTTTTGGCTTTAGGCTGTAATGCCGGTAATAATGTCATCAAGAAGACGGGTATCGCAAATTCCGGATTCTGTGCGACATTCCGTTTGTCATTCTTCCTCCGAAAAAGAGAGGAGGTCACATTAGTGTGTATTTGATAAAGATTTATTGAATTTTGCGTGAATCTGACGCCGAAAATTCTTGTATTTCTCTCTCTCTCTTCTCTCTCTCTCTCTCTCTCTCTCTCTCTCTCTCTCTCTCGCTCTTTCTTTCTCTCCCTGTGACGAAGGCAGCACAAGGTCCATTTTGCCCTATTTTTTAAAGATGAAGCAGCTTTCAACAGCTAGCCTGAATGACACTAATTAGCAAGGAAAACAATTTCTAGCAAAGGATTGAAAAACGAAAACAACAGATATCCGCAGCTAAAAGCCGGACCTCCATGATAATTGTCCAGAATTTGGTTCAAGCCAAGGCCATCTCCCCCCTTCCGTACTGATCCTTGCAACGATTACGTCTTACTCGCTCTCTCTTTTTTTTCTCTCTCTCTTCCTCTGACGCTTATCCGAAAGTTTACGACTCATTTTCGAATCGGAAGTCCGGGGCTGCGGCCAAACAAAGGGAGATTCCGATTAGGTCAGCTGATTAGTCAGGCTTCTAGGCGTAATGTTTAAGGAAACACAATTCGGATTTATTACTTTTTATTTGCACAATTTGGTTAAAGCTGAACTTCGCTTTGAAGGACGTGACATTTCCATGCCCACCCCCCCCCCCATCCATTCAAGCTTTTTTGTAGACGCCTAGCTTTCGAGGAACGCCTCCGGCCGCCTTGCAACATTTCAAGGGTACTTCCGGGGAACTTTTGCTACCTGTGGGAAAACTGGAGGAGTTTGGGAGGTTTTGTAAATAGTGGTCTGCTGCTTTTTTGGGTTACAAGTTTTTAGATAGTTTAAAATATAAGTTTTTTTTATAGCCACGTCCACTTTTGCCTCTACAAGCGCTGAGAAACGCAACAGAACACCGAGAAATTTGTATGTAAATTGAAAGCGGGCCGCCTAACTTTAAATTAGTGGTTTCAAAGGTTCAGGTACCTCAAACATAATTTTTAGCCACTGTGACGATAGCTCTCAACTAGGAAAAGCCACTCGAAGTTTGCATACGTTTTCTTTTACGCTAAAAATGGCATACTTAAGGCACTTGACTCCATTTAACGTGACAAGCTTCAAAAACATCGTCTCGAAACCGAGAAACATGCAAATGATCGCCACCAACAATCAAAGGGGTTGATCCGCCCGAGGAATGCGAAGGCCCACAAGGCTGACCCCTATGCGGATTACACCCCAACGCGTGAAAAGAGGTTGAGTCTTTGTGTGTGTGAGTGTGTATGTCTGTGTCTGTGGTTTGACGGGCCGATCGGTGTCATTTGGAAAATATGTGCCCAGATCCGGGCCGCTGGCCGGTGGTCATTCAAAAATCGGACGGACTGTTGGCTTTTGGTTGTTTTCCGGCAGCATTTTAGCCAGTTCTTGCCAAATTTTGGCCATCTTGATGCTTCTGCCTTCTTATTTTCCCTTTCGCCAAACTGAAACTATGTCGTTTTTGAAAGTTAAATAATGCTTTAGGAAAAAATTTGATTTTCGTTAACCTCAGGTAAAGTTTTAGGTTTATGCTTTGGCTTAGGCTGATGCTGAGGCTTAGGCTTGGGCTTATGCTTAGGCTTGGGCTTAGACTTGGGCTTAGGCTTAGGCTCGGGCTTAGGCTTAGGCTTAGGTTAGACTAGGCTCAGGGCGTAGGCTTGGCTTAAGGTGGCTTGACTTTTGGCTTGGGCTTAAACTTGCATCTGCAAAAATCACTCTTTTTACATTTGTTGTTTTTATTTTTTGTACTTCCGGTGTAGCGTCATCCTTGCCTCCAATTTTGATGTATTTTCTCTCCGAGAATGCAAACATCGACATCCAGTTTCGTCATACCTACGTAATACAGTCCCCTCTCCAATCCATGATTCACAAAATCCTTGACCCAGCTACCTAAGGGAATCCATGACGCGGCCCTCCTCCTCAAGGAATATGCAAAAACCGGCGGCTGTTTCGGCCGGCCGGGGTGCTATGACTCACACCTAGCCACCGGCGGGGTGGTCACTCGAACAATCCCTCACCCACCCTACTCCCTTTCTAACGGCCAGCACATGCACTCATTTTCTCGTTTTCTGGTGCTCTCTCTCACTCACTCGCTCTCTCCAGGCCAGATTCTTTCTTCGCACCCCGGGCGCGCTCTCGAATTTTGAGGATTGTCGTAAGCTGACTCATTACCGTAGCCACAAATAGTGGGGGCCCGCCCTGAACTTTATTGCTTGTCGGTCCGCTCAGGTGGTCATTTTTGAGTGAGGGGCCGATGGGTCGTTATTTTTAGGGCTCGCGGGTCTGACGGAAGAATTTTCGAGCTTCTCAGTTGAATTATTCCTTCCGATACGTTTCGCTGTAAGGAGTAGTGTTGCGTAAGGTATGAACTTGTCTCTCTCTGTCCCTTAATCCTCTCTCTCGCTCTGTAGCTCCCTCTACAGCTCCCGATCCCACGCGCGCCTCTCGCCCTCGCTCTCGCTCATTCCCTCGCGCGCTCTCTCTCACTCCCTCTATCTCGCTCTTTCTCCCCCTCTCTCTCTCTCTCTTTATATCTCTCTCGCGCTCTTATTCTTTTGCATCCATCTACTCTTCTGAATTTTCAAGTTTCAAGGCCGACTTTTACACGACCAGACAATTTTCGGATCCAATCTGAACCCCATTAAAACCTCACGCGCCTTTCCGGCATCGCCCAAATCCGTGCTTTTCGAAAAAACCAAACCCTTCCGTCTCGCGGCCTGGCTCGTCATTGAGATGCGATTCCCTTGAAGACGACGTCCCATGACTAACGACCCCCAGGACGAATTGGGTATTATGTCGTCTTTGGACTGGCTGGGGGGAAGGATGGTCGCCATCTCGCCAATTTCGACTCGGATATTTGGGCGGCCATGACTGCTATTCTTAGAGATGGGCTGGGTTGCTCCTTTATCTGCGTTTCAAAAAGGCGGTGTGGCAAGGGAGTGTTTCGTTATTTTTGGGCTTCGGCTCAGTTTCGGCTTCGGCTTAGGATTAAGCTTAGGCCTAGGCTTAGACTTGGTCATGGGCTTTGCTTAGACTTTCCTTGGGTTTATGCCTAGGCTATATTTACTGCCTGTACTTACTTAGGCTTAGGCTTGTACTCAGGTATAGGCTTAGACTTAGGCTTAGGCTTAGGCCTAGACTAAGGCTTAGGCTTGCGCTTATGCTTGGGCTTATGCTTAGGCTTAGGTTTATGTTTAGGCTTAGGTGTTAGATTTAGGCTCAGACTCAATTTTGGATTAGGCTTAGACTTAGGCTTGAGTAGCCTGATTAGCATGAATCTAATTTGTTCACGTTTTTTTCAATTTTCCTTTGGGTGTCGTTTTCCATTCTGATCTTTGCCTTTCCGAGCAACAGTCCCCATCAAACTTCTGATTTCCCCTCCCTTCCTAATCCCAGCCTTGCAAAACTCGCAGAAAAATCCAAGAAACTCTCGAAAACAAAGTTCTTAGGTCCTCTGCCCTTCCGCTGCAGAACCGAATTCATAATCCGGATTGCTTTTTTGTGTGGCGTCGGCCAGTTGCGTCTGCCCACGTAGAGCCTATTCCGCTTTTTTGTTGCATCTCGGAGTGCCGTCTTCCCCCGACTTTCCCTCCGTCCTTATCTTCTTCTACTCCTCCCCTCCCTGTCATATAGGAGGCGTTCGTTGAAATGTTGTTGGCACCTTGAAATGGTCATTTTAAGGGGCAAGCCGAAGACGACACTGCGAAGTGATGTCGTCGGGCTGCACAATTTTGCTGTTGGCGCTCTGCAGCGCGGCGGTGATGGCCATGCATCGGCATAACCATATTCGGGTAAGTCGCTTTTTGAGCTATTTTTGCGATTTTTTTGGCTACATTATTCGCAAAGCGTTATGAGGGCCCTTCCGTAGACTTGACATTTTTGTCTTTTGTCCTCTTATTTTCTTTTCTATTTTGCTTCAAGTTTTTTCGTCATTTAGCGCTACGTGGATTTTTCTAGTCCCAGCCTGCTTCGCTTTTTGTAGTATTCTCTCATAATTCTACACTACAGTGACCAGAGCAGCATATTGAAACCGTTACTAAGCATATTCTAACGTATTTTCCTAGTTTTCGATAAAAAAAACACAATTTAGAATTTACACAGATTTTTTGCTACAGTAACCCACACGGCAACTTAAAACGGCTCGTATATAATAGTGCAGCGTAATTTCGCAGATTCTTACATCTATTTGTCATGTTTCGCTACCGTAATTTAGGTGCACTTTGGAAATGCGGCCTGAGTTAGGCTTATTCTACTCTTATTTTCCCTTTTGATCCAATATTTTATTCCCTAGTATACGTCACAACCATATGTAGTATCACGAAGATGAATTTTTGGGCTTATATTTCCGTTTGTCTTACGACAGAATTTGGCACACCGATATCCCACCCCTCTAATCCGTCCGCAACTTTCCTCTAGATCATAGCCAATCCCCCAAAAATTGCCCTCCAAGTTTTTGCCCATTCTCACTCCAGAATAGACGTGCAAAACCAAGGGAACGCCTTTCTCACAGACCAAATGTTTGCCGCTTTTTGCATTTCTCCATTTCTTCTCCATTTTGGGGTCCTGCAACGAAAAGGGCCCATGAAAGGGCCACGCCCCATCCATTATTACCAGCAATCCAGGATGACCCCGGGGAGGAGAGCAGTCCGAAAAGGCGCGAAATAAAAAAGGAGGGCTCGGGGAACGGGGAGGAGAAGGTGTCTGGGGCTCATTCTCGAATTTCCCACGGCTTCGTCAAGTGGTTGGTGCTTTTGGACGGGTGGCCCAGATTCTTGAGATGCGGCTCCTATTTACGGCTATAATTTCGTCGATGCCTTGCTGGGCGGGGGCGAAGAATGGGATTACTGTAAGTGGCGTGGCGGTATAAGAAGATATTTAAAGTTTTGATGACATAATCGCACCGTTTAATCATAAAATTCGGCGAACTAAATTTTGACATTTAGCTTATACCCACACTGAAATTCCGTTTTTAAAGGGGATGGGAAGACGAAATTTTGGGCTGCGGTTTTAAGCGCCTAATCGAATGGTGTTAATCTGGATTTACTTTTATTTTTGAACTTAGAAATTTTCGATTAGTACGCTTGCGAAACGTGACAGTGAAAGCAAATTCTGAGCCTATGTCTATTGTTAAAACGTCCACTGAATTTTTTAAACCTAGGTCACCAACCAGTATGAAATAGGTACTTTCAAAACGCTCAGAAACCAGCTTATGTTGCTTCCCATCAAAAATTACCGGTCTGCCAGTAGTGTGAAAATCATCGGCATAAAAATGTAGCAAAAACCTCTCCTTTTCGTCCCAATTTTCGAAAATCGTCAACCTGCTCCCCTACCCATGTCAAAACATGTGCTGACACAAGTTCCGGTACACAATGCGGTTGGTTGTAGGACATAAAGATAAGACCCTCCACTACGCAGCTGACTCCAGACGTCAGTAATTTTATAGCAAAGACGAAATTGACGGGGGACGAAGTAGAAATCATAGCGAACCATCGATTCAACCTTATATTTCAGATAGACCTGACAACCGCTGATTGTCTGTATGCTGACACCACCGAGCCGATCTCCATCCAGTTCTTCGTGCTCGAAGGCCGGGAGGTGATCGAGAAGTCCGAGAAGTTCCACCTGACGAACAAGGGAGATTTGATGGAACGGGCAAAGACGCGCACTTTCCATATTCACAAGAGTTCCGGGTATTGTCGTGAGGTGAGTACGGAGCAAGCGTCGGTTCAACCACCTAAGCCTAAGCCCAAGCCTGAACTAAACGAAGCCCACTAATTCCAGAAGAAGCTCTGCTCCGAGCTCTCCTTCGTCGGACTATTCGTTGGAGACCGTGAGAGCAAGGAGATGGAATTCGACACCTGGAATGCCAACAATATCTCAGTGGCTTTCCACTTTGATCATCAGAAGCATGAGTAAGTTGGAAATGGCTCAAAAATATTCAAAAATTATTTAGTATAATGTTAATTAACTTACTCATTTACACGTTTAGGTACAACTTCGACTTCAGCACCGACGGGGAATGCGTGCGTCCACTCCACTTCTGGTCTCCGGAATTCTGGCACAGGTGAAACACGATTTTTCTCTTTCTCTGTCTCTCTCTACTCTCTCTTTCTCTTTCTCTCTCTCTCTCTCTCTCTCTCTCTCTCTCTCTATCCCTCTAACTCCCTCTTTCAGATACGGCCCGGAACAAGAATTCGAAGAACGTTCCGACGAGTACGCCCTCGGCGACAAGGTCTTCAACCCGACCTACATCTTTTTCTGAGCTGGATTTTCCGCGTCTCAGCTTTTGCTAGCTTTTGCAGAAGCGGCTTGGTATCCTGGCTTTAACCTTAATAACTTTTTGCTAACTTTCTCTGCGCTCTCCACCAAATTCTAGTCATCGGCATCGGCTGTCTCTGTCTCCGCTAACTACGTGTACCCCACATCGGCACAATCTCTATCCCAATTCTCTCCCTGGCTTTGGTATCCTTTTTTAATGCTATGGTGCTACCCGAGGATAATAAATATGGTTGTTGGATTTTGTACTGACAATAGAAAGAGAAGGAGAGAGACAGAGACAGAGACAGAGACAGAGACGGAGACGGAGACAACAGGAGATGGCGTTAGAAAGTGAGAGAGAGCGAGGCGAGCGAGAGAGAGCGAGACGAGAGGGAGCGAGACGAGAGAGCGAGAGAGAGAGCGAGAGAGAGAAAGCGAGGGAGAGCGAGAGAGAGACAAAAAGAGAGACAAAGAGAGAGAGAGAGAGAGAGAGAGAGAGAGAGAGAGCGAGGGTTAGGGAAAACAGGAGCTCAAATTAGCATTTCCCAGCACCTAGTAAAAAACCCCAATCGGCCCACGTTGTGTCTTATCTTGATTTTACGCTGCTCGGCCGGGCCTGGCGAAAAAGGCGAGCAGAAAAAGCGCTGATTCAAATTTAGGCATCGGCGTGAGTTTTTCGTGCATTCAAATGTGTTCTTGATTCTCCTTTTATGACGTTAATTAACTATACTTTTCAAATGAAAGTTTTGGAAGTATTTAAAGCGTAGGCGTCGAAGCGTAACTTTTTGCGGCGTATGTGCTTAAAAATTATTCTGCGCGCGTACAAACTTAGTTTTATGCGTATCTTACGCATTCAGACCTTGCGGTTTACTACCACCCTGCAACTCGTCCAAATATTTGATTGATGGCTTTTTGGAACACTGCCCGAACCCCACTGGGCCAAGCTGCGAATGGGGGGAACCTCTTTGCAGCCGGTATCGCCCGAACAGCCGCCCCTCCAATCTCTCGTGATCACCCACAACCTCTGGGCCTCCGGACCTCGTTTTCCGCGTGCTCGTCGTGCAACTTGGCGAGCTTGTTGGCCTTGTAAGACTATCGTTAAACTTTGTTTCTCTTAAAAATTACTTCAAAAATCTTTGGGACCCTTCGCATGAGTTTTTACCGCTTTCGCCTTACGAAATTCTTTGTAATTTTGACTTTCTTGAATGAAAGAATTCTCGTTTTAATTTCATGGTATTTAAAAGGAAAGCTTAATTATGATATTCTTTCAGATCAATTCGCAAAATTCGTGGTTCCCAGGGCGGACTTTTTGATAACGGGCCGTCGACATCAACGGAGTGGCTGTGTAAAAAACATCAGCATACCGCTCCTCGACTCTTCATTCGAAATATATTTGTCGCTAACGTCTAGAGTGGGATGACGGAACCAACGGTAAGTCAAATATAAGCTTAGGCCCGTGTTAGAGACAATTTCACTTTGTCAATGGCACTTGTGTTACCTATGGCAAGCTAACCGAGACTTATTAGCTTTATTAATTAACCAAAGCATCGGCCTTATTAATTCAGAACTTTAAATAACTTTATTACCCCGTATTTTAGTACGCCACTGCCGGATATATCGTCCCGCCTCCACCTTGCGAGGGCTTTTTGTGCTATTATGAATGTAAGTTTTTCGATCCATATTGGTAATGATAATCGGGTTAGGCTTGAGCTTAGGCTTAGGCTTTGGCTTAGGCTTAACCGTAAGCGTAGCCCAAGGCTTTAGCTTTATAGCCATTGTCGATAAACCACGTTACCTGGGCTTTATTAGTAAGATCGATCAATCAATAATACTATCCTGCCGGACGTCTCTGACCAATCTTGGCGAAAAAATTGTCGGCTAGCGGGGCGCTCTCACCCGAAAACTGTTGTTATTTCCGCGGCAAAAGGCCATCCCCTCCTCGGCTTCTCATACATATAGGGCATCGATTTGCTAGTAGCTGACTGTGTCCTGCGAGTTTTGAGGAGTGTAAACCTGTATTTATGGATTCAGCTGGACAAGACTACTTTGCTTCGTCCGTCTTTTGGAAGCTGATCATCTCACTGTCGATAAGTGGGTTCTTGATAAAGTAGAGAGAGGGGTAGAGAGAGGGAGAGAGAGAGAGAGAGAGAAAGCAAGATAGAGAGGGGAAACTATCTATTATTTTTCAGTCTCCGGCATCATCCTAATAATTTGCATCGTCATGATCGTTACGAATTGCAAGCGGAAAAGCAAACCAACGAAGGTGGAGGTCGAGTAAGTATTTTTTTCCATTGTCTAAGTTTTTCCTCATCCTGCAGAATTACGGAGCGTACCGTTCGGCGCCATAAGCCGCGTGCATAAAGCTCAAAAACGTAGGCTTCACAGAAATTGCGCTGCACTCATTTTTGCTTCTAGAACGCTTTAGAAAAGCTACCTTGCTTTGCAATTGTCAGCTTTTAAGATATTTTCCGCTATTTTTTTCTGGCGGTAAAGAGACCTGTAAGGCCGGAAAAAGGGTTTTCTGAATTTTGGTGGTGATTCGTTTTTACAAAATTTTTTAGAGACGGCGTATAAGAGGTATGAATTACTAGATAAAGTATGTGTGTTGTCATATTTTTGAAATTTCCTGAAGCCTTCAAGCAGGGGTTTAAATGGACCTAGAAAAACTAAGTAAAAGTTAAAAGTTAAAGTTAAAAACATAAGTTAAAAACGATAATTTTGCAGTTTGCAAGCAACAATTTACCCAAAAGATCGCAGAAATAACCAATTTAAATTAATTAAAATTAGTGTAACTTCCAGACTCCCATTACCCTCTTAATCGCTTCCGCCTCTTTCCGCTTCCCCCACCGGAACCACAAACCATGCTAACGAGACATATTTAGTTCCCGACGACTGCTGTTGCCCCCTCCACCGGTTGGGCCTCCTCCGGCGAAAGTGTCCCCAATAATGGCTTCTTCTCTCCCTCCAAAGGCTGCTCCAGAGGAGGTCTCTTCCATTTAGATGCCCTCCTCTTCATTCTTTCCTTTGGCTGGTCCCCGCTAACCCACTTCCTCTTCAACTTTTTCTCATTTTCCTCGATTCTTTGTGTGGCTGCCTACGTGTCGGCGCTGTTTTTTGATGCGTATTGTGGTGAGGGGGTGTCTGGTGGGGTTTAGTTTTTCGACAACGGTTAAACATATGAAAAAGTGACTTTAGAGGACGTGATAAAGGATGAAACTTTCGATGAATGTGAATGGTATGATAAAGCTGGCTGGCTGGCTAAGGGTTGGGCTGACTTGAGGCATAGGCTTAGGCTTAGGCTTAGGCTTAGGCTTAGGCTTAGACTGAGGCTTAGGTTCAGGCCTAGGCTGAGGCTTAGGCTTAGGCTTGCGGCACTTTTTGCATTGCTTTCCTTTATTGAAAAAAACGATGCCACTCACACCCCTTCATTTCTCCGATCACGTCTAATCTTCGCGCTTTTTTCAATCGACCCATGAAGCTTTGATTTCCTTGCTACGAGTGTCTTTTCATTGTTTATCATATTCCTCATCATCGCCTCCTTCCTCTCTTGGTTCTTGAATGTACTTTGTATCTCTTCGGAATCCTACTTGTGCCCTCCTTTTTTGCTCATTCCCAAATTCTCGTCTATTTTTTGTGTGCCTATCTATTTCGCATACATAAATCATTGAAGTACACGTGTTTATATAGCCGAACACGCCACTCGCTTGTTATTTTTTCTGGCCCTTTCGAAAAAGGGGCAAAGGGTCCGTCCGTCTCAAATTTTCAAGCGGCATTAGGGGAGAAGGAGGGCGAGGGGGGGCCGTGAGTGGGCCAACGGCCAATTTTGGGCACTCGAGACGGCGCATTCTACTTTTGAATTTGTTTCAGCTATTTCGGCAGGGGTCCTCGAGTTTTTATCTCATCGTTTTCACCAGATGCCAGCAAATATTATAAAGAATATGGTAACCTTAAAAATGTTCTTAGGTAGTCTTTCCTTTTCAAAAAAATTCAACCGCTTACCTGAAACCGAAAAGCAGCGGTCCCCCGGTGCATTTCGGGGCTTTCGGGCCATCTATTACCTCGGCCCCGGGGGGAGCCATAGTCGGCTTCTCCCTCCTAGACGACCCTATTTTATTCCTGTTCCGCTGCGTTCCCTTTTGCTAGTCTAAATTTGTCGATCATGGCCTAAATAAGCTAGCTTCTTGAAAAAACCGCTTCTCTCACTCATGAAAACAGAGGAAAATTCTGTCGAGGGTCTGGCTTAGGCTTAGGCTTAGGCTTAGGCTTAGGCTTAGGCTTAGGCTTAGGCTTAGGCTTAGGCTTAGGCTTAGGCTTAGGCTTAGGCTTAGGCTCAGGCTTAGGCTTAGGCTTAGGCTTAGGCTTAGGCTTAGGCTTAGGCTTAGGCTTAGGCTTAGGCTTAGGCTTAGGCTTAGGCTTAGGCCTAGGCTTAGGCTTAGGCTTAGGCTTAGGCTTAGGCTTAGGCTTAGGCTTAGGCTTAGGCTTAGGCTTAGGCTTAGGCTTAGGCTTAGGCTTAGGCTTAGGCTTAGGCTTAGGCTTAGGCTTAGGCTTAGGCTTAGGCTTAGGCTTGGGAGGGAGCATTAGAAATTTCTTTTTTTTATGTCTGATGAGTGGTCCAGGCGAGTGGCGAGTGGGCCGCAAGGACGACACCCTGAAATTCCTCTAAAAGGTCACCCCCAAAAAAGATTGAGTGCATTTCTCCCCAGTCCCGTCATTGAAAATCCATTTTAAACTGGTCGGGCGACCGGAATTTCCGTTGGTTGGTCTCTCCAGATATCTAATGGATGGCTCGGATGGGGCGGCTTTCGTCAATTACGACCCACCGGCGGCTAGCCATACGCCCCAGGCCTTTGCGGGCTTTTTGTTTGATTGGAATTGGAGGCATGGGGAGTGCAGAAGTTCTGGAGACCATTTTGGACCCGGGGTCATTCTTATTTACTTCCGGTTGGGACTGGTATGGCTCAAATTGGAGGTAAAACTTGATCGTAGTAAGGTGGAGGTGGCAAAATGACTTTTAGCGTGACAATCAACCCTGGTAGAGCACGTTAAAGTCGGTTTCCGCTCTGTTTGTGGTGGGTATTAAAGGGAGGGTGACAGCACACCAATTGCTACTTTTTTGCTTGCTTGCCTAGACTAAATTGTTTTTCCGGTTGCAGGTCTGGAGCCCTAAACAATAGCCCTTTTCTTGTCGTGATTCAGCCAAATGGAAGTTATGTTTTGCGGTATAGCTTGTATTCTGGATTATCTCAACCTTCTAGAGCCAGCAAAAGTTGAAAAAGACTTGTAATAACTATTATTTAGGTAGCTGATATTCAGCTCCAACAAAACGGCTACTTTACTACGTCCATGTTGTTGCAATCCAAATTTTAAGCGGAAGCCTGCCCCAAGTCTAAGCCTGAGTCGAAGCCTAAGCCTAAGCCAAACCGGGGACCACTCCTAAGCCTAACCCTAAGCCCAGAACTGATCTTCAGCAATTTTCCACGATTTTTGACCCATCAACCCACCCCAGCCGTGACTTGATTAATGGGCCAAACCCAGACATTCTTTTCAGGGTCCAAAAGGACAACGCCAAGGAGGGTTTAGTGTCTAAAGGATCGGCACTTTCGCAGAGAAAAGCGCTTACCCCCAAATTTTGAGCGTCGAATGAACACGGGCGTCAGCTGGTGGGGGCCCACCACCACTCCACGGGCTCAACGAGACTCTTTTCGCATTTTGTCGTCGTCGTCGGCCTCGGCCCGGGGCTTGGCCATAGGTTTTTCGGTCTATTGAGCCCCGCCACACCTCCAGCGGCGTTTTTTGTCGACTAGGTGAAAGACCAGTATTGATAAAAAAGAATGAGCTAACTACTTTTTTAGGTTAATCCTTGAGTATATTAACAAGCCTTCAAATTTCTTTCAATACTGCATTAAAGGGCTAGTTCAGCGAATAAAGTAAAAGAATTTCCGCGGCCAGGAGTCGACCATCTCCGCGTTTTTGTGTCTGCGCCTCTCTAATTTCGCCGCTATCTAATAGCTGTCGTAATGATGGACTGTTCAGGCGCGGTATGGCTATGTACATAGTTTCCCAAGGTACCAGCCCAAGCTCTAAAAGTTGAACTAGCCCTTTAAGGCCTAGAACTAGCTGAATAATGCAATTATTAATTGAGTACAACGTTTAATGGGGGTCCTGTTGCATGTGTTTTTGTCAATTATTCGGCCTCTAATTCCTTTAAAATCAGATACAATTTCTCTAATCGGTTCTGAAGTTATTACTACTTAGTTTGGCTATGGAAACTTAGGATGTTTCAAGATTTCGAGTTGGCCGCGACACGCAACGCGACAGCTGCCGTAATCGATTACGCTATGAAAAGAAAGTGTCGCGGAAACCACCTCATATATCCCTGCAAAGAAATTGGTAGCCATACGTTGCGCCGGAAAGGCTTAAATTTGCTTTAATTCAAATTGTTAATTTGATTGTCTAACCTTTCGGCCGAATCGATACCCTAAACTTGGTTTCTATCATGATAAATCGGAAAAATTGCTCGTTTCTGTATCTGAGATTCGTAGTACGACCCAATTAAATCTTTTCTACCTGATAGCAGATTCTACTTCCCCTCCGTAGCTAAGGTCCAGTGTAATCTAGTGCTGTAATCCGTTCAATAATTTTTTTGAAACAAACCGTACTTTGCAAATACCCAATTCCTCCTCCTTGGCTTTCCGCATCGATGAAGCCGAGGTTTTCCCCCGGCTTCACCCCCTTGGCGGCGTTGCACCCCCCAGTTACCTCACCCGCTTCAGTTAACATCCTAAAAAGTGACTCGAAATCCCGGCGGCTACCCTGCTGAGCGGCCCGGGGAAATGCTCGGAATGAACGTTTCCGGGGGGTTGCGCGATTTTTGCTTCGTCGTCGCACTTTGCGTATGATTTGGGAGATTATGCTCATTTTGGGGTGGGATGAAGAATTTAGAAGATCTAAAAATATCGAATTTTGGTTGTCTCACTCTCCCTCCTCTCTCCCTCTCGCTTAAAATAACACCAACAAGTTTACGTATTTTTAAAATAAGCGCGCCATATTTGTCTAAATTTAGTAAACTTTTTCTACTTCCCAAAACACACAAAAGCAGCGCCGAACTGCTGTAAAGTCAGCCCAGGAACCCGATGTGACGATTTGATTTTATAGGCCCCTGGGCCACTTGCGTCCCGGAACTTTTCTTTTCGGGTGCATGGGGTGCATCCGGCGGCTGCTGGCAGCTATTATCATTTTTTGTTCTCTCTCTCTCTCTCTCTCTCTGTCTCTCTCTCGCTCTCTCTCTCTCGCTCTATTTTTATTGTTTTCTTTTCCACGTGCAGAAGAAAGAGAAATTACTCGCTCCATCCAACAGGTGAAATCCACGCCAGATGTACCCGGGACGGTGACCAACACCTTAATGGATCCGGTGTTTGCCGTCTGTCTGCTTGGCCTCTGGATTGTGACAGTTTTTGCGGGTAAGGAATTCTTGGTTTAATTTGAATATTACCTTGCGGTAGTACGATAGATACCTATATTTTCTCTTACTTAGGACAAAAACCGGTCGAGTATGACATCTCGGAGTATATTTTGCGGAACTACAACTCCGACTTGATCCCCAGAAAAACGCATAACTCGACGGTCAACGTTCAGATGAGCATGCAACTGTATCAAATTGTTGAAGTGGTACGTTAATTTATATATAGCTTTAAGCATGTTTTTAGAACGAGCCTCAACAATACATGCTGCTCAATTCCTGGGTGATCGAGGTATCGGATTATTACTTTTTAAAGGTTACCCTCAAACTTTAGCGATGGACAGACCACATGCTCGATTGGGACCCGGGTCGCTTCGAGAATGTATCTGAAATTATGATACCTCACCATAAGCTCTGGTTACCTGATACAACATTGTATAATTCGTAAGTTACGTACTCGAGGTACGTACCAGATGTTTAGACTAACCATGAACCACGCGGAGACGAAACGGCTTATGAATGTGCAGCTGACGACCACGAATGGCAGTGGAGCAAATGTCAAGTTTTTGTACCCGACGATGTACAAGTTCAGCTGTAACTTGAACGTCAAGTAAGTGAAGGAGAGGGAAAGAGAGAGAGAGAGAAATAGGGATAAGAATACCAAAACTATTCAATAAACCATTTCAGAGCTTTCCCCTTCGACGTCCAAGAGTGTAGAATGATCCTCGGGAGCTGGACTTTTGACAACACCTACATCGACTATTTCCCGAGAAAACCATTCGTTGGAACAGCAAATTTTCTGAAGAATGAGGAATGGGAAGTGTTAGGAACTTTTGGTAAGTCTGAATTACAAGATTAACCTAAATCGCTTTTCTAGGCTATCGCGAGGAAGTCAAATATTCTTGCTGCCCAAATAACTACACCTTACTCCACTATATGATCCACATTCGAAGAAAACCGCTCTACTACGTGGTGAATCTGATTATACCAACTGGTGTGATCACCCTCATCTCGATCGTTGGATTCTTTACCTCGTCGTCGATTAACGATATTCGGGAAGAGAAGATTACTCTGGGGATCACCACTCTTTTGTCGATGTCTATTCTAATTTTAATGGTATCAGATAAAATGCCGTCGACCTCTTCGTTTATCCCATTGATAGGTAGGCTTTTAAAAAGGTACCGCTCGATACCAATGGATATAAAGAAACGCTACACATTGAAAAAAAAATCGTAAAACAAGCAATTTTCAGGCTGGTTCTATACCTTCATGATCGGGTTAATCTCTACAGCTACACTCGGCTCTTCGATGGTCATCTACGTACAGAAAAAGGCATGACCGGACCTGAAACAAAGATTTTCTCTTTTCTAGGGCTTAAGCGGAAACTCCCCTTCAAAATGGTGGGCCAAGTGGTCAAGGCGGATTGGCAAGCTGCTCTGGGTCGAGATGCCCCTCGTCATGAAAGAGGCTTATGCTAGAAAGGCGGCCGTGAGTGGTGCGTTGCCAAAAAAAACAACTCTTTTAGGAGGATCGTCAGAAAAACGGATATGGTCCTCGGAAGCAGAGCGTTTGGCAGAAGATCATGACTAGGTGGGTCTCATTGTAACACATGACCGAAAAAAAAAAATAATCTAGAGCCTCTTCCTCTTCAAAACTCGCGGTGAACAATCGGAATAGTCCTTCCGGTTCGATAGCGGAGAGCTTATTGCAGGATAATAAGGATTCGAAGAGTTGTAAGTCATTCAATGAGGCTTCTGCTTTTGTCTCTGAGTAAGCAGGTTAAAGCTTTCGACAAGCAGGAGGTGAAAGTATCAGAACGTTTTAGTAATGGATTTGAGCACCGTCAGTTGTCCGGACTACAATAATTACGCCATGGATAGTCCGAGAAGAAGAATTCTCGATCCGTTGAGACGACCTGCGCCAACTCTCAAAGTTCCTAGAGAAGATGAGAACGAGACAATGATGATACCACCACTACCTTTGGAAGGACGTAAGTTCCAAGAAGCCTTACTTACTTTACTATTATTCTCGATCTATGAAACAATATAATTTATGTTTTAGTAGTCAGCTCTCGCTCCATCGAAACCCGAAACATCGGTCAATTGGAATACGACTACTTGGCGGCCGTTGTCGAGCGGGTTCTCCTACTTGTCTTTGGTTTCCTCTTCCTGATCATGAGTTTTGGTATTAATCTTATTGGCTGGTACTTCTGGTATATGCACGGCTTTGGGTACGACTTTTACAAGATCGACACCACTGAAGGCTCATAATTTCTATTTTTCGAGTTTTTGCTTTTACTTTGGAAGTTCGGGAGAATTCGGGTTTTTTACTATGCAATTGAAAGCAAAACGCTTAAAATTTGCCCTAATTATCCCGAACTATATTCCCTTTCCTTTCCGGTTCTTCCTCCCTGTGCCATCTGATACTTACGGGTTGCCTGAACAAGATTTGATCACAATTCCTAACAACTCTAGGAACACCAATCAGATCTCGTCCGTTTTTGATGTTGAATAAAGCTTTTGTGATATATTTTTGATGTATACACATCAGTAAAACAAAGTTTTACATTAAACTAACTTAAAAAGTTAGTACGGGTCAGCCTGGGTCCCGTGGCGATACTCTGAACATGGTAACCCTGCGCCCCTTTGGCCCTCTCCCTGCTCCACTCTCATTAGGCCATCTAATCTACCACTGCCTCTAAAATATTTCCTTTTTTAAAATGTCTAATGAAGCGGATTATGACATGTGTATTACTACCGACTTAACCATTGAAATTGATGAGCCAACTACCACAATTGTTGAAAGTTTTGAGGCGGTTTGTCGTGTTTTTTGGTACCGAAATTTCAAATTGAAACTTTAGATATCAGTTGGCAAGACACTACCCAAGATAGGCCCTCCAAAAAGTAGAGACGAAGCCCTTGCTCTATGTAAAATTGGTGAAGATGTGGTGATGGATGATTTGCCGAAGAATATGAAGTGGGTTTTCACTGCTCCTACCCAAAATAACAAATTTTTCAGGGAAGATCTTTGCTCCCATCTTAATCTACCCTCATATGGGACTAGTTTACGTAATTGGGAAACTGTTGCCGCAAAGTTGGGAGGGAATTTGGATTTTATAATGGTAAGGCTAGACCGGAAATCGCTTGACTTTAAGTTTCATCTTAGGGCCTTCGCGCGCTCAAAGATCCGACTTTGGAGCTGATCACACGCTACAGAAACTTTAAAGTGAATGTGTTCTTGGAGGCTGTCGCTGCTGCAGGGAGGATAGATACACTGGTTTCTATGAGAAAATATGCCAAACTTGCCATTCGACACGTTCAGCGGCCGTACCAGAACTTTCGTGAGTATTTGTCTGATTTTTGGCGTACTTCCCTTTAGAACCTACCTACAGCGGAGCGCCAACAGATTCAGCATGTAGTACGATGAGCTTTTATCCGGATTCATGTGGTGTGTGTTTTTTTTAAGAAGCGGAACCCATAGCTTACGAGTTTGCACTTGATTAACGATATTTTTAGTAATCCTCGTCACACATTACGAGGAAAGAAAACAATGGAACGTCGGGAATACAAAAAATTTATTCTAAACCTGAGGGACCGCTTAAATAAACTGTCTGGGGTAGAAATCGTCGACCTGGCCGACGTTGATACCTCAGAAAACTTCTCCTCTTCGATCAGTACTGTTTTTCAACGCGTAAGCTCTTCTGGCAGATAGCTATGCTCTTTTTCAGGCCAGACATATCATCGTTTGCTTAAATCAAACGTATTGTCGTTTATTGAGTGGCATGGATGTTGCAAGAGATGATTATGGGAGGGTGGGGTTAGTCATCAGACATAATGTTGAATTTAGGCTGTCCAGGCACTACACGAACTGACGAACAACGAATATACCAACAACGGCTCAAGGAATCGACGGTTTCGCCCTTTGATCATGGAGGTAGTACTTACGTTTCTTGTCTAGACAATATTTTTATGTTAGGAAATGGACCTCAAATCCTTGCCGATCGGTTGGATAACCGCTACCACCCATTTCCGGTGGGCGGATGATTTTATGAAGCTCGTTGATCGAGTGTCGCCGAAGGATCTACCTCTACAGACAATGTGATCAGAAAAAAATATGAAGGGTTTTAATATGTTGTATATTTTACCATTACGGGTCTCACATTGTGCTATGAAAAAATAATCAGGATAAAGATGCTATCTTTCTCTCTGAAGACATACCGTAAAAGCTCAACTAACGTTAACACATGTAAGGAGTATGATGTGTAGCTTCTCACCACGACATCAGGCTTCTAAAGCGCCTTTCCCTCAAAACGAACACCCCCTCTTTCCCACCATCCCTCATCCATTCACCGGTCAGCTTGACGAGCCCGTGAGCCGTCGGAATCCGCGAGGGGCTGTTTGTGCGAGCTCTCGAGGTGCCGTCTTCCGGACCATGTCCAGCCCGCCCTCGCACATTTCCGCTTTAGACGCGTTTTAGGGATGTATTAGTGGCTTTAGGAAACGTAGCCTTTGACACGTTAGCTCACTGTATCAATTTGTTAGGTTATTGTTAGAAAAAGTGGTTTTGTGGCTTATACTCTTTGAAAGAGTTGTGAAACTTTGCTATAGTTCTGTCGGAAGATCTCGAGAGTGTGCAAAAGCACGAGCGGAACATTTATAAATCTGTAAAGCTGAAGCTACCCGGATTTCTCACCGCCACTCCCAACTTTGGCGAGTCCCGGTGGTGGTCCTGTGGATCCACCCAGAACAATAGGGTCGTCCGCTGCATATTTGCTAGTCATTTAGCCCCCTCCCATCGGGTGGGCCCCCTACGGGCTCGTCCAGCACAAACAATCCCTAATAACTTCTTCCTCGTCGTCCAAGGGCCGTCTTCCAAGTTTGGAAACAAATTTCTTTTCAAAATGTTCCGTTTTTCCTACGCTCGCTTTTGGGCATAAAAGTAGCACAATTTTCTGCCAAAATCTCGATCATTTTGCATTTTTTGCGCTTCACAAGACTTGATTCTGGTTCGTTAGCGGGGGAAGGGGGCGTTTATCGATTGTATATGTTTTGATTCTATATTCACTAACGTTAACAGAGTGTCGAAAAATATCAAAAATTTATGTTCAATATATTTTCGAGCTAGAATTAAAATTCTTAGTATAATTTTTGATGCTCTTGCGAATCGCGATGATGTAGTCCCCAAAAAACAATGAAATATTGAAACATTTACTACATTAGGCTCCCCTGCTAAAAAACCAGAACCCATTTCGATTGTTCCGCTTTTTCCTATGCATAAAACTTTCTAAACCCACGTTTCGATTAGCCAAAAATGTTTCCTCTTTTTTTCGTGCCTCCTAACCCCCAGTTATCGCCCCGGAATATCCGCCCTATCAGCCCCTCACATCGATTTCATGCCAAAAACGGCTGGGTGCGGCTGTTTTTGGTGAACTCGGGCTGCACCGAGTCATCAATCGTATTTTATCAAATTTATCGTAAAGCCCCACCCTCCAGCAAAAATAGCTGTTTTCGTCTAGCAATGCAAATACTGCTGTTTATTTGCCAATGCATCATATAATTCCCCCAATTCAGGCCATTGAATGGAGGCCGCAAAACTAAAGCCCGAGGTCGGCCCGCCGATAGTTTTACTTCTTGGACGAAAGATGCAGAATGAGGAGACGGTTTTTGGCGCTGTTAAGGTACCACTTTCTAATACAGACTCAAAGATAATTTTTTTTACCTTAGAAAGGCCGGAAAGAACATCGAAAAACTATCATTCTTCTTGGGACAAAAGGCAGCGGCCGTTCTTCGCTAGTAAATAGCGTTGCTAACTATTTATACAAAATTGGAGCTCATTCCCAATATCGTTTGTATGTTGCGGGCAAGGAAAAGCAGTCAAAAGGTAATTTTTTAGAGGTATCTTATTACTCGTGGGTTTTAGCGGAATATTTATCAGCTCTGATAATGGAACCTACAACCTCTGTACATACTTACTTATTTCACGGCACTAGAGTACCTTCATCACTTGCTATTATTGATACACCACCACTTGGGGAGCGCATTAAAGGTATCGATATGTACTTTTTGTGAAAACCGAAAAACTAGGCCAAAAAGAGACGGCATGCCAGAAAATAAAGCGCTGGTATACGACTAGCTATGATCATCCGTGTAAGGATATTGAGGTAAGTCTAGAAAAATAATGATAATTGGGAAACTGAATACCGCATTAAAAAATAATTATAATGCGATTCAAGAGCGGTCGATAGACTAAAAGTACCGTTTAGATCTGGCTAGTAATCTCCGCGCAACAACCAGGCGTTACCAAAGAATTTATGCTAGATTTGAAAGAGCTGCTGGAAGATTTGGATGCAGTACATATTAAGGTATGCTTTCTATAAAAAGCTATAAGCTACCGATTTTGGATTTTAGGTTACACCAGTTATCACATTTTCTAAAAATCGCAAACCTGTCCTTGCCATGAAAGCGCTGGATGTATTGGGCTTCAATACCCAGGTATCTCAAGTAAGGAATGTCATGAGGATCGATTCTTAGCTCGAAAATCTCGACTATTTCATGGTGAATAACGAATCTGTAGTTCCGCTTGGCATTTTGCCCCAAACAAATGCTCTACCGATCAAGGAATCGCTGCGGAATTTGAGGGCCTTGCTGATTAACGCGACTGAGCCAATTGTGCATATTTTGGGGTGAGCATGAGAGCATTTTGAGTAACTTCTCTATCATTACTTTTTTAGAACTGTTGAGCTTACAGCAGTAGAGGAGAAGGAAAACGAGAAAAGCGTTGACAAGGAGGTCAACAATAATGGAGATGCGAAAAATCATAATTTGCCGGTGGGTGTTATCGCTTCTGTATTCAAATTCTCGTGAAAACTAATCCTAGTTTTTCCACTAATGCGCCGATAACATATCGGTCCAAAATGTCCGTTTGTCAAAAATCATGTTCTACAGTTCTGTTTTTTTTTTGAATGCTGTTGGCGGCTTTTTTGATGAAAACCAGGGTAAGAGTTTACTTTACCCCCCCCACAGCCGAAGGGTCTCAAAGTTGTCGGTATTTTCGCTTATTTTGTCGGGGTTTTCGCAATGCCATTCGATAGAGCGTCGAAAAATATACTAAGAGTTTTAATTTGAGCCTACAATAATGTAAAATAAAAAAGTTATAGCCAAAAACTTCCGGCTGGGGGGTAAAGTAAACCGTAGCCAAAACCAGCCGTCTAACCTTTCTCCATTGATATTTTTAACCTTAAACGTTTTTAGCAACAACTCCAGCTCGGCCTGAAGACCCAAACTGTCGAAGATCATATCTACGCAACGCCAAAGAAAGCCAGAAGCCCCACAAATGTCACCAGATACCCAGTGAAGCCATCTGCTCTTGGAAAGCTGCCAAAATCGAAGAGCTCTTCCCAAATTAACCTGATTTCAATTAGTCCCTACGAGACTGTCGTGTGATTTGGATAAATTTCTGCATCAACCATATATAGCATTTTTATTTCAAATTTGCACACATAGAGATCTCGAGAGGTAAAATAATTGGCGAAACTCACAAAAAGATGATTAAAACCATAGCAAGTTGAGGCACCTTCAGGGACGCGTAATGACAATTTGTAGGTATAGGAAAATTACAAAAAAGGAATAGGACGACTAGAAAACTATACAATGGACAAGTCTTGCAAATCCAACTTTATGGAGCAACCGGGGGGAAGGGGATATCGACAATAATATGTGTACTAATATTAAAAGGAGGATTTAGGCTTAAGCTTAGGCTTAGGCATAGGCTTAGACTTAGGCTTAGGCTTCGGCGTAGGCTTGGGCTTAGCTTGGACTTAGGCTTAGGCGGCTTAGGCCTAAAGCTTAGGCTTATGCTTATTCTTGACTAGAGAAAGGTTCTATTAAGCAACATTACATCACCACGTGAACCGTTTGTTAATTAATCGGGAAAAGACTTTGTTCTCGGGTTCGTAGAAACGGTGCAGCTTCTCGATGACCTATAATTTGACATAAGAATGAATCTGAATAAATTTCTATACCTTTCTGTCAACTTCGGGATGCTTTCTGCCCTTGCTCTTCCCCAGGCAATGAAGCGTCTTGTCATTCCTCAGCACGCATGGGAAACCCTTTTGCGGGTCTACGGCAAAGTCGGTTTTATGGACTACTTAAGGAAGCTTATTTTTGAAGCCTCACAAGCTTTTCCCACCTGAATCCAAGCCCAAGAAGCGCTCAACGGCTGCCACTTCATGAGCAGGTTCCTGAATTAACTGCTCCCCGTCGACGAAGTGGATCTGCTCCAACGGGAAGTGGTTCAGCCAATGGCGGAGGTGCTTGTGGTAGACGCCTAGGCGGATGGCGCCCCAGCTCGAGTTGACACCTCGGGTTTTTACTAAATTTATGACTTGGATTTAATTTTCTAAAGCTGGGTGATACCTGTACAATTGGCCTTTAGCCAACCCGTGCAATCGCCGACTGCTAGCCGTTCAAAGCTCGGCATCTGGCCTAGGCGCTTCTTTTTGAGGGAGGCTTGGGTGTAGTCTAAAAGGATAATGTTTTTTTTCGAGGGATCGGTAATGCTAGCGGATGAACGGGAGCAAAATGAAAGGCATCCAACTACCTGAAATTGCTCGCGTAACTGGATCCCTGACAACGACGATCAACTTCATTTTCGGGTTGATTTGACGTATCCGCTCTGGAGCCAGCTTGCTGACAAAGTAGGATGGACTCTTTTCGATCGTCACGTCATTGTCGGTGGTTTCCGGCATTTGATTTCTGAAATTAAGGGGTTAGAATTTGGTTTCACGTATAAGGCCTTTCTTGAGTTTTAGAAATAACCAGGGTTGTTCACCGACGGACCCGGATCGGTAAGGATCCGGATCGGATCTGGATCCGGATCCGGATCGGATCCGCAGTAGGATCCGGATCCAGATCCAGATCCGGATCCACTCGGATCCGGATCCAATGCGGATCCGAGGAAAAAAGGGACCGGAAGTAATATTCTCGATTCTGATGCTGATTCGGTCATGTTAATCGCAAAAATACATAGCCCAGAGGCAGAACTGATCTTTGCATCTAAGAATTAGCACTTAACTCGGTTGCATGATCCATTTCCTTGGATCCGGATCGGATCGGATCCGCCCTGGATCTGGATCCGGATCCGATCCAGATCCAGATCCGGATCCAGTCCGATCCGAAAATGACCAACCCTGGAAATAACTAAACTTTCTGCTTGTTTGCCTGCTCTCAAAAACTATCGAACCCCAAAAAGTCAACTAGCTAATCCCCCCTGCTGCCCCAACTTTACACCCCCCAACCAACACCTAGGTCAATCGAGGGCCCGCGGGTTTGCGCAAATCCTTTTCGGCCCTGCTGGTGTGGGCCGGGCGACCGAATCCGGAAACTCGATCAGCCTGGGGAGGGGCTTTGATCGGTTCCGCCGCTCGGTATCCTTTTGCTTACGCAACTTCCTCCACCGGCGAGGAGTGAGAAAGGCCCAAGTGTGCACCACTGAATATGTAATCGCCAATTGTTCTCCTGGGGAGCCAATTAGCAGGTTGTAAAGATTGTTGCTTACATGCGTAGGTGAGGCTCAGGCTTAGGCTCAGGGTTAGGCTTATGCTTAGGCTTAACTTTATGCTTAGGTTTAGACTTAGGTTCAGATTTAGGCTCGGCTTAGTCTTAGGCTTAGGCTTAGGCTTAGGCTTTCTGATGAAACTAGTTAAACCCCGAACCCCGATCGACCTCATCCAATTGACCCCGCTGATTGAGATGTAGGTGGTCTCCGCACCGGCTGCTAGCGCACTGGCGTTAGATCGGCCATAAACCGGCCGCAGTCCACCCGCCTAGATCCAAGGTGTCCGCCCGAACACTTTTACGACCTAATCACCCCGCTGTTCAGAGCCGCTGCAGCGCCCGTAAAGTGGAGTGGGTGGTAGCGGGTTGGGTGGCCTCGCCTTAGGTTGGATGAAGCTCGGCTTGGGCTTAGGCTCAGGCTTGGTCTTAGAATTAGGCTTACGCTTAGTCATAGGATTCAGCTTAGGCATGGGCTTAGGTTTAGGAGTAGGCTTGAATTTTGAATGAATGAATGAATTTTGAAATGAATACATTTTTGCAACCTAAGATTCAATTATATTGTTTGACTACTAGCTACGCAAGATTCCCAAGCTACCGCCCAATTAGCACCGGAAATTGCAGTCTGTAATCACCCAGAACGTTGCCGAGAGCAAGATCAATCCGGAACCCCGGCGTGTCTGATCAAAATCAGCGACTCGATGCAGATCACAAAGTCACTCTCGACTTGTTCAAAACCTCCCCAAGGCAAGATTCTATCAATCCGCGGCTTCTGATAACGATCAACTCCCATCCCAGCCATAGGAAATTGGGTGTGAACGGTGTTCGAGCCCCGGGGCCATCAAAGGGTGTCCTCCAAGTGCCGTTGGCCCAATTAGCAAACGTTTTTGCTGAGGCGGCTCGTCACCGACTCAGCACCCACCACCACTTTGACAAATGGGACGACCGGCCGGTGCTGCGACGCTTTTTTGGGTGTATTGGACGTGTTCGGTGGCACACACGTGTTTTTGTGTCTGGTGAGGCTACTGCTGGGTCGTCCAATCTGTCGAAGCGGGGTGGTGATGGGATGAAATGTGGCGGGCCGTTTGTGGAATGGTTGGGTGGAGAGGAGCGGAGGAGCCGATGGTTTTGTGTGTTTACAAGTGCGGCTAGTACTGAGGCATTTTTTGGGGAGAGTGGGAATCTGGCAGGCGGATGGAAGGGCCTGGGATGTTGATTGGGATCGACGTACGGTATGGGATTGATTTTTGGAATTGGGGTACTGTTACTGCTAGGTATTTTCGCACTTCCACCTTTCTCTTTTTCTCTCTCTTCCTCTCCTTCTCACTTTTTCTATCACTCTCTCTCTCTCTCTCTCTCTCTCTCTCTCTCTCTCTGCCTGGAGAGTCGCGGAATCGAAATCGAAGCGAAAGACGATCATCAAACTTGAATTTCAAGTCATAATCCCGACAGCCAAAATCCCGACAGGCCAAAATACCGACAGGAAAAATTCCGATAGCGATACCCCGACATATTCATGTCGCCGGCTTAAATCGCACTTTCACTTGAATAGCGATTTTGCTTCTCGATGTTTTGGTTGTGGGTATTATGGCTGTCGGGATTATGGCTTCCGGTTCTTGGCCAGGACTTTGACATTTTTCCTGTAATTTTTTTCTCACCGTTTTTTTAGATGGATGAAGCGCGTGGTCGAAAATGGTAAATATAATGCCATTTCCGCAACCTTTCCGCACTTTACGTCTTCGATTCCATCTCACGATTCCCCTAAATCCCACAAAAACAACATGGCACAACCACCCCTTCCAGTAGCGGCCCAAGGCCAAAGGTGTGACCCCTCCTTGTACTCGCTCCAACGACCCGCGATGCCACAATCTAATCCAGCTCCAGCTGCGCGAGCCAAAGACACCCCGACCCAGCCGGTCAAGAGCTTCCCTTCCGCCTAGCCACATGTTTATCCGAATCAAATCCGAATTGATGAGGAGGCCGAAAAAAGAGACACCTAATTTCCTGGCCACCCCTCTGGGCCCTAAACGCCGTTTGCTCGGATTTCGGAGGATAAAACGGGGACTGGGGATGGGGTGCTAAGTCGAATAATTGGGCGGATACTAGCCGGGGGGCAGATGTTGAGCTGCTAGAGGGGATCGGCAAGATAATCCGAGCGCTACCAAATTGGAGCGCCGCTTTTGGGGGGCCTCTCAATGGCCCTTCTAAAGGTCCAATGGGATGCCCTATAAAACGGCAGATTTTCTCCGGGGTTTGGAAAGAATGGGCAGTGTTGGGTATTTGATAGTTCCAAAGTCATCATTAAGCGTCAGTCATCAATACGTCTGCGTCTGCGGCTCATGCTGCATGAAGTCATGCTCTATGCGATGCTCCATAAAGTGAATGCGGCTACAAGACGGTACTGCACAGACCTAGCCGAAAATCAAGGCTAAAGTAGGCTTGACGGTCCCTTTAAGACGACATTATGATGCTGCCATTTTCAAGAATTGCCTCGATTTTTGTCTATCACGTCTCCAGAGATAGTACTAAAATCCTGTCACGGTCCCTTTAGCGCTAAAGCCCTGACTTTTCTGATCCGCATGATCCGCCTAAATACCCACCGAACCGGAAGCGCTCCTCCTTACCCAGATTACAGTCCCTATCAGCCCCCCTGGATTCTGGCCCCATCAAAGGGTCACCTGATGACAGCATCATCGCTCACTATCTCCCACCACTGTCACTCATAGCCCGCCGGAGGGCACATCGCCCACCACACTGTCAAGTTGGGGGAAGTGGTCGACTAGTGGGGGTGATGGGGGTTGTACAGAGTAATCCATTGTACACAGGTGGAATAAGGTTGGTGATTTGCATAAAATTGAGGGACTACCGTACCGAGCGAGCGTGTAAAAAGGGTCGTATAGTTCTAAAGTACAGTACTCGCAGATTTAAAGGGACGGTTCAATCTGCTAGCAGACTGATTTTTGCGAAAGTAAATTTGCGTAAAAGACTTTTCCACTATTAAACGGAACCGTGGAACCGGAACTTTTGTTATACTAATGACAAGTTTAAAGGGACTGTGACCTCATCGGAATCAGTCATCCGTGGTTAGGGGGGTTTGAAAAGATGATTTGCATAAAATCAAGGTCATGTGGGTAAAAATGCGTCGAAAAATTAGCGTACCGTTCCTGGGCATACTAGGGAATGCTTAAAGAGACCGGAAAACATGCAAGATCACGTTTGAGCGAATTTGGCCATTGGTCATCTCATGCTCTAAAAATTATGCAAAATTCAACCCATTCGCAACCCCTTGCTCCCCTTCAACACCAAATTTACAGCAGTGGTTGTGTTCAAAATCATGTGGACTCCCCGAGTTCCCAGGCTCATTCCATCCCGCGTTCCCTCGTTTTTACGAGCTTCGCGCGCGGACTACCCCCGTTGGCTCATCGTTTCGTCGAGTTGTTTGGACGGCCCATCCAGCCTTGGTCATTGTTGCCTCCTCACACCATCCATCGGCCCATATTGGCCCATACTGTCGATCGCGCTACGCGAGGCACCGGCTGCCACCAAATGTGGCGCGAGGATGAGGCCTAGTCCAAATTATCTCGCGCTCATTTACTCTTTCTCACTCGCTCTCCGTCCGTCTCTCTCTCTCTCTCTTCTCCCTCCCTCTCTCTGGGGAGTACAAATTGGTCACATCTTGGGGGGGGTGTCTTTTGGCATAATAACTATGGAGGTGGTGGATGGGCATCTGGTATCGGAGGTGTTGGATTTGAAAAGAAGCCTCATTTCCATAACGAAGGGTCGAGAAAATAATGGATTCGCAAATCTGATAATTCTTTAACTCCAAGCTTCTCTTTCTCTCTCTCTCTCCCTCTCTCTCTCTCTCTCTCTCTCTCTCTCTCTGTGTCTCCTTCTTCCCCAGCATTCCCCCACTTCTCCAGCCGTTCTTATTGTCACCCCAATCCTATCCGCTCGGCCCCAATTTGTCGGTTCTTGAGGGCCCGGGTCGCGCGCGCCTTGACAAATGTCCCACAGTTGGCACGACAAACGCCCCGGGGCTACGAACCTTGGGCCCCCAACTCGGCCAGGCCGTAACAGAATATGCCAAAAAGATTCA